TTATCAGTAAATCCCCTTTTAGGAGTAGCATAACTTCATAAAATTTGTCATTGCAGCACCTTAAATTAAAGTACCTGCTCAGTATTAATGATAATCTCTCTTCTGAATCTGGTGTTTTTGTAAAAACCCCAAACTTGGTTCATAAAAACCACCAAAAACAACTGTGTCCTTCAGAGAAAATCAATAACAGTGCAACTTTGCCAACGTGCAACTTTTCGCGTCGACATTGAAAACTCCTCAATGACACGTGGACTCATGCAGACTCAGTCGACCACGCTGTCTGCTCATGCTGCTGATCAAATATAGACCCAAAGCAGGACGACACCTGAGCCCCTGCAGACTGTTTGAACCTCTCTACCTGCAAAGACAAACATGAATTATACAACCTCTGCGCCTGCCAGTACTGAGAATCAGAGCTGTCTCTCCTCCTCTCTGAGCACTGCAGAGTGCACTTGGGGGGGTTTTGTGGGAGTCTTTGGCAGCTCTGGGTCTGAGTCATTGGACACATGCCTTTGCCCCAGATTCCTCATTTATCTTTGAGCCAATTGATGTGCACGGGCACTCCGTGTGGCCACGCCAACAATTTCCACTGACTATAAGCAATTAAAGCAGATCAGAGTTTAAAAAAAGACTTCAACCCGTACGTGTCATAAAAGCATCACAGAAAAACATCATTCAAGATCAACTTTTATCAGGTTTTACAGTGACACGTTTCCAGCACTGACTCACATTTCTCTGTCTGTGAATAAATGTTTCGCTTTGGTAAAATCACAGAAAAGCAGGAACGAGAATGTAGAGAGAAGGCTCATGGTCAAAGTCGAACCATAGGTCATCTGGGTATGCTGGTGCTCTACTTTAAGCTTTGGTTGTGCCTTTAATTATTGTATTGGTGTCAAAACTAGCAGACCGTCTGTGACCTGTTTAATCACTGACTTTAAATCTGTTTTTGTAGTTAAGGTTCCTGTAACTGGTCATGGAAATACAAGTGAATCATCTGCATGCAAGCAACATTTCACACCCTCCAAGATAAACTCTAAATATTTTAAAGACCAGTAGATGAAGGTGTGCCAGTATGTGCATGTGGTGAAACCGCATACCACATGTAAACTATAGTCTTAAATGTAAGAAGCCCAGGCTCCATTTCAACGTTTGGCCCCATACCATAATGTGGGACACTGACGTATGTGGGGCACTTATATATCTTTACCTCCATATCACTGAAGTGAACATGACTGGCTTTGAATTCGAGGAGTAATATCCAATAACTGAAATCATGACTTTGCTGATGTGGTGTCATTAATGTTGGGGGGAAAGTCATTAAATAGGAAGTAGTGCCTGAAAATAAAAACTAAAAAGTCAGTGACCCAGGATTCGGATAAAACCTGTGTTAAGGGCTCAAATTTTTAATGAATGAAATAATGTTTATTACTCATATGAAATTATGTTGGTGATACACGTGTGTATAAGAAGACACAATAGTAAATAAATGTGTTTAAGTATTTTTCTTTTAAGCAATCTTTAGTCGTCCCACTTTAGAGAAGCCGGTTTCTAAAGTGGGACAGCATGACATGACACAAAGACATCCACATAGACCAAACTGTTGCCAGCCCATGTTGCTGCCTATTTCAACGAATATCTGGATTTTTTAAATTTACACTCAACTATTAATTTCAATAAATGTACGCACATTACATGGGCAGTTTTAGAAAGTTGATTTCTTAGTTTAGAGAAGAGTATTTCTAAGATAAAAACTATTGTCCCACATTTCAGCCAGTGCTGTTCCAGATTACTGGAATGTTTTGATATATACCGTAATTTTTGTTCCTTTTAACTATAACGATCAATGCATCTTTTCTTTCCAGATTTAATAGGTAAACATAGTGGGGATTTTTAAATGATAACATGATTTCACGCATTGGCTTAAAAAAAAAAAGTTATAAAAGTCAAAAATTGCAGAAAATGCCCCTTATTACTTCAATCTACCTCTCATTTCCTCCTTTTAGCACTTCTTTAAGGCATAAAAAGCCTGAAATTAAACTTTTAAAAAGAAAAAGCAACAAATTTGAATGGTCCCAGACAGCCTCCTTGAGGTACACCACAACCAGAAAATGTCAAACTTTAACTCGACCCATTTAGAAATGTTGATCCAAAGTCTGACCCAGTGAAATCAAATGCAGCATGGAAATAAGGTTACACTGTGGAGCCCCTGAAGTGTCTCATAGGTGATTATTTTTATCCCTTCTCCATAAGCTATTATCCTGTGTGTAGAAGATCAGATTTTTGGAAGATGGTTGTGTTCTCTCTCTCTCTCTCTCTCTCTCTCTCTCTCTCTCTCTCTCTCTCTCTCTCTCTTCATCTGATGAACCGTGGCACAAAAATTCTGGCAAAAACTGTAAAAATTCAGCTAAATGTTCATTAACTCATTTAATCAAAGCATGGAGACGAACAGCCTGGCAACAGCTGTGTTCTTTGAGCGCTGAGAAACGCCTGTGGCTGAAACACGTCAACTGTTTGGCTTTACATGAAGTATGCTGGATTTCTTTCTGTTTCTATTGTTTATTTATTGTGGGTTTGTGATGTTTTGTGATGTGCACCTGTGTTTTGATTCTGCTCTTGTTTTACTTTTTGATTCACATCTTCTATAAATCATATCTCATATCTGATCTTATCTTATAGCAAAGGGTGCACCCCTCAATTTTGCCCAGCAGAGGGTGCTTACTGATAATCTACACATACAATCCCAATGTTATGCCCATACACTCTGTTATTAAAGGTGATGTCTGATGTCAGGAGACATTTTGAACATTGCTGCATTTGAACAGGGTAATAGGTTGTGTGATAGCATGTCAACATGTGCACATATGTTGTGTTATGACTTCTGTTATTGACAATAACTTGCGTCAGGGGTTTCATATACTGACTGTTTAAAGCTCTCCCTGTTAAAGGACTGTAAATAATTGGGCTTCTGTGCAGCATACTGCAGCCTCTCAGGACCTGATTTCATCTCTGTGTTTGTTGATGTGTCTCAGTGTAACTTGTGCTTATATGCCCTCTGTGTGTTTACATACTTATGCAGAGTATTTGTCCTTCCTTCACCTTGTTCAGTTAACTTTGCATAGAGACGCCTCAACTGCCCTCTGCAGAGAAATAAAACTTAAGTTGGTCGACTCCGTTTAGAGTGACGTGACACCAGAGAGTTTGTAGCTACTTGGCCAGGATCATAGGATACTTTTAGACATTAGTGCAGCCAGGAATAGTTCAGCTTTGTAGGCCGGACAGGTCGGATCATGGAACTCTTACTTGCTCAAAGGTCTAAAAACATGATTCCCGTCTTTGTCCAAAAATTTGCCCCAGTATGTTGCTCTAGATGCTCAAGCTGGACCTGTCCGACTCTCCTGTTTAAACAGAGAGATCACATTACAACAGATCTGGTCAGTGACTTGACTTTGTTCAGGCTATTTTTAGTTATCTGTGTGGTCTTTGCAAAATGTTCCTAACTTTAGTTCTACGAAGAATCGATAAAGAGTGCCAGTTCATTTTCCATGAAAGACAGAATCATGCCACAGTTCAACAATTAACAGAATTCTTCCTTAGTCATAAAATTTGAATATTTTGCAGGAAAGTTTCACAAGATTTTTGGCTTTAGTTTTGAAAACCTGTTTTTTTGTGCAGTAATATTAGGTGTGTAATAACACTTCAAGATTGCATTAAATATTATAAATGAAGTTTAAAAAAGACAATATCCTGCATTTCAATGAATTATTCCAGGCAGCAGTGACTTGAAGGTGAAACGTGCTGTTGTTCTCAGTGACAGTGACTCTGTGCACCCTGTGTAACATGGCCTGACTGATTTTTTCAGCAAAGTGTTTAAGACTCTCAGAAATGTATTTCAAGACAATCGCAGCACGTGTAACGTTTAAGAGCAGCAGGTGCTCTTTTCTATAGTGTGTTAGTGTAAAGGCAGGACGTGTAAAGACTCCTGCAGCACACATATACTAAAAGCGGGGCCTTTAAGTGACCTATTATTTTGCTCTCAGAACTGAGTTTGGCTGCTGATTCTTCTATAACTGACTCATTATTGTTATTTATTAGGATCATTATCATGAATTGAACATACACTGTGATGTTTTTGCTGTTAATGTCTTAACCTCATTTTTCAGAAGCTGTTGACCCACATCTAGGAACAGGTGAGGCGTTATGTAAACTGTATTGTCTAACTTGTTGCTAATCATATCAGAGCTGAACGGATTAGCTTGGTAAGCTGGATCCATGTGTTCCCACACAGAGTTATCAAACCGCTGGTCTTTGTAGATCACCTAAATATAACAAAGACCCGAAGATTTGGCATTTACACTATTACGAGAGTGTTGATCCGTACTATTATTACCCCGGGCATAATCAATTTTGCGCAGTATCTTAAACTACCTGATTCAAAACACGACTAAGTGTGCATGTAAACTCACTTTTCTGTATCTACAAAGCATATTTTACAAATTGTAACAGGTCATTACAGGCTATAAGACTCCAAGGATCTATCCAGGTTTCCCAAAACAAGGATGAAGCTCAGGATATAGGATATATGTAAGTATGTAAATACTGAACTCATCTGGATCCTGATTCTGATTAGGTTTTTGTAGTACCTTTTACTTTTCCTGGTTACAGAAAGCCTTATCCTGTGTTAAAACACACAAATCTCTTACTGGAAGAATTCAAAAGAAACCAGGACACTAAATTTCTTCATAGGTACAGTACACCACAGTTAAGATAATGAGAATTAAAGACACAACTACGCACAGACGATCTTAAAGCTAGATACTATGATTATTATAAATACAGGTGTGTGAATAATGAGTTATCATGTGTTCTCTGTGTTCCAGAAGTAGATTTAACTATAAAATAAAACAGAAACATACCTATATTTTACAAAACATGAGAAATTACTAAATCACTCTGTTACTTTTAGGGCCCACCTTCAACTAAAAAAGGAGTATTCAGACTAGAAATCATTTGAAGTTTGACTGTAAGCTTTTTATTTTTTATCAACAGTATCAAGTCAGCAGAATAACATGAAAAAAACTTTTTACATTACAATTTCTTCACTCTTGGTCACAATAAAAATATACTATACACAGGCAAATATGAAAATCAAACTATAAGTACTAAAGGTAACAAACACCTCCATCTTCACCATCTTCATCTTCATCTCCAGTGTAGGACTATGAGACAGACAGCAATCTGAGGGTGCGAGAGGGGTGGAGGGCAAGGGGCAAACAGGGGGCAGGAGGGTGAGGGAGGTAGCGGGGAGTCTAGACGGACGTTGGTGGAGGTGTTGATGATTCAGATTTCCCACTTTCACTGCTCTCGCTGAATTGTCTGTTCAGAACCATTTCCCTGGCGACGCAGGTCACCTGACCATTGGCGACTGTGTAGGTCCTGTTCCCAAAGCACAGAGGAAAGTTAGTTTCACTCAACATCGGTTCAAGTATTTTAAATTTTAACAATCATATGTTACGATGCTCACTTTTGGTTTTCAGGCCCATTCTGCATACTAGGCTGGTTTGGTTTTGTAAAGAAAAATGAAGTCCACCAGTGTCCAGAATCTTGCCTTGGAAGTCCTACGAAGAAAAAAGATGTGTTTTGAAGGGGGAGTCGGTTTGGAGAGTAAAGACTTTTCAAAATAAAACCCCAGCATTACTTTTTTTAACATACCTGGGTGGTGTGGAATGATCTCTCCAGTGTACTCTGCACTTCCACAAGAGCTGTTGCTGGAGGCAGACCCAAGGCGCCCTGAGGTATGAAGACACTTATTTTTAATGAAATCCCTTAAAGATGTCTAATAAGAATACAGAAAAAGGATTGAAATGGATTAATATGTGTATAATGATGACTGACGTACTTCTATAATAATCATGGGTGGCGATGAGAGAACCACTTGATGGAATTGCTGCCATTTTCTCCGACCTTGGGTTGAAAACCGCTTAAAGATGGGAAACGGGAACCTGGAGGAGACACAAGGGAAAGGTATTAAAAGATTGGAAATAAAAATCATTGGATTGCAGCCTGAATATCTTCACCATAATGTTAGTTCCATCTTTTATTCTCTATTTCTTTCATTTCCCAAAGTACAGAGCCACTTTTGTTGACTTAAGCACATCTCCAATGTAAACAAGACCCATTTCAGGGAAGTTTTTGACCTGTGTGTCTTTGCCCTCTGAGTGTCTGACCAAAGGCCTTCACTGCTGAGTGATAAATCAAGTGGCAGCTGCTTCCTCGTATCTGGTTTCCCACGACTCAAATTACCAGAGTGAGCGTGTCTGAAAGCGTGTCCACTTCACATGTCAAGATGAACTTGGATATTCCAGTGGCACGGGTTGGCTACTTGAGCATGGAGGATCGTGCCTGCATTCTTACCATAGTGGTTGTGTTTGTATTTTGAGATTTTAAAAAGAGTCACAACTTAGACCTCTTAAGTACCAAAGAATAAGATTACAACTGCAAACTCTTCCCTCTTTTCTTGTGTTAAATGCAAGAAACTTTGCATGGATAACTCTGGTGTATTATCTGAGGACCTTAAAAGTACATCATGTTTTCTGCTTTAAGTCTGAGAACTAGTTGAAGGCTGTAGAGCTTAGCACCTGATGAGCAGCAGATGGCTTTGGGGATTTCAAGAGCCAGACAAGTAAGCATCCAGATAAACAAAGTGCTGACGCATAAACAGCTCACTTACAGAGTGGCTGGAGGTCAACTTCACCTGGAATAACTTTTTGTGTTTCCATTAAAACTAATGGACAAGTCATAGTTTAAATAGCAAACCCTATCTAACTGTTAAAACACCAATATGAAAGAGCATTTAACAGTCTATTTCTAAAATTAAGTCAGTGAGACCTACCTTGAATATCAGGGTGATGTTGTTGGCACTTGTCTCGGTTGTAAAGTGCGGATGGCTTGAAGTGGAAGAGGTGTTGGTTGTTAGAAATCGCCCATATGAGGGAGCTCTGTTCGGTCACTACTCTGCTGGCACTAACTCGTTGAGGGATGAACACCTTTATATAGGGTCTGTCCTCGGCGCGTGCTGCTGTGGCACGGGGCGGGGACTGAGCGAGCTCGAGTTACGGAACGTGCTGTTGTTCTCCACGCTGTCGAGTTGGGACGGTACCCAGGGACACCAGACAACAGCCCGGCTTTTCTTAGCCCCGTGATGTCAAAGGTGAAGAGTTACTGCCTCATGTTAGCCAGCCAGGTGTGAGATATCTCGTGGAGTAAGTTTACATGTGAGTATTCTGTTTAACGGAGCTCCTTTAGAGAACCGTGCCAATGTCTCACACATGCACACAGACTTGTACTCAACGAAAGGTCATTCAAATTCTTGACACAACAACTTTTCAGACACATTTTTTCAACATTTCGTGGAATTTTGATCGAAAGCTTGAGCTCGGTGGACGACCGTTGGTGTCCGGTAACGTCCGGGAACTTTTAACTCAACAGTTGCGCACGAGAGCATAAAGATTTTTTAACGCAGGCAGTTGTCGGATGATTACGAAGAGTAACAGGAATATAGTAGCAACCTGCGACATTCATACGTTAAATACTGTAGTCTTACACTGTAATCTTACATTGTCCAACGCTATCTTAATACCAACGATACCATGGTCATTTTTAGCTGAACTGGTGTAGAGTTAGGCGACTAGATCAGCTCCCTGGTGGTCTAGTGGTTAGGATTCGGCGCTCTCACCGCCGCGGCCCGGGTTCGATTCCCGGTCAGGGAACAACTGTTTTCTTCCCTCAAGGTGTTCCAATAGTTCCAGGGTTTTCAGAGATCATTCCCAAAACTATATCAAGTGATTTATCACTTAATAAAACCACTATACTGCTGTGATTCTTAATAGACTGTTCATTTATATGTTTGAGTGTGCACAACTATTACCTTTTTATGTTTCTACGATTAAGATTTAGCTTTCACTCGTATCCTGAAATGTTGAGAAACCTTTAACTGTATCTTACTTTACATTCCTGCATAATATACCATAAAGATTAACCTTTAACCTGATACAACATCTCCCCGAAAAGTCAATTTTAGTGCATTTTCTCAGCTAGGGTATGACATCATGTATTCATTTTACTCTTAGGTGGATTACTGCTGTATTAAGGACACCTATTAGTACTATTTCCATAATAAAACAAGCCCACTAGTATGTTTAAAACTCTGGCGCCACCTAAAGGATCAATATAAAACAAGCCAAACACTGAATAATCCATGACATCACACACACCATTCAATTGACTTTAATTGAAAAATTTTAACGTACAAAAATACTCCTTTCTAAGTAAAATACAGTTTTGTTAATGCCACAATTAATGTCAATGAATGCATCCTGTAAGTAGTTATGCTTATGGGAGAAGTTCAGCACGCTGCACTGACATATCAAAATAAATATTTCTGGAATTATTTATCAAACATTAAATCCAAACATTTAAGACTATTTTAACTTGTCAAATTGACAACAATTTTCCAAAGTAACAGTATACATTCTAGGAGTTGTAATATTGCAACAGTCAAAAGTAACAGTGGACAAAATTAAAAGGACAAGTAAGAAAAATACTTTTTATCATAACTGTAAAAGCTATGAAAAATATACGAGCTAATCAATTGTTATTTGTTCCATGGGTCCATCTCATGTGCTGTGACGTGAGAATCTTCTTTCAAACCCAGCAGTGTCACCGTTGTTTGTTGAATTGCCGGTCACTTTGCCCTGTCGTGGACAACACAGCGTGATCAGGTGTGATCAGTACTCGATCATAGCAAGAACATTGTGTGCAACAGTCCTACAAACTCACCTTCACATTGTGTGATCAGTGCTCAAACAGAGCAAGAACACTGTGTGCAACAGTCCTACAAACTCACCTTCACATTGCCAACCATTTCTTCAAAAGACTTGAATGTACTGGAATGTCTACAGAGAAATGAGAATATCTCACAAACATGTTTTTAAACCAATGTACAAATACAAAAGAAAGTTGTAACATAACATAGTGCGTTACCTCATAGCTGGCACACTCATGGTGTGGCCCAGGGAGCTGCATAAAAGACAAAAAGATGAGAGTATGAGCAAAAACACAAGACGGGTTTAGAAACATGAACATCAACATTTTAAAGCAAACAAAAATCTGATTTTTCCTTTAACGTAGGGCTTCAGCTACTATGTTGATTGATATTTATGAGAGTATGAAAACAAAAGTCTGCTTAATTTATCTAGTCTGTACAAAAACATAAGCAACTTTAAGCTTAACCTGTTGTATACATGCCCATAATTCAATTTAATGTAAAAATAAATGTCAGCAACTACATGTACGATATAGAAATAAATGTAATACACAGGAGTTCATTAGCTTTATGAGAACAAATCCAAAAATGTATATTGAATATCTGACTTTGAAAATCTTAAAAACCATTAAATCTATAAATTTTTAATTTAATATGTATTGTTACCTGGATAATTCATGTATATTTAGATAAAATAATCAAAATCAGTTCAGAAAGTATCCGTTTGAACGAGTCATGGTCATACAAATGTGAGGGTAATCCTAATGTCACTGTAGCACCCACTGTACTCTATTCAGTCTACGTCACGACTCACGGGTCTTACCGTGGTGGGCTTGGGAGAGGCAGAGCTCTGTTGGGATAAAGACAGACACACAGATGACATCACACAAACATGTGTTTCCTCATGGGTGAGAACAACAGACTTATTAGACACTGCCACTGATGTCCAGCTGTACTGTTGTGATTGGATTATGTTTGCTTACTACCAAACACCGGAGGCCTTTACACTACAGGGAAATCGCAGACGGATGGCTAATTTATCCTCCACAGGGACCAAAGTGTCATACTGAGCCAGGATACTGACATTTTAACTTTTCATTAAAAGTATGACTTTGCTGCACGAACAAATTAAAAACGAAATGTTGCCATCTGGGGAGTTTTTCTGCATAAAGTAATATTTTTTTAAAACTTCTTTTTAGGAACCAGTCACTTGGTTGTTCTTGAATGTACCTCATCTCTGTCAGCCTCCTGGTGATGACCATGCCCATATTGGACAGTGCAGAAGATGTCACCTGGCCTGCATGAGAGAGACCCTCCCGTGTCCTCAAATATCTACAGGTAAAAAAAGAAGGAACACAATTTAGAAACTAAAGGGTGGGAAGTCACAGCACATTTTCAGCACACGTTGATACCTAGTAAATAAAATAGAGAAAGCATAAGACAATAAGTAACACATACTGCAGGAATTACACAGTAAACAACAGACCCTTAGAGGGCAATGGTTATGATCCATCTGGCTTTCAAAGCAGCGCTACAGGTTAGCTTTGCTGTTGCTACTTAATACTACTGCTCCCTGTGCTAAGTCAGGTTGTAAGGCTATTAAAAGGTCATAGATCCTATTTGACCTGTGAAATCCCATCACTTGTTTCTCGAGAGAGTCTTTTCTAACATGTGTACAGAGGACCAAAAACTAAGGAAGCCTGAGGATCAGCACTCACACGTTGGAGTGGCTGATGTCATCCAAAGTTGCAGAAGCTGTGAGATATCTGAAACAACAGCAGAACATGCACAGGTTGGCAGATTATGGATTAAGACCACAACAGTCATTAGTAATTAGTGTGCATTCTGCGGTTATGTAATGGAGTCACACTAAGACAATGCGTGGCAAATGTCCTTCCAGCAGGGTGTCCTAAACCAGATAAGACAGCGGCGTTGTGGCGTGGAAGTTTGACTATCCAGAAGATCTTATTGCTACGTTATGTAACAAAGAAGGTGCCGCATTGAAAGCTACACTGCCTGTCTAAAAATGCAACTTACGGGGCTGAAGTCTGGACTTCTTGCCAGCCTTTGGACAGGTTCTGTTTGATGTTGCTGAGAGGACCCAAACCCAGCTGCCTCCTGATGTCTGCTGCGTATTTTTCTTTGGCAAAAAGCACTTGCCGCAGGGTCTGAATTTCCTCCTCCATCTACAACGAAAATACACATAATAGACAATTCAGAACAGACATGTTTTTTTTTTACCTCTTATTCCTAACATGTTCATATTTCAACGTCCTTCTTTGCACACTGTGATTTGTATACAACAACAGTTACATAACCTTTATAAGTTCAACCCGTAGATTGTCAATATCCTCCTCGGTTAGCTCTGAAGGAGATAATCCATTTTCTGTTATCCTTGTTGGAAAGTTCATGGCTGAAGAAGTTGGACCAAAACCTAAGAAAGATGCAATAAAGAAAAGACATACATGCACATTGTAAATAGAAACATATTTTAATTACAAATATATTACAGAAGCCTCAAGGTTATCAATATCAATGTTAATTTTTTTTAAGTATATAAGTGTAAAGAGGAAGCTGCCTTACTGAAACCCATTAAAGGACAAGATAGATAGATAGATAGATAGATAGTCAACAAACTAAAGAGTGGTTTGAAATATATAATTGGACTCAATAGTTTAAATCTTCTATATTTGACCCATCAGAACAAAGTAAACACAGCCGGAGCTGTCCTTAGTGCTGAACAGGCTAACTGCACTCATGCTAACATTAGCAACCTGTTGCTCACGTAGACCCCGCTGACCATCGTCGACCACGGCTCAAACTCACACAAACACGAAAGCTGCCGACTCAAATTGACCGAATTACACTTACAAAATAATACATAATTTGCGAAAGCATGAAACTTTTATAGTATAGAGTGAATAGAGTCCTACCTGGTCGGTTCATCGCTGCCATTTTAAACTCGGCGTGTTTTTCAATTGCTAACTAATTTAGCAGCTTCCCGTCCCCATCCACTCAGGAGGAGGAGAAGGAGGAGGAGGGAGAAGCTAACAGGATCAATGAGGCTGTTTACACACACCAACACACGCTGCGTACTCACTCACACTCCTACAGTGTGTACAGTTATCCATTGGACGACCACAGAGCTCTACATAACACTGAGCCTACTGAATATGTGAAGGAAGTCATATCACAGTGTTACTATTATACCGTAAAGTAATTATTACTTTATTATACCGTATCTGTAAAGCTGGACTATTCTTTTGGGTGGCCTAGTTTAGCTGTATCACAATATTTTGTGTCTAGTAAACTGTAAGGTAATATTGTAAAATAAACAGTAATGAAGCTGTGGTCACTACAGCTATCAAATATGTGTAGTAGGGGAGAGTGGGGTAAGATGAGCCATTTTTCATATTTCCGATCACTACATCAAGGCAATCATAGTTTTGTCTCTAACTAGTGTATCTGCATATATTTCAAGATGTTGTGCATCCCTGCTGTTTTGTAAAAAGCCATTTTAACATGAGAATGTCTTTAAGTAATTCCGAACATTCACAGCTGTATTTTTGAAAAGAAAAAGTCAAACATTTAAATAATCTGAACTGAAACTCTGATCCTTTTATCAGACAAATTTGTTTTCAGTTGAGCCACTGGCTCAACTTACCCCTGGCCAAATGACTAAACTTACCCCTGAACTACTATTATGACTTTCTTAGTCCTCTAAGCTGAAACGGTGGACTTTTATGCTCGTTTTTTTTACCTCATGTTCAAGCTCATAGATACCACAATTGATGTATAAAACAATTTAAACTTATCTTTTTTTTGGTCTGAACACGATTCTAATAAAACTTTTGACAAACTAAATTCACTTTCAAGAGTGACTCCACGAATTGATGCCCATCTCCTAAATATTTGGTGACATGATCAGTTTTTTCTTTTTTACCATTTCCAAGCAACAGGGGGTGGATCAACTTACTCTTTGGCTCAACTTACCCCACTCTCCCCTAATGCTGTAAAAAGAATAATAATAACCCTAGCAATGTGGGAGTGTGGAGAAACACAACTGAATAGATAAAAGCAACCTCATATTTGTCCAAAAAACAGGTCTTCAAGTTTTTTTTTCCAGTTACCAGCTCTGGTGTTTAAGTTTTGTTATGCTTTTCTCATTAAACAGGTGAACAACTGTGCCCGACTATGATATTACAACACATCCGTTAAAAAATGATGAAGTCAAACTGGCTCAGAGTAAGTAAAGATGAAAACTTTTCATTATATTCCAAAGATTTTTTTTGTAGTGAAGTCAGAAATGAAAAAAAAATGTTATTAATAAGGACTAAAAATGTGGAAGTTTGGGTCTAGTAGACTAGAACCAACGCTCATAATTTTCTCTCGTAATAACTGTAGCTCTGGGAACCTTTTACATGTTTAGATTAGAGAAATAAGACACATCATAAATGTTTGACATGTAAATATTCTGTGAATGGGCTCCTGTGATAAATTAGTAAAATTGAGACACTTGTCTCCATCTACTGGCAATAGGTGGCATCTCACAGTGACAGGGCCACTACTGGTTATAAGATTAGAGTTATTTCAGGTTATTGCTTTCCTGGGTGTGGACCTTGTAAGGGGCTCCTCTCACAATGCTGTCTGTCTTAAAAATTCTCTGTGTCGAGGAGGCAGTATTTTCTGTGCGAGGTACATTATTCACATTGGGATAAGACCACTAAATTGTGGAATTCTGAAACTTGTTCACCAATAAGAGGTTCATAAGTTTCTTTGTGTAAATACTGATAGATTCAGAATTATTCTCCAGCTTTAACCTGCAGCATGAAGTTTGGTTTAGTGTTTGTTGTTTCTGCATACTTGGATATCAGACATATCAATAGAACAACATTACAGTATATTCTCCAAGTTCTGATGTAGGATGTGTAAGGGTCTACATGGTTTTGTCTGTGTTGAAGGCAAAGTAATATTAAAATCTCTTTTTCCATCATTAAAGGCTGCAAATCAGCTGTTGTAGTCCTCTTTTGATGCTTTTCTTTCCTTGAACTTGAAATTTCTATCTGGAACAAACTTATTTAACTACACTGTGGTAGTTTTGGCCGAAACAAACTGAAGTTTTCTACATGGATAGTTTAAGAAATGCTAGTCTAAGCCATCTATAATTCAAATATTTTGGAAATAAAGTTTCCCTTTGCCTAAAATGCAGGGTAAATCTCAGCATTGTGCAGAACGATCAATGTTTCCTGGAGATACTTTTTAGTTATTGACAAGAGCACCATAAGTGGAGTTTTGAAACAGCTACAAGGTCAAAAAATAGCTCAGCTATAATCCATGCTTACTGCCACCATTGTGCAAGTTGTGTGGTTTAATCTTTATGTTGTTCAGTGTAATGGATGAGATCGGGCCACTGTAGCCTTCATAAATCCAGTCAGATTTGAGCCTTCACCAAATAATACAAAAACAAAGTAACACCATGTTGGTATTACCTCTAAGTGAAGAATGAGATGAGAACACAATGTTCAGGAACATTTATTCAACAACAGCAAATCAGATCAATGATCCACTTGTTTTCTTCCAGACACACAATTACCATGCTACAACAGAAACGTTAAGGTTTATACTTTATATGGGCCAAGTGTATGTACAAGCAACCCGAACCATTTAACCATTCCTTGTTAGATGTAATGGTTACATTACAACACCATACCAGTTAAATTATAGCCAATCATCATTTGAAACATGACAAAGTATGAAATAAATAAACCTCCAAAAATGCATCATATAACCATTTCACTATAGGTACACTATATACTATGTTGTATTTTTATGGAGTCATTTCCTGATCATTGATCTATTATAGCTTTTTTTAAACACACAGTGCATTCAACTTAGAACATTTACAGTAGCATTTTTCAGTATCTCAATGAAAAAGCCATGACAGGAACATCTATGTTTGATCAAGGGTAACAGGAAACATCATACAAGGGCCACAGAGGTCAACATCCATACCTTTAATAGCAGAGGGTGGGCAACAGGAGCTCACCAATTGTAAACCATTAAAACACATTATTAGCAGTCATGAAAACTGACAAAGTGGCAAAGATGTTCATGGCGATTTATGGCAAATTTGGAAATGTCTGGCAATATATGCAAATACATTTGTATGAAAAAATCTAGAGTCATTTTCACTTGGAGCTGCCTGTAGCACTGGCTCACGGATGATATGCCGTACGAGCTTCTTACTCAATGAGGATTCAAAAAAGTCAACAATGATAAACGATCACAGCATCAGACAGAATGTCAGAGTCATCAGACTTCAATTCAAAACACAAGGACTAAAAACGCAATGAAAAAAATAGAACTCTCACTATCTAACATACGCCCATGTCAGCTCTATTTCCCAGCCATAAAGAGCGCAACATGTTTTCCCCACATCACATCTACCACTTTACATATTCAACACAGCTTAAAGTTAAAAACATGTCAACCTCTCAACCAGGACTGCTGCTGCTAGAGATCAGTATTTCTAGATGTCAACAGCTGGATTACCTGGACCTCCTTGGCTTCAATGTAGATCATCAGGAAAACATAAATTTGTACAATAAGTTTCGCTTTGATAAATGTCTATCAATCTGTATAAGATGTGACATCTTTAAAATAAATAGATATGCAAAGGGAAGCAAACAGCAGCCCTTTATCGTGATATTCAAACAAAGCCTGGATTCTTGGCCAGACTAAAGACGTGATACAAATAAAATGTCGTCTTTACTCTCAGTGGAATAGCTAAACATAAAATAATGACACATAAACGAATCCACTTTGGCTGAAACCTGCCACAATAGAAAAATAAACTTATACCTCAAAATAAAAATTAACTGTAATGAAAACCTGTTCAGTACTGCAGAACCAACGGGAGCATAATTTCTAACCTGGAAGAAAGGGCTGAAACAGAGCTGAAGCAGGGACGAAATGCCAACACTAATCAATAACTGAAGAAGGAATTTCGTCAGCAGGCGTTTCTGCAAAGACTGACAGCAAATAAAGCTCTGTGCCTCAAAAGACCGTCTCATGAATCACGTTAAAAACACTCAAGGGGGCACACAGGAGACACAAAGACGGTGCCAAAGACAAACCGTTAGTCTGACAACTGCAGGTGGTATTTTGAACTAAAGACAGTACAGATTGAGGATCAATCGCACAGGTATATTACAGCTCTGGTTTGGAAATTAATGATGGCACTGACCACCTCAGTGACCGAAATCATCTCTCTAACCTGCACCTCCCTGAGCCATGGCTCTCCTTAGCTTTAGCATAAAATATAATTAACCTCCTCCTCTCCTTCCTTCTCCGTGTGAGCTGTACTCATTTGAACATATTGCACAAATGTATGCACTTACATCATGAGTCTTGCAAAGTAAAAATGTTGCTAAAGATGAACGAAAGTCTGGAGACCATGTTTTATAAACAGTGCATGCTACACCATGATGCAAAATGTGGGAGAGGGGAAAGTGGGGGTAGGCGACCTGTGTGGTTAAAGGCCAAGAAATACAAAAGAAGAAACAAAAAGGAAACAATTTAGCTGTTTCTCTTTTCTTCTCTTACTGAAGGGGGGGAGGGGGAGAAGTTGCGGACCAATTGGGGAGGGGTGTAAGGGATGTGACTTCATCAGTTCCTTCCATGGGCCATGCTTACTAGTCCCTCTCCTCCGCATGGCTCTCTCACTGAAGTGGGACGATGGATGCCCCTCTTTTAATTTCTTCTCACCGAGGTGGAGCAGGGAAGCAGGCAGGACCACAGGCCAGGATTGACGGGGGGGATGGAAGGTTAGTTGAAGCCAGTGTCAGTGTGGTAGGAATGGTACCCATCTGATGTTAGCTGGGTTGTTTCTGTGGCTGATGGTTGCAACATTATAGGGTCACCTCCAGCCTCTGCTTTAAAAACAAACAGACATCCTCAGTATATGCATCGAGGCTCTTTCTGTCAACATACCAATAAAATATATTCAAAATAGGGGAAATGACACAGGTAATTAACTCTCACCTCTCTCGTCAGACTGCAGTTGAGCCTCCAGGTCCTCAGGGGACACATAAAACTCTTGCTCCTGGCCCTCCCGAGGCCGTGGTTTACATTTTCCACAGCAGCAGTTACAGCAGCAACACAGGCAGCAACAGAAGTAGCAGCCAGTGGCCAGGCCGCAGAATACAAACAAAGCCTGCAAGCAAGAAGAGTCATGGATAAAGTGTTCATGTGTGATGAAAAGTGAGACAAGAATCACATGAAAAATAACACAAAGCAGAGGATATGGTGCTTAGTCTTACCTTTGCCCACCAGCTTGAAAGGACAAAGTAAGTGTTAACATTCTCCTCCCCAAACTGCTCAGCCACATAAAGTCCCAGAGAGCCATATTTGTCATAAATGTTACGCTTCGTTGGGTCATTCAGGATTGCATGAGCGTTGTTAATCTCCTTGAATTTATCAGCTGCCTCTGGATTGTCAGGATTCTTGTCAGGGTGGAACTTCAGGGCCAGTTTCCTAGTGTATTAAGTTGGCAAGAAAGGACAATGATATGAAATGAAATGACAGCACAGTTTGTTGTTTTCATGACATAAGGTTGGTAGTTGTGAATCTAACCTGTAAGATCTCTTGATATCATCCGTTGTGGCCACCTTCTCCACTCCCAGCACATGGTAGAGAGACTCACCGGCGGTGGACAGAGAGCGCTGCCTCTGGTGCTCAGCCATAATGCCTCACGTCCACTATCTTAGGACAGAAACAGTAAAATAAATGCACTTGCCAGGATGCAGTAAATGCTTTGTAAGCAAACCCGTGAGACACGATCTACGCCTTTTAAACACGAGATAAACCTGTTTATAAAAAAAAACAAACAAGACCAATATGAGGTCTGTGGCATTGAGTCCTTTTGACTGCAGGCAACAGCTGGTCACAGCTACAGCTGATCTGTACAAGCTGAACACAGAGGGCCCAACGCTCTTTAAATTATAAGGAGAATAAATCTAAGAGCCACGAGAGAAACAGGTGGGATTTATCATATTTTCCCTGCAGTGATTTAATTTTCAAAACATATCAAATATTTGTAATGGTTATACTGGAATTTAGACATCTGGCAGGCCAACTGCCTCCCTCTGCTCCTCTCACTAAATCAGTGACTGACACCCTAACATGCTGCAGGAGAAAAAATGATTTATCCAATCAGATTTATGCTGCAAGGTAAAGAAAAACGATTAAAAAAAAAGTATCCCTGACCATGTAGCTGCTTCCAAATGGGTGTCATCTTGACACAAACGAATGGCCACTGGCCCATTTGAAGCCTTGATCATCTTATTTCAGCGTTTTACCAAAAGCAGCCTGCTATGTTGAGGGTGTGTCAAATTCCATTTGTTTCGAATCGCATCTCGTTGTAAGCTATATAGTCTATAAGAAGGATTAAACCCTGAGAATACGATGCAAGGAGCATAATCTCTGTGCAAGCATCATCAGCAGCACTGCTATAGCGCACAGCATCCATGTTGGTTTGCTTCCTGGCCTGTTCTTGATGCAAGATAAGGATGGATCGTCAGCATTAATTTTCAAAGGTAAGGGGCAGCGTCTCGAGGAGAGTAAATGATGGGAATATATCTTTCGGGCTCACCTTTCAGTCGGCTCTGGTGCGCTGCAAAACGAACGATCCCAGCAGGTTATAATTTTAGACAGTGTGGCGTGACTATGGCTGCATCTCGAACGTACCCGGACCCTCTCTGGCTCCCACTACGCAACCATGGACAGCTGCAGCAGTACGTTGACTCCGCCCCCGAACACCCCATGGCGACCCGACGTGCGCGTGCACCGACCAGCCAGGATGATGGGAGACAGGATGCAGGATGCAAAGGCGTGCAAATCCAGTACTGCCGAGCACTGCAAACGGTCCAAGGGAAGCGAAATGTGCACATGAGCGCAATCCGGTAAACTACATCATCATATAAGTGATTTAGGAGACCACTGGCCATCTTTGATCGAGTAATGTTTACATTTTAAAGAAATGGCGGGTCATTGCGACAGATTTAAGGTGGAATTTCATCGGAGAAGTTGTCATAGATGTTCATGGGTTAGGTCTATAACGTTAGTAACTCCAGGAAAGAAAGCTAAAGTCATAGTAAGCCCTCCCAAATAAAACAGAAAACATATAAATTGAATTTGCTCCTCATTTTTACGACTAAGACGATTTTTGGCACTGCTTGGCACAGTTGCCAGGCAACTGTAGGACGCTCCCGGAAGAAACAAATCACGAACCGTTGCAGCAAAACACAATACCTGTTTTGTTTGTTTGTTTTTTATTTTTTAAGATCTGACCGGTGATATTACATTTTTAATTAAAGTTTAAAAGACCAGAACTGTGTTATGGTTCAAAGTTAGCCCAGCCTTTTTCCCTTTTTCCTGTTTTTATGCTAGCTTAGGCTGTGTCTGAAATGAATCACTCAGTCCCTAACCCCTCACTCCCATATGGGGTTTCACTATATAGCTGACTACGTAGTGAGCTCAGTCACCGAAGTTTTCAGACACTACATGGCAAGACGCAAAGCATGGCAGGATGCCCACCACCGGTGAGTGACCATCGGATGGTCACTACATTTTGCAATGCTCTATGGGAAATTTTGAGTCACCTATATGGGGCATTGGAATTGATCGCTCGGGTTTCGGACACCCCTCACAAATGGCGCTAACCCTCATATAGTCTCCTATATAGGGGTTAGGGATCCATTTCGGACACAGCCTTAGTTTAGCTTTGCCTCACTTTGTTGTACAGACAATACATTTTTTTGCTCAGTTTTCCCATGATGCACATTTTTTTTCCAGTTGCATCAAACACCAAACAAATCAAGGTATGAGTTAGCTAATGAGCATGGCAAGGCCTAGTCTGGCCTACCACTGCAACCTGACAAGCCTATTGTTTGTTGTCACAGGTAAAGACGCTTTGAAGCTCAAGACGAGTTAAATCATTGTTGTCTTACCAGGGAGAAAAGTGGTACAAGGTGGGGTTCAGGCTGACCAGGGTTTTTTATAATGTGCTGATCATAGACTGTATATAAAATGGACGCCGTCTGCCTCCTCACTGGGGGAAGCCACTCAAAGAACAGCACCCTCTGGTGACGGGCTGCAGTATAGGTCATAAATGTAGTGACTGTCAGACTGGTTTGTGCTCAAGTCCTCTTTTTTCTGTACAGCTCCATTTCTAAAAGTTATTAGGGGGTTCATGTTTTCTATGATTGACACTTGATACAGCCTATGGGCGTACGAAGATTGTGTAGCTGACCTGGGGGATATGCTGTTTGAGCCGAGCGTCATCACAGCGACTCTCATCGACTCTCCCGCTGTATGCGTACAACGCTACAGCGCAATGTTGGTTTCAGGAAATGGAGAAAAAACTGAGAGCTTTTCGGCTTCAAGTCCGTAAAGTGTCAGAAGGCGGAACCAAGTTGTGCATAGTATATACAGTCTATGGTGCTGATCAAGTAGGTTGAGAGGGTAACTTTTAGGCCTTTCTCTTGTAATCTGACAACTAACAAAAAACTACTCAGATTATTGAAGCAAAAGCACATACCCCCCTTAGAAGTTGCTGAGATATATCGCTTTCTCTCTTGGAGTGTGAAGGGTGTTACTCAGAGTTTTACTTTCCTCAAGCTTTTAATAGACCACAGGCCCAATGGATATGTAAGCTAGTTATAGTAACTGGGTTGTGGTTGCGGGGCCCAGTGTGTGATCTATTCATGGACCCCATACCTGGCTATGATCCTTGAGACATGTCGACCAGTTATAATGAGGAAACCAACTTTGATTTTCCAACATTACAAGAAAAATGAGTGGAGATCTTTAGAAACTGTAAGTCGTCACTGGAAAACTGAGTAGTCTAAATAAAATGTATGGATGCACGTTTGCTTAGGGCTTCTGTACCTATGAATTTGAATCGTGTCCTTTTATCTTTACAGAGCAACAGTATCAAACACGTTTGTTAGATGTTTGAAAGACATTTTAGATTAGATTAGATTCAACTTTTATGTCATTGAACATAGTACAAGTACAGGAACAACGAAATGCACTGTAGCATCTAACCAGAAGTGCAAGGTATGCTAAATATGCTAAAATATATACACAGTGTTGGTTACTGCAGGTATGAATAGGCTATACAATAAATAAATATCTAATTATGTACATTATCTATCTGTAGAGTATACTGATTAGTGCAGGTGTGAAAGAGAGAAAATGCTATTAAACAGTGGGTGCGTTGAAGAATATAAACAGTAAGATATTAGGATAGATAGACTGTAATCTGAAGTGGTTCAGGCCTCACACAAAGAGCTATGAGAAGCTAAAGTGACAAGTACATTTACCAGGATACAGGTCACCCAAATGAAAAGCGACAACACAAAGAGAAAAGACAAATCAAAACAAGACAAGACTAAGAAGAAGCGGCAGGGTGAGATGTATGGCAGCTTCCTTTGGGGGCATGTGAAGTTGTCTAATTTGTCCCATCCATCTGCCCATAGGATGTTGGCACCAGGTGACTGTGGGGGCCATGTTCTTTTCCCGTACATCACATTCACTCACATCAAACCATTAAAGGTAGTCTGTCTGTATTTGTACATTATTGTTGTAGCTGTACATGTATACAGATAAGCTTCAAAAGCGAAAAAATCTCTCCACCATTCAAGGAAAGATGTGGTCTGACCGCCATCATTTAGGTTCATCCATGCTCGCCGCACTGGATGCAACTGTTCCTCGGCAACCGTGACGTCACTGTCCTGACCAATCAGAGAGCTCGCAGGGGTGACGCTCCTATCGCGAGGATATCACATTAGCTTGGTTGGATAGCTAGCCGCGAAAAGGCTGACAGTGTTACCCCTTCTGTTTACAGTCCACTCTCCTCTTAGAGCGCTGACAGGACCAGTTATTGCCGTTTTATTGTTGTCTTCTAGCGTCTGATAGAAGAGGAAATCGGCGGACATTGTGCGTTTTACGGTAAGTTGTGCAAACGCACGCAGCCTGCTAACTAGCTGGAGCTGTTGCCCAGGAGGAAAGAGGGTTTGTTTTGGAAGCATCGGGGGAAATTTGTACTGACGATAGTTTGTGCATTAACGCCATTCAACCCCGTAAATTTGGAGTTTTCAGTGGAGTTTTGAATTTAGCATTCCGTCATGAGTGAATGTAATTTCTATTGTGGGTTAATCCTGTAACGTTACTGTTCATGTAGGTACAGACTGTGACCGAGCTGTGTCAGCCTTGCTCATCTTTCGCTGTGTCTTCAATGGCTTCTCCACTTTCCAGGACCCCAATGATGAGTTATGCTGAAAAGCCTGAAGACATCACAAAAGAAGAGTGGATGGACAAACTAAACAATGTGCACATACAGAGGGCAGACATGAATCGGCTCATTATGAATTACCTGGTGACAGGTGAGGAATGCAGCTTAAAGTACAAACTGTGCAGACCAAAAAGGCAAATTATGCATAAGTTATGATGGATTTCTAACTCCTTGCTCGTAAATTTCTTATGTGTGTTTTCAGAGGGATTCAAAGAGGCAGCTGAGAAGTTCCGGATGGAGTCAGGTATCGAGCCAAGTGTGGACCTGGACTCCTTGGATGAGAGGATAAAGATTCGAGAGATGATCCTGAAAGGACAGATACAAGAAGCCATTGCTCTCATTAACAGCCTACACCCAGAGCTGCTTGACACCAACCGATACTTGTATTTTCATCTGCAGGTACACTTGCACTGACCTTTTTGACAAGCTGGTGGTGACGAAGATGTCATTCCATGTGATGAGATTTTGTTCTTTGCAGCTTGAATTTGAGCGTTACACTTCTTTGTTTCTTTCTGTTCTTGCAGCAACAACATTTGATTGAGTTAATCAGGCTAAGGGAGACTGAGTCAGCGCTGGAATTTGCCCAAACACAGCTGGCCGAGCAGGGGGAGGAGAGCCGTGAGTGTCTTACAGAGATGGAGAGAACACTAGCTCTTCTGGCCTTTGACAACCCCGAAGAGTCGCCCTTTGGAGACCTGCTCAACATGATGCAGCGGCAAAAGGTATGCATGTTTTCTGTGTGAGTAGCATTTCTACCAGTGATAAAACAGAACAGAATGCTTCCTTTTCCTGGTTGTATCTGTGTGGTACATTTTCATTCTGGTCTACACTGAACCTTTGGTTACTCAAGGTTTGATCAGTGACTCTGTCATACACAGTTTGTCTTGCTCTAATAAATGAAGGGAAGCCAAAAGACATTACATTTTATTGTCTGATTAAACAGGAAAAGCACCCACATGCTCCAGTGCATACTTGTAAAGAATAGGAATCAGCATTGCAAATAGACAAGACTTGTAACACTGGGGTGTTTGAAAGTGATTTACATGATACAAGCTTGTCCCTTTTCAAAAAAACAAAACAAAAACATGGCACATACATAGATGTTTGTTGCCTGTTTTGATGGCAAATAAAAAAAAGTGTCAGGCTGTTTGATAACTTCTTATTTGATAGTTCTTTTTTTTCACTCAACAGTATTTTTATTAGTTTTATACAGATTCTACAAAGGAAACACATCACAAACACCTCCTTTCCTTCAAAACCTCTGTCTACTGATGGATATTCCTATTACTGTGCTTAAATAACAAATTCTGAAGCTAAAACAAAAATAATAATAAAAAAAACAAGTAAGTGCTGGAATTCGGGTTTTTTTAGATCTTGTAATATATAAGATTTTGAAGAATAAAAAGTAAAAAGGGAATAAGTTAAATGAACTGATGTACGTTAAGAGAAATACAAATGTAGACAAGTCGCTGAAAAGTGAAAAAGTCCATAAAAGAGATAAGAATTTAATGATTATAAAACATCACAGATACATATTTCAAAAAGAAAACAACTAGAAGAAGAGAGTGCTGATTCAAAATGATGAGAGTTTCTGAATGTGGTCCAGAAAAGGTCCCCAAACCTTGTGAATTTTTTGTCATTACCTGCAGCCGAGTAACGAATCTTCTCAAGGTCTATTTTCTTAGTTTTTTTTAATAACAGAAAGAAATATGCTTGTGTCATTTTGACTGCAACACTTAATTTGACAAACAGGTTTGGAGTGAGGTGAACCAAGCTGTGCTGGACTATGAAAACAGGGAGTCGACGCCCAAACTGGCTAAACTCCTGAAGTTGCTGCTGTGGGCACAAAACGAGCTGGACCAGAAGAAGGTGAAATATCCCAAAATGACTGACCTTAGCACGGGAACCATCGAGGACCCAAAGTGAACCCACACAAACAAGATCAGCCACCTTCCACGTCCCCTTAATTTATGATCAGTCAGTGACTGTGTGACAACCAGGTAACATATATGTATAAACAGATGACACATTGTTTTTCATGTTTCATTCATGAGAGATAAGACTTCAGTCATTGTGCAAACTGTAAATTGCTGTATTTGCAAATTGAAAAAAATTATTTAGTTTAAATATTGATCCTGGATTTTTAGATTGATCTCTGATACGATAAAATCCAAATTGCTGTTTTATATTTTGTCTTTTTAAAGTATAAGCTAAACATGTTATTTATTGTGACCATCGTCCCCACTAAGACTTTTTTTTTTTTTTGCCAGAGAGAAATAAGAGTAAAATATCTCGATGTTAATCCAGTGGCGTGCATGGAGCTAAAACTGAGGCTCCTAAAGATTATTGGGATCACAACTGTAATTTTGTCAAATAAGAAGAGGAGCAAACATTTTCCGTTTTCTTTTGGTGAAGATATGTTTACATTAATACAACACACTGCAAGACTCAGATATAGGTGTACAATTTCATACATAAAATGTGAGTATTTTTCAATTAAATGGAAATATACACTTTATTAATGTAAAATAGCATTGATTAATATAATATTTTATGATTTTGTTTGTTATGATGTTTGACAATTTGCTTCAAAATCCATCTCTCGCTTTCTGAACCTGAAAACTGCCTTGTGTGTATAGGAGGGTGAGGTTTGTCCTGATTAAGGGGTTTAAGAAAGAGCTGCCTTTTAGACTGATTTTAACACCTTGAGGCCTGTTTTAGGTCAGCAGAAAGCACCACCACTCACTGGTTGTCAAATTGTCTTATTTTTTAAATGTTAGAAAAATGTTTTGCGAATCCTAATGATGGAAGGAAAGATGGATCTATATGATGAGAAAGGACACAGATGTGGTAATGAATGACAGGTTGATTAAAACAATTCTATTTTGTGAACTCTATTATTCCAAATGAACCTCAGACTGATTCTCTTCATTGGCTCTGTTGAATTGATCCATCGCAATGACAAAAAGCATTGGCTGTTGAATATATACAGGCATTTCACCAGTCTTGTCCATTTTGACACTTTTTAACGCTGTTAGAATTTTCACTTTGATTGCATGCTAGTGTACCTTTTGTCAATGGGAGGAAAAGCACTTTTTTGTTTATTTTGTTGAATTTTTTTTAACTTTTATTAAAATGAAACTTGCTGCTAGTCGTCCATTCATAATTTCTTTATAAGTTTTTATCGTCTTTACATTATAGTTGTTGGCTTTGACAAATACCAAGTCCCAGAGAGCTCACATCCCTTTTATTATTCAACATTTTTAAATCAGATTTGCAATTAACAAAATAAACAAAACTTTTGTGAACCATACAAGACCAGTTTCGTTTTTCTGTGGTGATTTTGCATGTATGCAAATGTTAAAAACACATCTTAAAAAATCAGAGGGAAGTTTTAAAATCAACAACCTGAAACCAAAAAATACATCCTTTCTGAGGATATGCAAAGTCGTGTCCAGTGAACCCATCACTCTGACCTCTCTGATTCTTTTAAATCACTAGCAGGTGCTCGTTTTAGCACTTTGTTTCAACAAGTTGGACCTGTTTTGGCCTGTCTGCCAGAAAACATGAGGTAGAGCTGTGGCATACCTCTCAGTGCAGGAGAGAAGACGCCAGTGCTCTCTGAATGGCTGACAGGCAAACTTCAGGAGACAGCAGGAACGACTGCAAAGTTTATACCACTAATGAGTCTTCAGAGGAAGATCCAGAAGACCCAAACCTGTGGCCCAGGTGAGACTACACACGATTATGATCAAACCTAGAATATGTAGTGATTTAAGGTACACTTTGTCCTACTTTTCCTTTTGGAGGTTCCAAAAAGTAAAAGGTGTTTTTTTTATCTGAGCAAAGTGTCATTTAGTGTTTGAAAGACAGTTTCAGCAGGTTGACTTGATATCACTGCAGTGAAAACTAGACAGTTTATCATCTCTTACAATGAGCAGGATCTAAACAGTGTTATTTGACTTTAATGTAACCAGCTTGACTTGTGCTTCACTTTCCTCTCTTGAGAAACAGAGATTGTTTGATACAACTACTTTGATAGAGCTCAGTTTTCAGACTGTTAGTGGACTGATTGGATACTGAATTATATCAAACAGGCTATAGTGGTGTGAGGGACTGTGTGTGAATATTCACTGTTTAAGCTCTGACTTTGGTGACCCTCTGACTCAGTCTCTGCCCCTACTATATGTCTGAGTTTATAGTTTTATTTTCTGTTAACTGTTGTAAAGCTTATAATGATATTTGATGCTGACATTTGCAGTCTTCAGGTGATAATTTACTCATTACTTTGCTCTCTAACTCAATACTTCAAACACCAATCTACTACTAAGTTACATCCAGATATCTCTGAGTCACAGCTGCTGTCATCATGCTTTAACTCTCCACCACCCAGGTGTAAACAAGCACAGACGGCACCTAGAGATTAAGATAAAAGGGTCTATACCTGAGTGAGGGCAAAGTGACATATAACCTCTTCACCAGAGTGGTTTGAAACCTGCGCAGGCATGTAGATGTCCACCTGCAAAGAGGATAGAAGGCTGATGAAATAAGTCCCATCAGAGTATCACTAATTTTTAAATCAATATGAGGTCAAAATTTTTTATATTTTGCCTCCAGTGTACCGTTAAGCGTAATTTAGCCAATTTAGCCTACATCAGAACCTGGTTACAGGTATGGTAACACAGTCATTTGGTCAGTTTAGACTGAATTATCCATGCTGTCACTGGAAGGATTAGCATGATTAGATGCTTTAAATTAATGTGACATAGTTTCATGTCAAGTACAGTACCTTATACTAACTACTAGCTTTGCTCTGCGGCTAAGTCAATGTGTTTGTTTTGGCATTAAGCTGCTAAAAAAGCTCCTATGCTTTATCAACTGTTGGCACCGCTTTCCTGGCATTTACTTTCCAGGCGTGTTTACTTTTTCAGATGATCAGGGTTTACTTGGCAGCTGTGTTTTTATCCAGCCATACATTCAAACCAGTTTTTGTGTGTGTGTGTGTGTGTGTGTGTGTGTGTGTGTGTGTGTGTGTGTGTGTGTGTGTGTGTGTGTGTGTGTTTGCAGACATCTGGCCCAAAAATGGATCCCAATGCTCTTTATGGGCACCTGTCTCCTCTATTGCGCCAGGATGGCTATGCCAATCTGTGCAGTACCGATGGCAGCCTCATTTCACTGGAGTAAGATTGACTCTGGGCTGGTTCTGGGAGGATTCTTCTGGGGCTACTGTTTCACACAGATCCTAGGAGGACATGCCAGCGACAAGTAAGTGGATCAACTAGTTAAACCGAGCACCAGGACCTGGAATAACAGTTTGAACAGTGACAAGAACAAATCGTTTGTGTTTTCAATTAGCAGGTTCTGTTTAGAGAGTCAGTATTTAACTCTGTTCTGTCTTCTGCTGTGTAAGAGTGGGAGGAGAGCGTGTCCTGTTCATCTCTGCAGCATCATGGAGTCTGACCACAGCTGCTACTCCTCTTCTGGCCAAACTCGGCTCTCACAGCCTTGCTCTCATGACTATGGCCAGATTTCTAATGGGACTTCTGCAGGGTGAGAAGAGCACTAGCCACAGTGTTGAAATGGATTCTTAGCAGATCAAAAATGTTTGGAAATATGTAATCAGAAGTTCACTCTAATGTCCTTTAGTGAAGCAAAGCCTAAACATAGTTAGTGTAGCTTCACTTGTATGGACAAGAGAGTAGTTTTCACTCGGTGCTCTCCAGGAAAAGTGCAGACATTTGTTGTCAAACATCACCAAATATGTCCTGAATTCAAAGTGTCCTGTGCTGTCTTTCAGGAGTGTTTTTCCCGTCTTTAGCCAGCCTTTGCTCACAGCGAGTGGTGGAAGGAGAAAGAGGGATTTTAATGAGCATCATGAACAGCGGTAGCTTTCTTGGGTATGCCATACTCCCCAATCCGCATATGTACTGTAAATAAATCATTAACCTTTGATGACATTGTTTTCCACTTTGTATTTCAGAACATTATTAGCTGGTGGGATGGGGTCCCTGATGCTGGACCACTACGGCTGGGAGAGCATTTTCTACGCTGTTGGTTTGCTGTCGGGACTCTGGGCACTCATGGTCTGGCAGTGTTTCCTAAGAGGTACAGTACCTACACAGAGCACTATCCAGTCACATATCCTTGAATCCTGAAAAGATGGTAGGAAGCATATTTTGACTAAAACCCTAGCTGACTTCCTCTTCCTCTTTTCTAACCCTGTCTTGATTAACAGAGAACAATATCAGTTAAAGAATAAGATGTGTTGACCAACATTAGATTGGTGTGTCATGCTATGCTACGCTATGATGTGGTCTCAGATAATAGGGTAACACTTTATTTGACGCCTATCTCTTTAACACATTATAAATATATGTATAATGCGTTATAATCACGTTATAGCACAGTATAACTATAGTTGTAAACACTCATAAATGACCATAATACTTTATCGCAATAATCATAACACATTATGAAGCATTTTATCATGACTTACAAGATCAGGTATTATAATGTGATATAACTGTAAACAACTCACTGACAATACCCACATAAATAATGCATTATACATATATTTATGATGTCTTATAATTTCATTATAAACTTGTATAACTATCATTATAAACACTCATTAATTATCATAAGGATTTATAACAATAAGCATAACAAATAATAATACCTGACCTTGTAAGTCATGATAAAATGCTTTGTAATGTGTTATTATTATTATAGCTATAGTTATACAGTGTTATAATGTGATTATAACACATTATACATATATTTATAATGCATTATAGAGATAGGCGTCAAGTAAAGAGTTACCGGTAATAGTTCTATAAAACTTCCTTTGCCTCTTGACTTTTACATCCATTTGAAGTTATTCCATGTTAAAGGCACAGTAGTGAGTATCTTAATGGTGGAGAAACAGACTGAAACTTATACTGATGCTTTGATAACTGATACTTTAAGACCTACAAAGGAAACAAGACAATCTTTCTGTGTTATTGTGCTGTTTGTGCTCTATTTCTTGATAAACTAGGCTCAGCGTTGAGTTAAGGGTTAGGTTATGGTTGGGTTTAGGGTTACTGTTAGAGGGTAAGGGTTTAATGTGAAGTATAGGGTTAAGGTTAGATAAGGTTCAGGTTAAATATGCAGGTTGTTTTACCTGTATATTTTTCAACTCATTTGCATATCTCTGTATTATTAGCTCTGTATTATTAGCCTTAGCTGCACCTTCTGCTTTATTATCATTTGCAGCTTTAACTCAACTAACATGCCAAACTAGAACGGCGAGCATGCATGTCATTCAACCAGCTGAACAGTCAAACGTGTTGGCATCATGATTACAAAGAGGGTTCTTCATGAGCATCCTGCAGTGTCAATGTGCTGCTGTACTGCTTGATAAAGTGCGTAAGATGATCATTTAAGCCTTACAACAGATGAATCAAATCTGCATTATGTCTGGTTCAGGTGATGTTGCCCTCAAGCAGATGGAAGTCAGCACTGAGTCACAGTGGAGTTTATCAAGAGCACGCTGGCTGAGTCTTATTAAGGAGCCGTCCGTCTGGTACAGATTATGTTCTTAAATCTCGTTTTTACCATTACATGAGCGTGGATGTTTTCACTCTCACCTCATCTCTCCTCTCTTTAAGGGCTATGGTGTTCGCTCACATGTGCATGTGCAGCTCAAGCTACACGTTATTGTCCTGGTTGCCGACGTACTTCAAAGAATCATTTCCTCATGCCAAGGTAACTGTCTTCCTCTTCTGTAAGTTATTATTAACTGAGCTGTGCTGTTGAAATATCTCAAGAAGAGTTATTTTTTCCTGCCTGACCTTCTATTCTCACAGGGGTGGGTGTATAATGTAATCCCCTGGCTAGTTGCGATTCCCTCTGCACTTTGTGGTGGCTACGTTTCAGATTTTCTCATAAACGAAGGTATCAAAGATGTCACCATCCCTTTACTGTACCTCTCCCAAAAAAAGACTCTGTTTACATCTTATATTATATTTTAGGATACAGTGTGGCAGCTGTGAGAAAGATAATGCAGGTGAGTTGGAAAGACTCTACTCATGTTTTGTGTTGTGTCTGTGTGGAGGGAAAAGTCTAACCCGGCTATGTGCTGGAGTGCAGTGGAATTTTAGTTGTGCATTTCAAACATGTAATTACAAGCTGCACAGCACCCGAGGGCAGAGGAGTACTGTGTTACTGTATGTCTTCTGTGGCAAAAATAGAAACGGGGAACTGCTCTGGCCGATGAAGGCGCACATTTTCACTCTGCAACTATGAAACACTTGATTTCACACAAAAAATGTTCATACCATCTATAATAAAACAAAGATCTTCTCAATTTTACTGAGAGTTTTAAAACAAACTCCACTTCTGTGTTTGTATTTTTCTGTGTGTGTTTAAATACCTTCATGGCTCTTTCCTCCTCAGTTTTTTGCCATGGGCGTATCCAGCATGTTATTAATGCCTCTGTGTGGAGATGTGTCGTTTTCCTCTGCTGTGATTTTCATCTCTGCTGCCGTGGGGCTAACCACCTTCACCAGCGGGTACGTTGGATTATTAAGAGTCTCTGTTTCAACTGTTTATGCAGCTTTTTTAAAAGATTTTCTGAGTGTGAAGGAAAACTAAGTCAATATTTAATGAGTAATTGATGGAAGTATTGTATTTTTATTATCATCAACTTAATCAGTAAGTTTTAAACTAATCATGAGTGAACTCACCTCTCAATACTGTCTAACTCCTGGGTATCAAACCTCTAAACTTTCTTTATACAGCATGAGTCGGTGTTGAAAAGTAAGCTATCTTTACTCCTGTAATTCATACAAGCACATATGTTGCATGATTGTGTCACATTTTCTGCATCTTTATTCACTTTTTGAATCGCTCCACTTCAGTTTTTGATCATTTTTGACTCTCACTTTGATTTAATAATCAGTTCATTCACTATCAAAGGTAAGAAATAGACCTTATTAGGTTGTTTACTGATGGAAAATCTATGTTGGGTTACCATAAATAATATAAAACTGCGCATATCCAGACCTTGCTGTTTTTGTAAGCCGTCCTGAGACCATCTTTGTTATGATTTGGTGATTTATAAACACAGTTTGATTGACTGACAGATGTCTAAGGGGGAATAAAGCCAATTTCTCCTATACTTGATGCAGAATGTAACTGCTTTGTGGATTAAATTTTTACATTTTTATCCAATAATTGTAATAATAAACAATAATGGAATTGGATATTCTGGACAGGACTCATTTAACACTTTTCCAGAGGTTAAAAAAATCACATGAACACCAACAACCAGAAGTTAATGACCTTTAAAGAGTGAAACAATCAGAGTTTTTTGATAACATGTAGCAGGACTGTGTGTTGGTGGGTGTCACTGGGAGGTATTGTTAGCCTCGGCCAAACAAGGACAGCCGGATGTCTTCTTACAGGAAGAAAGATTACACTTGACACGGGATGTAAATTTTATCTCTGTTTACTGCTGAGGATGGTGACCCGACGATAACAGTATACAGTCCAGTGCAGACGAGCTTTTATAGTCCTCTCCAGAGCAAGCGAGAAATCACAGCAACAGAGACTGAGTAAACAAACCCAGAATAAGAATCCCTATGATATACATCACACAGTGTGATATGCAATGGTTTTAAACTCTTAAAACATCTTTTAAAAGCTTTTAATGAAGTGTAACTGCTGCTGTTTGTATGTAATGAGTTCTAATGTGTTTCAGAGGAGTGTCTGTGAACGTGCAGGATCTGACCCCATCATGTGCTGGTGCTCTCTTTGGTCAGCAAGTTAAAGTTGTCTGTAAACTTCACATGCAGTATTTTAATGACTGTTGAAGGACTTTTGATCACTGGTCTTTTTCTGCGACAGGTTTCATGAATATGTTGGGTGCTTTTGGGGGTACGTATCCATGAAGTTTATTTGTGTTTTAGCACTCTCTTCTTCTGGTTATCATTTTGGAAATCCTAACTCAGTGTGTGTGTGTGTTTCTCAGGGCTACTGATGGTCTCTCTGTCGGGTTACCTGATTGAGGTCACGCAATCCTGGGCCTGGGTGTTCTCCCTCATCACTCTCATGAACACCTCAGGCCTCGGGATCTTCCTCATTTTTGGAAATGCTCGTCGAGTTGACATGGAGGGTTACAGTCAGGTTCTGGTGATTTGACTTGGACTTTCTGATCCAAATCCTGATCTAGGAACCACATCTAAGTCTTCAGAAGATATAGATGTGAAGCTGCGTTTGTTTTTCATTGTGTTAAACCAGAGATTACAGGGTTGTTAACTGCAAAGCACGTTAAAGCTCCTGTGAGGGACTTAGAGTTTGTGGGGTTTTTGGTTCCCTTTGTGGACAAAGTGGTACCTCTCATATCTTTGTCTTCCTAGTTATTCATAACTAGTAAAGTAATCCTCAAAGGAGCTTTAAAAATTGTGTGTTATATGTTAAATATGACTGAATTTTACAAATGTTTAATATATAAATAAGCTTTTTTTAAATATTAGTTTATTTATTAGTGACTTCCTAACGAGTCTATGCTGCTAATGACTTTTAAATAGTAGAGTAACAACTAATGAAGTGAATTAAGAAAATCTGTTAAGGGTTGTTAAGTGTGACTTAATCTGATCTAGATTTCAGTCTTTATCTGATTTCATGTTTATCTTGACCAAAAGGGGAAAAAATGAGGCAACAAATGATCAAAATAAGCCCCAAAATGAATCAAATGTATCTCTGTCTGTCTGTCTGTCTGTCTTGCTTTTCTTCCTCCCCACAGAAATATTGCTCTCTAATTTAGACTTTAAATCTAGACGAGGTTCTGCAACAGCTAACCTTTTTTTTCCTGTGAGTCTTACTCAAACTGAGTAAGTTTTGTGTGTGTTGGGTAATATTTTCCCGAACATTTTATATTTTGTGTTAGCAGAACATTTTATTTTTGAGACTGTTGTGATAAAATAATAACCAATTGAAAGAATGTGTCCTTTCTCTAAGTTAAAAGTTTTGTCTATATTTCTTTCTAAGTGTTTCATCTTCTTTTGGCCAAAATGTTCAAATCTTTAAGCTCATTACATGTTCATTTTATTTTTATTTTTAATGGACTTGGCACTTGACTTGTAGTTGATGATAATGGTGTGTTTTAAACAGCTCAGGTATATGTTTTAATAGTTAACTCATGTTGAATATTTATTCAAATAAGCACTTAATGAAATGGTTGAAATGAGTGTGGCTTTGGTGACTGCTGAGAAAATATTTTGTAAAGTATAATGGTCTGTACATGAAAATGAAAATGAAACATGTTTTATTATCAAAATAAGACTCTTTGGGGACAAAAATTTGTTTGTGCACAATCCTCCTTTTGTAATTGGGTCTCTTATCTACTTCAATTTTGTTATCACCATAGGTCATACAGTAAAACTGCAACACAGACAAATGAATTAATACTGATCAAAGCTCTGTTACATTAGACTGGACTGGTATAAGTATATGCATTATTAAAACACAACCATTATAGCTTTTTAAAAGAAAAGAAAAAATAGAAAATCTCTTTCAAATTATAGTGTTTGATTGTTTGATGCCCTCTAATTTCTTTGTACATGTAAATCCAATGAAGACACTTCACATTGAACAAAACTGCAATCTTTCTTGATTCTTAAGGGGACCCTCCCAAAAGAATCAATAAAGTTATATCTAATCTAATCCAATCAAATCTAATTTCAAGGCGCCCCCCAGTGGACGGTGCGAACTGCACCAAGAGTTCTTTTCTTCATGTGAATATTTTTTTGTAAAGTCTAAATTCTGTTTAAGTATTAAACGCATGAACTGCTTAAGAAACAAAGACTGATATAAGATAATAAAAAGAAAATTTAAACATTTGAAAAAACATCACAGTATGTAAAATAGAGTTTAAAGAGAAAAGACAGTCTGTTTCCGAAGGCGTGACCGTTCCATCAGCTGTTCTAAGACGCGTCACACAACCATCACATGACACTGAGGATGACTGCTGCCAGCACGTCGAAACATGTCAGCAAGGTAAATAAACCTGTGTCTGTATAAAAGAACATCTGAAAATGCAGAATTATTGAGACCTTTTCGGCTTTTAATCCGTAATACTGGCGGAAGGCGTAACCAAGTTGTCCCTAATATATACAGTCTATGGTCAGGTCTCAAAGGGTTGCATGGCTTTACAGGGAAAAGTTGGTCCCCCTGCTGGGCCACCCCAGTGGAAAATGATAGATCCACCCCTGTTCAAGGTACCACCAACCCAGGAAACAGACTTTCTCTCCTTGGATGATCTTCCTAATCAATCTTTTTTTTTATCAACAGTTCTTGAAAAAAAAAAAACCTCTAGGTGAATGAGGGTAGGACAGTTTCATCAGTTTGAGCTGGAAAAGGTCTCTCTGTGGTTCAGTTTCAGCACCCCGGTCAGCGCATTTCCCAGTCTGCATTGTTTCTTAATTAGAGCTGGAAAAAAAAACGCCACAGAGATGCATTAAATCTTATTACTGGGTCTATTTTCATTGGGGGGAATATTCAGCGCTTTAATACGATACATCAACGTCATGACGTTTCTGCTCCAGCCTATGAAGACCGGGGATGAGGGACGCACGCAAATCAGGACGGGGAGCTTTTGATGTGGAGAAATGTCTCATATGCTAAAAGACAAAATGATAACAGCTATTTTTAGGTGTTTTTTCCTGTCGGTGAGAGCTGACTGAGAGACGTTTTTACCTCTCACTGCCGTAAACTCTGAGTGGACATCTTCCCCGGGCCTGTCCGCCTCTCTCCTCCGATGGTACCAGCACTGTGGACGGTATTGTTTGGCCTCCATCTCCATCTCCATCTCTTTAATGGCATAAAGCAGGATGTTTCCACTGGAGGAGACAGTGACCTGATAAAGAAGCCACTGTGCTGCGGAGTGAAGGCACGCCGGATCTGGACATTTTCTATTTATGGCGTTACTGGAGGCTATTACCATCAAGACAAGGAAATGGCGAAAATACGCACTATAAAACAAAATGATCATGCATGCTTTGAACGTGTCATTCCTTCAAAGAGTCATATGTAATAGACATGATATAAAGATGATGATAGAAATGTTGGTTGATGCTATTGTTGTGCGTAAATGGCGTCCAGGCCTGGCGTAGTCACTGATGTTTTTTCCAGTATGTGTGTGTTTCTTCTTTCATTCCCTTAAAGCTTCAACTTTCCTCCATCAGACAGCAGGATCCCGCTCCTCGTGTTCACGGCGGACCTTGATTTATTAGCCATACAATTAAGGCACGCGGTGAATGCCAAGAGAGGAATCACACACACACACGTTTATGAGGATGGAGAGAGAGAGAGAGACATCAGCAAGAAGAGAAGGAGGAGGACACCTCATTGTTTTCCTTTCAAAGTTTGTGATAATTTGATAAGTATGTGAACAACTGTAAACAATATACAAACTCCAAAAAAGAGCAATAAAAATAGTAAATTAAAGTACCTACAGAGAACCATCAAACCCACTCTTCATCAAACTTCTTTTTTATTGTGGTCCTAAATCTACATCAATGATTTCTTTGGATGATCCAATGACTATTCTATAATTCTACTATTCTATCATTATTCTAACAAAGTAATAAAAATAACAAAAACAGCCTGTGATACAAACAGGCAGGCAACAGCAGCACAACTAGCATTGGTTTCTAGCATAAATTCCCAGCCAAATTGAAGATAATTTCCGAATCAAGGAAAAAAACGTTGTAAAACTGAAAAAAGAATTAATGTTAACTTTACTTTTCGGATTGAAACAACGTTTGTTGGATTATGAAGAAGTGCGAAGAATCTCTATGGAAGATGTCCCACTGATAATCTGAAATCGCTAACCCCAAGAGTGGCATCAATGTGAATTCCTCCTATTTTAAATGGATTTTATTTCATTTAAGTTTTATATACTTTTCGCATTGCCTGTCTGGTACAGTGTAACTAAGAGCTATGACAGGAAAACTGTGACAGAGCTTGCTCAAAGCTATGAAGATAAATACATGATGGTTATTTAAAAAAGCTATTTCTGGATTAAAAGATTATCAATTTATTTCTGAAAAATTGTGTTTTTAAATTTTATTTGTGAACAATTCTTTTATCAAAATAAGAAAAATTAATGCATTTCACTCGTCCTTTGAGTTTGGCAAGAAATGTGATTGATATATCGGTAAAAACAAATGCTAAGGCTAATAGTAATTTAACAGAAATATGGCAATTGTTAGCCGTTTTTAAACAACAATACATCCTTTATTTTGAAAAGTTTTCCAAAATGAACGTGAAAAAGACAGCCTTTGTGCCGGGTATTTTCCTCTGTTTTGTTTCTATCTAATGTTTACTTCCCCTTCACCGGATATCCGCTTGTTCACGTGACTCAGAGCCACGCCCCCGCTGTTAATTACGCGCAGGTGTGCAGCAGGTGAAAACGCAAACAGAAATCGTGTCAACATTTATATCAAAATACTAAAAAGCAGAGAAAATGAGAGCGATGTAAAAGGAGGACAACATATTCCGAATCACGGCGCATCGTAACTTTTGAGGTGAGTAAAAGAGAAGTGAGCAGAAACACGAAAACTCTAATTGGATAATGTTAATGCTAACGCTTATGCTAACAGGCTTGTCGCTAACCGTTCCGTCCCCAAAAACCCGATTTGTACTGCGCATGTGCGAAAGTAAACGGTCAATCTTTCCCATCTTTTACTAATCTCTTTTAATATTTTGGAGCTGTAAACCAACTACAGTGAAATTTCTGTGGCTGAAGTCTTATTAAACTTTATGTTAACTCAATGGAAAACACCTCATAAGTTTAGTCTGTGGAAAAAAAAGCTTTATGAATAAATTTTTGTTTACAAATATATATACACAGTTTGTTCCACCCACAATATTTCATAGATATTCATTATTACTGAACTAAAAAACAGGTAAGAGTGTGCAGGAATATATAGCTTTAATACAACAAAAATAAAGAAGAGAACTGTGTGTCTGTTAAAGTTGTTAAAAGTTGTATTTTTCTCTCTTGCAGATCTGTGGACATGATGGACGCCACGCTGGAAGAAGAGGGACAGAGCGGTCATCTTCCCTGAGCTGAAGCTCTAAGGTAAGAGGGTTTTCTTTGTATCACAACTGTAGTTTCATGTTGCAACGCTGAGATTTAACAGCTGAGAGTTTAGCTGGTTTTTAGGTTTGGTTCTAGTTTGACTGTAGAGAAAATTATCTGACACTGTTACTCACAAAAACCTCTCTGCAGCCTCAATAGTATCACACTGAAGGTTTCAACATGATCTAAAGGAGCCAAGACTCCGGGTTTATGTTTATTAATGTTAAATAAATTCTCTTTAGCTCCACCAGGCTGAAGAAAAGGCTGTTTGATTGGAATATTTGGAAACCACATAAATATCAACAAAATTAAACAATTAGTCTTCAAGTTAAAAAGCAGTAACATTATGCTAACAACAATAAGAAATTTTCATCTTTAATTCTAGCTGTAAACTCCGGTGGTTTCTAAAAAGAAAACCAAATAAAACTCAATCAAATATAATTGTTCACTAGAGGGCGCTGTTTCTAAACAAAACTGCCCTGCTATAAATAATGCCTGTATTATTCCACTTAATTTATAATAAAAATCACATACCAACACATGCTATAAGTCTTTATCAATATATAAATGGATAATTCAATAAATTAGTACACCTTTGTATCTGACAGAAACATACTTGTAGTATAAAAATGTGACATGTTATTCTTGAAGCAGTTAGTGGACTTTATGTACTGTCGGCCTACAGTTTTGTAAGAACGATTGAAAAAGGAGTGAATCCAAATAGATTATTTTTCATCTTCATAATTTTATAATCCACTCACAAAGAACTCTACAAAGAAATATAAGCTTTAAGTCCAAGTCCAGAGTAGTGTTGTATCAGTAGATTGTGACTTAAAAGTCCTGGTTTAATCATTCATAGATATTCATAGACTTATATCAGCTTCTCTGGCAGTCATGTAAATGTAAGTGCAGATGGATCTTAAGAACAAATTCAGGAAAACTTTTCATTTATTTTTACTGTTTCAAAAGACATTGCGGTAAAAAAAACCTTCTTGATCAGTGAAGTAGCCTGAGAGCTTCTCTCAGCTCTCACCACAGTCCAGTTTTGACATCCTCAGCTCAGATTTTTGTCTTTTGTTGGGTTTAATGTGACAAACTAATTGTCTCCCTTCTTTTCTTTCAGGACTCATCGCCAGCAGATCCTGGAGTTTGGGGGGGCCTCCTCCTCCTCCCCTCAACCCTCTTCCTCCTGTGTCTCCCTAATGATGTTTTAGTTTTATTCCTGGTTCAAGTGGTAGTTCAGTTTAGAGTCTGAATTTATTATTTCACCTTTTCACAGAGTGTTAGAGACTTAAGTGACGATTAAAGTGAAGATTTGAGACACTTCAATTATTTACTTAAAAGCTTTTAGGTATCATTAGTCTGCAGTTAATATAAAACAGTTCAGATTGAATCATTTTCTAGTTGAAGTTATCCATAGTCTTTAAATCTTTGCTTTTGAATCAAGATGTTGGTGCATTTATGTGATGTCTGGCATTTCCAGGGAGGGTCTGATGAAAATAAAGAGACACAGAATCACAGTGTGTCTGTATTTTTTATTTATAAACTTGTGGGTCCCCCCCTCTGGTGGTTGTGTTGTTGGCTCAGCCCCTTCAGGGTCTTTGGTCCCTGATATTGTTGTTGATGTTTTCAGCAGCTCTAGTATTTGTTTTTTATGTAACACTCAGCTGCTGTTGTGTTTTTATACTGCAGATGTATTAGGACACAGTTTGTAGTTACAGCTCAGATTTTAAGTTTGGTTTTTGACCTTGTGGACTTTTTAAATCCAAATCAGGTGTGTAGAGACAGATCAGCACAAAGAGTAAGTAAGAGTCCTATTAAGTGTTCAGCAGGTTTGTTTAAAGTAAAGTTTAAAAGTTTTTATTTGTGAAGTTAAAGTCTGTCAGCTTTGAGTGTTTTCTTAGTGTCAGTTTTAGACTCTATTTATTGAGCTGTCAGAGGAGCTTTAAGGTCTGTATTTTCAGAGCTTATATCACTGTGACTGTCTGTTTATTTTAATCAGACCCTCCCCATCCTACCCCTTTCCTCCTGTGTCTCCCTCAGGTAGCCGTTCATCTGCTTAATGATGTTGAGTTTGTTCCTGGTTGAAGTGGTAGTTAATTTTAGTGTCTGAATTTATTATTTCACCTTTTTCTTGAGTGTCTAGAAGATTTTAGACACTATAATCATTTACTTAAAATCTTGTAGGTATCATTTTTCAGCAGTTATTTTAAAATGCTTCTGATTAGTTCAGGGAGGGAGGGAGTTGCCTCTGATATAGTAGTCCCCAATGGCGTTCTCCTTGGCCTCCTTTTGGCTGTTCTCCAGAGCTTTGACAGCAAAGGAGTCAGACCTTTTTGGAAACTACCTTTACCTGTCGCTGTAGCTCAGAGGATAAGAAGACTGACTGGGACTCCTAAGGTCGTGGGTTCGAACCCTTGTCCAGGTCTTGGTGAATTTTAAAGTCCAAGAGCCAAAGTACAAAGATAAAAGCGGGCGTACCTCATGCCCTAGTGTGGATGGTATCTAATGGTGCTGCACGATAGTCTACTGACACCCAATGGGTGCCGGTTTGATCCCAGCTCGTGGCTGGAGAGTATTAGTCATGGTCAGATTATCATCATTAGAAGAGATGATTTTATTATTATTTATCATCATCAGAAGTGATGAATAGTACTTCTTCCTGCTAGAGAAGAACTCTCTATTTAGAGAGAAGAATTCTCTATTTATTATCATCATCCCATCACTTTAAACTTCCTTTCTCGAGTGGGAATCGAACCGGGGAACCCACATTGGGTGCCGGTTGACTACCACACTGCGCTATCAGATACATCCACACTTGGACATGAGCTCCGCGCGCGTTTATCTTCGTACTTTGGCTCCTGGACTTTGAATTTCAACTTGACTTAGATAAATTGATCAATCAATCTCAGAAATCCCAGTCAGTCTTCTTATCTTCTGACCCATATGGACACACAAGAGTATTGTGTTTGCTTCTTCTTTCACTTTCCTTTCTAAACACTGGACCTTAAAATTCACCTAGACCTGGATAAGGTTTGATCTCACGACCTCAGGAGTCCCAGGCAGTCGTCTTACCATTTGAGCCACATGGTCACTGAGGAGAATTTCAGGTTTTCCCTATTTCACTCTCCTTTTTAGACACTAGACCTTAAAAACTCACCTCTACAGGGGTAAGGTAAGGTAAGGCTTGAACCCACGACCTTAAGAGTACCAGTCAGTCTTCTTACCATTTGAGCCACATGGACACACAGAAAAATTCTGTTTTTTTCCTATTTGACTCTCCCTTGTATACACTAGACTTTAAAATTCACCTTGAAGGGTCAGAGTATACGTTGTCCCTTTTTTTTTTCGGACTAAAATATGACATTTTTAACATCCAATACTATGGCATTTGGCTCAGACAATACAATGGCATATTTTTTCATCCTAAAATCTGACATTTTTTTCGTCCTAAAATCTGAAATTTTGGTCATACTATACTATGTCGTTTTTTTCCGGACCAAATCATGAATCTTTTATTTCCTGCTAAAATATGACATTTTAACCATCCTATACTATGGGATTTTGATCAAACAATACTATAGCATGTTTTTTCATCCTAAAATCTGAAAAAAAAATTTCACCCTAAATCTGAAATTTTGGTCATACTATACTATGTCGTTTTTTTTCCGGACTAAAATATGTTTTATTTTTCTATTTTTCACTAAAATACGACATTATTACCATCCTATTCTATGGCATTTTGTTTAAACAATACAATAACATGTTTTTTCATCCTAAAATCTGAAAAAAAAATATCACCCTAAATCTGAAATTTTGGTCATACTATACTATGTCGTTTTTTCCCCAGACTAAAGTATGACTTTTTTTCTTTTTTCTTGTTAAAATATTACATTTTTAAGATCCTATTCTATGGCATTTTGATCAAACAATACTATAGCATGTTTTTTCATCCTAAAATCTGAAAAAAAAATTTCACCCTAAATCTGAAATTTTGGTCATACTATACTATGTCGTTTTTTTTCCGGACTAAAATATGTTTTTTTTTCTTTTTTCTTGCTAAAACATGACATTTTTAACAAACTATACTATAGCATTTTATTCAGACAATACTATAGCATGTTTTTTCATCCTAAAATCTGAAAGAAAAATTTCACCCTAAATCTGAAATTTTGGTCATACTATACTATGTCGTTTTTTTTCGGACTAAAATATGTTTTTTTTTCTTTTTTGCGCTAAAATATGACATTTTTAAGATCCTTTTCTATGGAATTTTGATCAAACAATACTAAAGCATGTTTTTTCATCCTAAAATCTGAAAAACAAAATTCACCCTAAATCTGAAATTTTGGTCATACTATACTATGTCGTTTTTCTCCCGGACTAAATTATGATTTTTTTTCTATTTTTCACTAAAATATGACATCATTACCATCCTATTCTATGGAATTTTGATCAAACAATACTATTACATGTTTTTTCATCCTAAAATCTGAAAAAGAATTTCACCCTAAATCTGAAATTTTGGTCATACTATACTATGTCGTTTTTTCCCCAGACTAAAGTATGACTTTTTTTCTTTTCTCTTGTTAAAATATTACATTTTTAAGATCCTATTCTATGGCATTTTGATCAAACAATACAATAGCATGTTTTTTCATCCTAAAATCTGAAAAAAAAATATCACCCTAAATCTGAAATTTTGGTCATACTATACTATGTCGTTTTTTTTCCGGACTAAAATATGATTTTATTTTTTTCCTGCTAAAACATGACATTTTTAACAAACTATACTATAGCATTTTATTCAGACAATACTATAGCATGTTTTTTCATCCTAAAATCTGAAAAAAAAATTTCACCCTAAATCTGAAATTTTGGTCATACTATACTATGTCGTTTTTTTTCGGACTAAAATATGTTTTTTTTTCTTTTTTGCGCTAAAATATGACATTTTTAAGATCCTTTTCTATGGAATTTTGATCAAACAATACTAAAGCATGTTTTTTCATCCTAAAATCTGAAAAACAAAATTCACCCTAAATCTGAAATTTTGGTCATACTATACTATGTCGTTTTTCTCCCGGACTAAATTATGATTTTTTTTCTATTTTTCACTAAAATATGACATCATTACCATCCTATACTATGGGATTTTGATCAAACAATACTATAGCATGTTTTTTCATCCTAAAATCTGAAAAAAAAATGTCACCCTAAATCTGAAATTTTGGTCATACTATACTATGTCGTTTTTTCCCCAGACTAAAATATGACTTTTTTTCTTTTTTCTTGCTAAAATATTACATTTTTAAGATCCTATTCTATGGCATTTTGATCAAACAATACAATAGCATGTTTTTTCATCCTAAAATCTGAAAAAAAAATATCACCCTAAATCTGAAATTTTGGTCATACTATACTATGTCGTTTTTTTCCGGACTAAAATATGATTTTATTTTTTTCCTGCTAAAACATGACATTATTACCATCCTATTCTATGGCATTTTGTTTAAACAATACAATATACATGTTTTTTCATCCTAAAATCTGAAAAAAAAATATCACCCTAAATCTGAAATTTTGGTCATACTATACTATGTCGTTTTTTCCCCAGACTAAAATATGACTTTTTTTCTTTTTTCTTGCTAAAATATTACATTTTTAAGATCCTATTCTATGGCATTTTGATCAAACAATACTATAGCATGTTTTTTCATCATAAAAACGGAAAAAAAATTTTCACCCTAAATCTGAAATTTTGGTCATACTATACTATGTTGTTTTTTCCCCAGACTAAAATATGACTTTTTTTCTTTTTTCTTGCTAAAATATTACATTTTTAAGATCCTATTCTATGGCATTTTATTCAGACAATACTATAGCATGTTTTCTCATCCTAAAATCTGAAAAAGAAATTTCACCCTAAATCTGAAATTTTGGTCATACTATACAATGTCGTTTTTTTCAGACTAAAATAAGATTTTTTTTTTTTTCCTGCTAAAATATTACATTTTTTAAGATCCTATTCTATGGCATTTTGATCAAACAATACAATAGCATGTTTTTTCATCCTAAAATCTGAAAAAAAAATATCACCCTAAATCTGAAATTTTGGTCATACTATACTATGTCGTTTTTTTTCCGGACTAAAATATGATTTTTTTTTTTCCTGCTAAAACATGACATTTTTAACAAACTATACTATAGCATTTTATTCAGACAATACTATAGCATGTTTTTTCATCCTAAAATCTGAAAAAAAAATGTCACCCTAAATCTGAAATTTTGGTCATACTATACTATGTCGTTTTTTCCCCAGACTAAAATATGACTTTTTTTTCTTTTTTCTTGTTAAAATATTACATTTTTTAAGATCCTATTCTATGGCATTTTGATCAAACAATACAATAGCATGTTTTTTCATCCTAAAATCTGAAAAAAAAATATCACCCTAAATCTGAAATTTTGGTCATACTATACTATGTCGTTTTTTTTCCGGACTAAAATATGATTTTTTTTTTTTCCTGCTAAAACATGACATTTTTAACAAACTATACTATAGCATTTTATTCAGACAATACTATAGCATGTTTTTTCATCCTAAAATCTGAAAAAAAAATGTCACCCTAAATCTGAAATTTTGGTCATACTATACTATGTCGTTTTTTCCCCAGACTAAAATATGACTTTTTTTCTTTTTTCTTGCTAAAATATTACATTTTTAAGATCCTATTCTATGGCATTTTGATCAAACAATACAATAGCATGTTTTTTCATCCTAAAATCTGAAAAAAAAATATCACCCTAAATCTGAAATTTTGGTCATACTATACTATGTTGTTTTTTCCCCAGACTAAAATATGACTTTTTTTCTTTTTTCTGCTAAAACATGACATTTTTAACAAACTATACTATAGCATTTTATTCAGACAATACTATAGCATGTTTTCTCATCCTAAAATCTGAAAAAAAAATTTCACCCTAAATCTGAAATTTTGGTCATACTATACTATGTCGTTTTTTTTTCGGACTAAAATAAGATTTTATTTTTTTCCTGCTAAAACATGACATTTTTAACAAACTATACTATAGCATTTTATTCAGACAATACTATAGCATGTTTTTTCATCCTAAAATCTGAAAAAAAAATTTCACCCTAAATCTGAAATTTTGGTCATACTATACTATGTCGTTTTTTTTCGGACTAAAATATGTTTTTTTTTCTTTTTTGCGTTAAAATATGACATTATTACCATCCTATTCTATGGCATTTTGTTTAAACAATACAATAACATGTTTTTTCATCCTAAAATCTGAAAAAAAAATATCACCCTAAATCTGAAATTTTGGTCATACTATACTATGTCGTTTTTCTCCCGGACTAAATTATGATTTTTTTTCTATTTTTCACTAAAATACGACATCATTACCATCCTATTCTATGGAATTTTGATCAAACAATACTATTACATGTTTTTTCATCCTAAAATCTGAAAAAAAATTTCACCCTAAATCTGAAATTTTGGTCATACTATACTATGTCGTTTTTTTTTTTTCGGACTAAAATATGATTCTATTTATTAATATAAATCTATGGAATAAATCCAGGTGATACCCTACAATCACTAACCTGGAAGTAAACAGGAAGTTGAGTGACATCAGTGAGTAATTCACCCTATAGGAAGAAGCAGTCGATGCAGAGTCTACTCTTTATTATGTCTGTGGCCATGACACTTGCCTTTGCGTGACGTCGTGCCTGTAAGCACACGGCCCAGAGACAATCCATCAGCATATCATTGTTTGTAATAATCACGAGGAAGAAATAAATATTCACTGTACTTTTTGGAGTCACTAACACCACTGTGTTTCACTTCCATTTTTGGTCTAGTGAACAGCTAAAACCCCGAATAAACTATTTCACTTTTTACAGTAAAGAGGAACCCTGACACTAGAAAAGCTGTTAGGTTTGTCCACTCTGGGCTTTTGTAGGAACACATATCTGCTTATTGAGTCTTTTGGTGTGATAAAGCACCAATTAAACTCACTCATGAATATTACATGTGTTTAAAAATGAGTCTGCAAACACCTTCAGGGACAAACTATAATTAAATATTCTGACTTTGATGTAAATAAACACATAAAACCAGTGATTACAGATAAGTATATTTTTAATAATGAACATGATTAAATCTAAGAATGTGATGGTGACCTCTGATACAATGGATATTTAATTCAGGGGTGACTTAAAACTTTTTTTGCATAAATTTTCTATATTCCAATACCAGTTATATAACTCTGATTGCTCCACAATCATACTCCCTCTCTTTTCTTTCACTCCTGCATACACACAATACAGCAAGCAATTATTTTTAGAAAAAAAAAAAAAAAAGTCACAAACATATACCATATAGGCTAGTCTCTGGGTTTCTCATACACTTGACAATAAATCAGTTAAGTATAATGCTACAGTTAAACATTTTGAGGCAATCTCAGTTAGAAATGCCGGTACATTAAAGCTTACATTGTCTGAGGATGATGTGGACAGGTTATAGCGATGAAAATAATGAGGATGCCGAGATTATAATCATGTTAGGAAGAGACATAAAAAAAAAACTAACAAAGAAACTAAGAGAGAGGCCTGGCTTGAGTTTTAAAAGCATTACATGCTACATTTCCTCCAGAATTTCATATCAGAGACCTCTTTGGGAACCAAAATAATCTAGCAGGGGGATCAGACAGAAATTTTGTGTCGACTCAACGTAAACACCTACATTAGGTTTGTATTTCTATCCTTTGAATAAGAAAGAGAGGGACCACCTTTAAGAGCGTTTGATCTCTGGACCTCTTTTCCCTGAATCTCTGCAGCTGATAATTTTGAGGTACAATCCTGAAAAGAAGAAGAAAACAAAAAACAACTGAATTCACACTAGTGCTGAAAGAAATGTTAAGGCTCCACTCTGGAGAGAGACTTTTTCTCCACCTAAGTTTAAATCATTGTAAGCCAGGTGATACATTATTCAAAATATTTCTAACATTTACGCTCTCTAACATCACGATTATGTCTATGCAAACAGAAACTTTCAGTGTACACATTCCCCACCAAAGTAAGACACCCCGACATTACAAATTAAAAAATCAAAAACAAACAAAAACGGGGTGTTATAGAAGCTCTTTTTTCTTCTGATAATGTAAAATACAACTGGCCACACACAGATAGCAGACATTTGTCAATAAAGTGTTGTTCACTCGTTAAGATTAACCGATACAAGCACTTAACATTTCTCCAACACACAAACCACAAAGTGAACAGTCACTGAATATCAGCAGCATGTTGTCAAGAGATTTTCAAAAACAGACGTGCAGATATTTGTTACTTATATTTAGTCAAGAATGCAAGTTCCAGGGGTAGCAATAAAGATTTATAAGGCTAAAAAAAAAACAGAAAAAAAAAACAAACAAACAACAAAATATATATTATTGAAGCGATTCGACTGGTGGAACAAGCTTCATCCCTGCACGCATTTTAAAATAAGAGGGAACCAGGAGCAGTGTGGGTCAAAAGTTTCTCATGGGGCCAAAGTCAACAAATTAAATAGAAAAAAAAAAAATATTAGTTTTAATTTCTTCATGTCCTTGTAATTTTTCCTCTACATCTACATTTCGTCGACGACCATCTTCTGTTTACTTCTGACGATCCTGAAAAGAAGAATAAACATCTTTAAATCACTGATGAAAAAAAAAATAGATCAGGGATTTTCACTGTTTTCATGGATCCTAAATAAAATGACCCGATGCATTAAGTTCAAAAGGAACTGTTTAAACATGCAGAATAGTCAGCCAGAGTTACAGTTCCCTCTGTGAGCTCTTCTGGTTAACAAACCCTGCCACTGCTGCGTCATTATGTGTTGAAAAGAGAAACAAAAAGCAAAGTCACACCACGCCTCTGCTTATCACTCCTCTGCTCGCCCTGGTGTCAGAGATTAAATTCCCCTTCTCTCTCACGTCTATGACTTTGAACACAAGGACCTCTTCTATTTAACTGCTTCTATGTTAATTTTCTGACAATCCTGTTCTTATAAAATCTCAGATTAAAGATCAGATCAGTTTTGCTCTGCTTGTCCCTGCTGAGTTTCTGTAAATTCTGGTGATAAAAGCAGGAACTAAGAAGTGTTTTACCTCGCTCACACAGACACGATCAGATTGTGTATTTGCATAGCCAATGATCTGGACGTCACACAACATAGACTTCTCTTCATGATCAGAATCAGCGACATCAGACCTTTCTGTTCCTGTATGCAACTGTACAATGTTGCTTTATCAGGATATTTGGACCCTACAGTGGCTGTTTTTGTCGTAACGGTTAATTATGACCAAATTCAAAGACACAGAAACACACTAGATTAGATTAAAGGCTAAACGAATCAGTAAATACAGATTATTTTGCAGACATGCTATGAAAAATACTCCTCTCAATATTCTCAGCTCATTCTTCTCAGATTATGGAGGTAGTAGACTTTACCTGATCCATCCGGGATCGGCTCTGTATTGAGGCAGGTTCATAGCTCTGTTCAAAAAAGAAAGAAAACTAGAGTCAAAGACTTATTTTAACACCACACTGGAAATAACCACAACCTGTAAATACTACAACTTTGAGGTCTGTGAAAATTAAAAATAATGGTTAAAATACTTTTTAAAAATGTATCAAATATCATCAAGCAGAAAGACAACCGTCTGATTCTTAGAGAAGAGGATGTGATAGTTCATTTTAATTTTAATTTTTCTCTTTTAACACAACATGTGTACGTGCAGAGGTCCTGTCACTGTAACCTGCCACACTTAAGTCATAAAGGTCCTTTCACACCGGGTTTAGTTTATTTATTATTTCGGACATCAATATTGACAGTATCCTGTCAATATAAGCGTTCACATCAGCGACGTTTTCCCGTTCTGCGATATTGTGGCATCTATTTTTTTCATATCACGGTCAATTTTTCTAAAGTTTCACATTCTGTGTGTCCACCTCTGACCAATCAGATTGCGTGTTGTTGCGACGTCTGATTCACCGGTATATCCAACATGGCCAACATACAGTGGTCCAGTTTCAGCTCCTGAGCCAAGCAGTGAAACTCACCAAGTTCTCTTCTTTTTTGTAATATTGGACGCACCCATGTGCTACGTTTCTTTTTCTTTTGAGAAAGCAAAAGAAGTACCAATTCGCCATCACTTGAAGTTGAAGTAGACTCCATTTTTGTCTTCTCGCTGTAGGTCGTTAAGGGAAGGTCCCGCCCTCCTTTGCCTCTGATTGGCTATAAGTGCTGAGTGTTTGGCTTGAGCGTGTGACGACGTTTCCAGCTTTTTTAGCCAATCAGAGGCGAAGGAGGCGGGACTTTCCCTCGGAAAAGCCTTCCTTGGAACGCGTCTTTTTCCCCCCGGAAAGTCGCAAAATCGCATCGGGCTTGATGTGTATAGTCAGGCACGACAAAATTCGCCACTGAAAATTTCGTGATTTCACGTTCTATATTCGTGTCGACCCCGGTGTGTAAGGACCTTAAGAGTCAGACTGTAGTGGAACCAGAACCTAGAAACAGCTGGATTAATAACTCCACTACAGATATATAATATAAAATTTTTGATGAATTTAAATATATATCCAAACCTATTTTGGCCGATATTAATATCAATATTAAGAAAACAAAATCTGTCCTGTGATTGAACTCATCTGTAACTCTAACTGCAGCTGTCTTATTTGTTATAGAGGCAGACATAAACCCTTGATTCTACTATGATATATCGTTTTTCCGAATGCAGACATTTATTGATGTGTCAGCTGTCTGTTTACCACACTGAATTTTCTACATACATGCTGCGACACATTAACTGCCATTATATACACATTTAAGCTAGGGTTATAATGTATACGCTTCAGAAAATCCCACAAGAACTGTGACATTTCAATAAAAGTATTTTATCTCCCAGCTGTGTCTAATACTGGACTCTGATTGGTCAAAACTCTCTAACAAAGAGACATCCTATAGTGTTTAGAGTGTTTCTTTTCAAACAGCCCCTCAGTGTCTCGTCTAACTCCAAGTGTCAGGTCTAAACACTCTCACCTTCTTCACCACCTCCTCCTCCTCCTGCTTCTTCTCGTAGTGGGAGAAGTCGTCAAAGATGGAGGTGGTGTGTTTGTACTGGGCGATGATCTTCAGCACCTGCTTCGCCTTCTCCAGCGGGACCTCCTGGGTGTCACGTGAGTTGGTGACTGGCTTGTTGTCATTGTTCTCCAGGCGGATATGGCGCAGTTGGCTATTTGGCACGTCCTTAACAAACAACCAGTTCACGTCAAACTTGCCCTTCCACTTGTCCTGCGCCCAAACGCCTGCGCTTGTTCCGTAGTCCACCGGCGAGCGCATTTCGGCCACGCCGCAGAAATGGCCGCTGCCGTTGACACTGAACAACAAGTAGACGGGACCTTTAGCGTTCATAGCTCTGAAGGCCGAGTCCAACCGTTTGTTGCCGTGCTCCGTGCTGCACCAGATGGAGTACTTGATGGAGCGGTGGATGTCGTCCTCGGAGTAGCTCTTGATGATAAACACTCGGCCATTTTTCAGGTTCCAGTCAAAGTCCTTGGGGTTGTAGCTGTGAGCGGCTCGCAGCTTCTCCAGCACCGGGTGGGACTCTGACCCTGACTCTGACGGAACGCTCCCGCCTCCTCCGCCTCCGTTACCGACACCGCCTCCGTTAGAGGAGCCACTGCTGTCCAAGCTTCCTCCGCCGTAGCACAAGTTGCGGTTGCGTGGGGCTACCCAGCGGGTCTGAGGTGTCGGGGCAGAGTTGTGGTTCTGGTAGGACTGTGGGGGAGGAGGCGGAGGACCCGGCATGGTCATCTGCTGCACCAGGGACTGGGCAGACTGTATAGACTGCTGAAGGGGTGGTATGAGGCTGGCAGCGTGAGAGTGAATCTGAGGCTGATGCTGGTGGTGGTGGTGATGGGGGGGCAGAGGAGGGGCCATTTTGTTCATAGTCCCTTTATTATCCCATGTGTCAATGTCCATGTTGTGTTTGATGGAGGGTGGAGGTAGACCCCCACCAGCTATGGGTGTTCCAGGTTTGTTCTTGGCCTTTTGTTGCTGCATCTTGGCAGGTTTACTTGCAATAGCAGCCCACGATGTAGGTTTCGGAGGGGGCATTCCTATTGGTGTGCCGCCGTTGCCCGTGGCAACAGCTGCAGCTACACTGCCGCCACCACCGATCACAGAGCCTGCACTCTTCACACCAGAGCCACTTCCTGTTACATCCCCTCCTATTTTTAGGCCCAGCATGCCCTGCTCCAGGCTATTCATACCTGGAGCCTTGCTCAGGGTGTCACTATGGAAACCAGTCTGGCCATCAGGGACCAGGGTGCCTCCCAGAGAGCTGGGTGGGTAGCTGTAACTCCCCCCGTAGGCTGAGCTCTGAGTCTGCTGGCCCTGAGAGCCGCTGGTGCCCCAGGCGGAGAAAGCCGGGTTCTCTGGGAAAAAGTTAAACCTGTGAGGGTAGATGCTGCTGCTGAGCCCACCCGGCTGTCCGAACACAGTGTCGTGCATGAAGTGGTGGTCTCCATTGCTGAGGGGGGCGTAGGGTGTTAGATAGGGGATAGGTGGGTCACCACCTGTAGACCATGGAGCCTCACTCAGAGGGTAAGGAAATCCAATGGAGGGGGCGTAGTAGCTGGACAGGTAAGGGTCTGTCATGGACTGATAGCTGTTATTCTACAGAGAGGCAAAGAATCAAATCAGTCTGTTACGAGGAGGAGGAGGAAGAGGAGGAGGAGGATGTATATTTGATAATAATGAATCTATGAGGGAATCATTTTGTACCTGGTTCGACTGGCCAGTAAGATAAGGCTCAAAGTCATTGTCGTGGACTGTGTCCTTCTGGTGGAGGGAGCCATTCTGCACCGAGACCGGAAAGGCTGCAACAAAATCAAACTGCTGTCAGAGCGGGACTCCTAATCTCTGCCTCTATAATCTTTATGATTCTTTAACTTATGAAGGTGGAGATATGATAGCCTCGCACAGGTCGAAACAGGAACATCACTGACTTCAACTTTTTTAATAACCCAATCTATACAAGCTGGAATACTCTGTAAATGTGGACACAAACAGACTGTGATGGTTTGCAAATTATTTCAAGGCCGTTTAAAGAGCAAAGACAGTGAATCAAATGTTGGGATTGAAAACTTAGAGTTAATGTACTCATCTTTAATTTGACAGACTTATTTTAATTCATTTAGCACTGGAGCTTGTTTACCATTGTGTTGCATAACCTCTTCTTTTAACATCACTCTGTAAACGAATGAGAACCACGGAGATCAGTCTCTGGAGCTTTGACGGTTAAATGTCCTATTCTTGGCTAATATGGGATTTCTTTCAGGGTCTCCTTTGTCCTATTTCTGGTGCAAAAAAAACGTCTTCAATGAGAGACAAATCAGGACTACAGGGAGGCCAGAGAGCACCCAGACTCCTCTACTACAGAGTGATGCAGATGTGCTACATGTAGGATACAATTTTTGCATCGTTTTGTTGTATAATACAAAGTTTTCCTTAAAAAAGACATTTTCTGGATGACAAAAAATGCTGTCCAGAATCAGTGTTCACAGATGTGTAAATTACCCGTGCCATGTGCTCCTATACATCCTAGACACCATCCTGGTCTTTGCTTTTGAACTGTGCGTGGAAAACAAACTGGGTGGTCCCTCTCCTCTCTAGAGCGGAGGATGTGGTCATGATTTCCAAAATGATTTTGATTGTAGGACCACAGGAAAGCTTTCCACTTTAGACTTTAGGATCAGGTTTATATATCTTTTCTATTTTGGATGGTTCAGTTCTAACCTTCCATTACACACGTCTGGTTTTAATGCAGTGCTGCTTGATGGCCTAAGAATCCCAAACGTCCAGTATCAGCTCTCTTTTCCCTTTTCTCCTTCATATCTTCAAACTCTCTGAATCTCTTCAGGACATTGTGTTCTGCAGTTGATAAAAACCGAAGGATCTTTGCAGTTTTTCACTCTGGGGAACATCATCCAGGACTTGTTGATCTGTTTCTTCACCCTGTCTCTCACACTGTGGTGAACCTCATCTTATCTTTACAGCTGAGAGCCTCAGCCGTCTCTGGATCGCCTCTCTTGGATCCCAGTCATGTTATGTTGGGAAATCTTTTTTTTGACATCGCACATTTTTCAGTGTTTTATTGTCACTGTCCCAGCTGGAATCAGAATTAAAATGAGAACACACTGACACTTCTGAAGACGCACCTGTTCACTTTAGCTTTTGGGGAAGTGTAGCTGCTTTTATTGGGTGTTTTATTTATGTGCTATGTTTATCTATATTGTTGTTTTATGATTTTATTGTTTTTATAGTTTTTATTGTTTGTACTGTCTCTGGCTATTTTACTGTAAAGCACTTTGGTAGGCCACTGGCTGTTTTAAAATGTGCGATATAGATAAAGCTGACATTGGCATTGACGACACGACAGCTGCACCACAAATTCTACTATATTTCAGGTTTTTGTGATGAGAAAGACGAGGATTGTCCTTTGGATTGATTGTAAAGTTGTGACTAAAAATAAAGAACAAAAGTCACCTATCTGACTACGCCAATAAAAACTGAAAATGAGCAAAAGGAAGGTTAAATTTGGGGTAGAGATGTTGCACTGGGTTGCATGATAGTTGTGTGATCTCTGTCCTTTTATCACTTTTAGTTCTTTTATGCTTTTGTGTTTTTATTTCATTTCATTTTAAATGTTTTTTACCTGTTTTTATTTTCATTTTTTCAGTGTTTGTTCTCTTAATTTTATTGTGCAGCACTTTGCTAAACTTGAATGTTTTTTAAAATGTGCTATTTAAATAAAGTGGATTGGATTGGGTTGCTTTAGATTGCCTTGGTGTTCATTGAGTTGTTGCTGATCATACGTCTTAAAAAATACATATAATTTTAGTTTCAACATTTGATTTATCTTTGCACCATTTTCAAACAAATAGATAGATAGTTTATTTTCGTGTCGTGCACATAAAGTGCCCAACCCTCATGGGTTTATAAGACATCAAATCCAGTTTACAACATGCTTTACAATCCATTCCATTCCACTAAAACTCATAGCCATATAATATGTTTTGTCTCGTTTCCCAAGCTCAACAAATATAGTCTGCTACAATAAAGGCTCCCTAATCATCTAATTCAAGGAAATCAACATAGATAGAAGACAAATACCTCTCTTATATCAATATATAATACAGGCCTGAAATGATTTGCAAACCATCAAATTGAGTTTCTCCAATTTCACACAGAGGCCCATCTGATATAAAGTATATTTGGAGTTGCACAATCTGTTCATCCAGGAGCATTTTTCTCTTACCTTTGCTTGCATCTTGTCCTTTCGATGTCTTGGTGGTCATATTGAGGAGGGGGGTGCATGTGACAGAGAAAAAAGAAAGCTTGCATGGGTCTATAATGTTTATTCCACAGCAGCACACAGACACAGTAAAAACACGCTCCTTGAAAAGCTGACACTCATCACGGAGAGTACAAATCTGCTCCGTGTCTTTATGCAAACCTCTCCCTGTCAGGTGCTCACTGGTAGCTGTGGTCCAGGCCTTTAGAGACCAGCAGGGACCAGTTTCCTCAGTTGGCTAACTAGCGGACTAGCTGCTGATGGTGGCATCGTCGTGAGAGTGGGATGCAAACATCGCAAGATCTGAGCTCTCCGTGGGGATAAAACCCCCACTAAACACGGAGCGTTTGTCCCCGCTGCTTACCTGAGGGTCGATGCTGGCGGCAGACATCATTCATCCAGCAGGTGTAGTGTTATCGTGGAGCCCTGCAGGGACGTAGAGAGAGAGTGATGAGCGGCTCCGACTCCGCTGTGCTGAGAGGCTAACAGCAGCAGCAGCAGCAGCGGCTCAGGCTGGTACACACAGACAGTTAGCAGCGGCCGTTAGCCGGGCTCTCTGCTGGGGGAGGACACTTCGCTCGTCGTGGCCCTGCTGGCGCTCCGTGCTGTCCTGTCGACATTAATACAGAGGGGCTTCAATCCGCTACGACCCCCCCTCTCCGTTAAATTAAAATCCAGTCAGTCTCGGTGGCCCTGCTCATTTGCCCCAATGGCAGCTTCATCCGGGTTCTGGGAGGCGGAAATGACGTCCGTGACGTAGAGGACGCAGCCATGACTACATAGCGGCCGTGATACTGACGGTGATCCTCCTCCGACCAAAAAAGTACAGGATCGAGGTTTATTTAAATGTATTCACTTAATCTATCCAACCAATCACTTTCTCAAAAATATTGAACTGATATCTCGGACTTTTGTGTATTTTGTAACTTTGAAATTGAAACAATTGGACATTTATTTTTTTGACTGTATGCATGTTAAATTTTTTCTGGATTGAGGTTGAAATTTTATTTGAATCGTTGTCTGGATGTAAAATAAACCTACAAAAGAGAGATATTATTTTTGATTTTGAAAAAAAAAAAAAGAACATGGACCGAAGTCATTTTTTTGTTAAACTGTTTTACTTTGTATGGAAGATTTTATATACATGGGTGTAAATGGTCAAAAAAAAAAAAACACCAGTTTAAAAATGAAATAAAGATATATTTTAAAACACTAACTGGACAAACCAAAAAGAAAGCAATTCGAACTCTGACTTTCTATGAAGCCTTTAGGTCCTCTTTATGATCTGAACTGAATATATGATCCCAGTGTCATAATCAATATTATAACTTATGTATCTCTGTATGCTGGACTATTTATTTTTATTTTATCTTTTCTTTTCTTGCAATGTCTTGATTCCTCAAAAATGAGCTACCTCATGTTCAATAATGTGTATTTGTCATTTCTAAAGAACTGAAATAAAGCTTTGGACAGATGTATATATATATATATATATATATATATATATATATATATATATATATATATGTTGCGCATTACTTTTTTTGGATACCTTTTTTGACAGACTGTTCATATAGATCAACACTTGAAATGTGTTAAACAGAGAATCATTAATCCCAATGTTTAACCATCAATTTGTATTCACTTTGAAGCTTTAAAAGAATGAATGAACGAATGGCAGCAGCAGGTCGGTACATGACTTTATTCACTTTTACTCTCGTCAACTGTGAAAAAAACATTTAGGCTTTAAAACAGTGTAACTCTTGGCGCCTCTGCTTACAGGAAATACACTATTAATAAAAACAATACAATAAGAAATATTAATAAAACAATTAAGCAAAAAGGCGGTCATGGAGCTAGATATTAAAGCCCCGGGGAGAAGTTCTTGGCTGGTCATGTCACAGACTGAATGATTTAATTTAAACATGATAGACCCAGGTTTTTCAAGCAAACTGACAGGTTTACATTTTTGGTGCATCAAGTTGTTGATAAAGAAGAAGGTAAGTTTTTTTCAGTGAAGTCTACTTCCACATGTATAAGAGGGACACTAAACTGAAAAAGCTGAAAGTTTCACACAAGACCTTTAAAGAGCTGTGAGTAGCTCTACATCACAGACTGTAGTGTGTAATATACCACACTTGTTTGGTTGGTTACTTTTTCCAGCTGAAATGACTTTTGTCAATCATTTATACATTAAAAGAAACAAAAACTGTTCTACTTCTTATCGTATCTCTGGTCACATTTTCTTGTTATTACGTTACATTAGTGCACATTATCTAGTGGTGTCTATCGCACATACACACACGTGTGTACAAACTCACAGTCTCTCTCTCTCTCTCACACACACACACAGAGGTAGATTTACAGAATGTAAGGCCTGAAGATAAACACATTACAGCTTACACTTTTTACACAGCACAGATATTCTGGGAAATTTCCCTCTGCACTCATGCAGTGCATACAGAGTGTGCACAATGGAGTTCAGCATCGCTGACTGCTGTTTTACCGACAGCAGCAATAACACAGCTTCAGTCTTCAGTATGGCTCCTTCTTGACTCATCCTCAACAGCTTCACTTTTGTGTATATTTATAACCTAAAAGATAAAATGATGAGATGTTGAACAAATCAGATTCACAGATGCTAAAAAGATAGATTTGCAATCACTCTGATGAACTTACCTGCAGTTTTCACATCAGAAGAAAATCTGAGACGGTTTGGATGGATGATGAAATTCACCAATGAAATTAACTACAAAGAGCAAGAAAAGGACAAACACATAAAGCACAACAAAACTACACAAATGCCTCTTTCATTGATTTGGACCAAACTTACAGCTGTCTTCTTCATCTGGAAAAGTGCTGACGATGTAACAGGCGTAAATGAAACCCAGGAGCTACAGGCAAAAAGCACAAAAAAAATGTCAAATTCAAAGTTTAACAAAAATATTCTATACGGTGTCCCTCTGATTTAAAAGCACATTATTTGTCAGAGTATTACTGCTTTTCTAAAACTTGTTATGAAGAAAATTAACCATCCACCGCCTCACAAAGACAGTGAAATGATCCAAAGCAGATTACATCAGGTTGATCATGTGAAAACTGGCAGAAATTGTCGTAAATTCTGTGAGATGAAGTTCTGCTCCACAAAAATGGACTGTACTGATGAGCTGATGTTGGCTGAGAGATGCTGCACCAAACTCCTCATGCACTCCTCACTGAGTTGCATCCATGTAAATAAACACCTGAACACGAACTGCAGTCTGTTTGTTTAACCAGTGGAATATTTTATTATTAAATTACTTATTTTTGCACTGAAATCCTTCTTTAACTGATTGTGAACTCTGTTATCTTTAATCCAGCATTTATTGACTTTTATGACACTGAAGTGAAACTTGGCTAAAGTGACACCAGTAAATGTAACGTGTGTTTTGTGAACTGACACAAACAAAGATTGTAATGATTTAAAACTGCATGACTAATGACTTTTGTTAGTATGAGAGTTGTGCTTGATATTTCATTTTCAACACGAATAGAAACACTTTTATAGTTCCGGTTTATCACATGCCAACTGTTTAGAAATGCACATTCAATCTGTTGTGGGCGTGTTTTAGGTCTGACCTTTCTCTGATATTAAACTCCGGTGAGGTTGAGAGGTTTCAGAGAGGTCTGATGCACTGCAGCAGTGAGCCTCTCCAATCTTCCTGTCTGTTAATAAAACAAGTGCTGCTCTTGTGTATCCTGGTTTATTGCTCCTCAGATTCCCCTCCTCTCTCCTTGATCCTCTCCCCCCTGCAGCAGTAAGAGCTTCAGAATACACCTTAGCATAACGAGCCCATAACTATTTCTGTTTGAGGATTGAGGAAATATCTTTATGAGATTTGGTATCCACCTGTTGTAAAGTTGTACTAAACTGAACAGAGGTTACTCCAGCTGCACTAACAGAACAGAAATAGTTCATGTGAACATCTGGGTGAAACCTGAAGTCACTGCAGCATACTTACCACCAACAGATTTGGTGGTTTAATAAGGCTGTGCCATTTTTAAATGGTCCAGGCCTGTCCTTGTTGCTAAGCAACAGTCCTTTCTCTAGTGGGCAGATGCATCATTAAAACAATATTAAGAAGTTATTACAGTTTTCAATTAGAGTTAAAGTATAATAGCCTGATTCTGTTGATATTCAAACATGTTTGATATGAGTGAATATGAACAGTCATGTCTGCAGTATTTGCATTTAACTGTTGATCCACTCATGACTTATACCAAAATACACATCACAGGGTACCTGGACTCTAAACTTTTCTCTTTGCACTGCTCTCTTCTTCTACTTTGTTAAATGGTGACAGAATATTTTACTGCTACTCCAACAGATTTATCTGACAGCTTGATTTCCTAACGGTTTCGAATGTGCACATTAATAATAAATGTAAAGAGGTTTAAAATGTGGTCGATTTAAAGTTTTATGTGTAAGACTGAATACAAAGGAAACTTATAACCAGTAGACTAACACAAACCGAATCTACATTTTAAATAAATTTGCTTCCTTTAATCTGAATTATTTAAATTCATTTATTTTTTCTTCTATTTAGCAGTTGGACTTCCTTTCTTTCAGCACATCTCTCATTACATTTACATAATTAACTTTCAGTCTCACTTTCAATGCAGAACCTGTAATGGTTCCCTTGTATATTTATTACAGCGTGGTGTAAGTACTTTTGCAACAATGAATGAACCACTCATGACTAATAACTAATGAGATTCAGAGTGTTTGTGGTAAAGTGTGAAGGCCGTCACTGCAGACTCACAGAGACAAGGAGCTGGACGATGCAGTGCAGGATTTCGATGTACTGGTACTCCAGCCAGCAGCTCAGCACAGTACTCAGCTCAGGGTTCTGCTGGTTCTGCCAGCCAGGAGAGGGAAGCCCCTCTCTCTCACAGCCCGGCCCGTTGTCCCTCCACCAGGAGCGGTGTGACGATACCCCCAGGGTGAGTATGTCGCTGTCCTGCAGGGGACAAAACAGAGAGAGTGGATCAGCTCATGTGGTCTTTTCTACCTCAATGGAGCGAAAGTATCAAACCACAGCTATAAAAAGACGGAGGAGGAATCTGATCTGCAACATGGGTCAGGTGTAATGTGTGCAGAAAATAAAGATTAGCTGTCAGTTTAGTTATGGAGCGGTAACGTTTAATAAAAAGTCAAAGTGAGGGTTTAAAAACTTCGATGAGTTTAGGACCACATCAGATGTAGTGACACAAAATAAGAGCATAACAATGTCACACATCACAGTTAAATTACAACACATTTTGACAATAGAGGAATAATTTTTATTGCTGTTTTTATATCATCATCGGCAAGCTTCAAAAACAACAAGTCGTTATGAAACCTCATTATGATCACCATCAGCTGCTCTCATTATCACTTCTGCTACCAAACCACAGAATGCTTAGTGGTTCACAGAGACCTGGGTCTACAGCCGTCTCAGAGCAACGGAGAGGCTGTGCAGATCAAAAGTAGATTGGTAACTCATCCCACCTCTGGGGACAACAGAGGAGAAGAGTCGTGCTTACGCACATAAATGTCCTCAAATGGGTTGGGACTTGGGTTTTACTAAAAGGTAGAAAGGGACTCAGTGGATCAAATAGAGTTTGTAATTCATTCCATCACTGAGGGACAACAGAGGAGAGTCTGGTAAGTGACTTAGGACCTGAATGTGATGGGAGCATAGACTGTATATACTCTGGACAACTTAGTTCCACCTTCTTTCCTGCCAGTATACGGATTTAAATCCAAAAAGCTCTCAGTAATTCTGCATTTTTTCTCCATTTCCTGAAACCAACATTGTATGCATTCAGAGGGAGAGTCGCTGTGATGACGCTCAGCTCAAATAGCGTATCCCCCTGGTGAGCTACGCAATCTTTGTACGCCTATAGGCTGTATCAAGTGTCAATCATAGAAAACATGAACCCCCTAATAGCTTTTAAAAACAGAGCTGTACAGTAAAAAGAGGACTTGAGCACAAAACAATCTTACTGTAACTACATGTCAACATCACAAGCAGCAGAGGAAAAAAATCTACGTTCTGTGTAATTAAGTTCTAAACTTTGTCCACAGCTCTATAAGCTTTACTGGAGAAGGCGGGATTTATGACCTATACTGCAGCCCGTCACCAGAGGGTGCTGTTCTCGGAGTGGCTTCACACAGTGAGGAGGCAGACGGCATCTATTGTATTTACTGTCTATGGATGGGAGCATCAAGCAATTCACTGGCAGAATGAAATTATAGTCTGATGGTGATTTTAGATGAGATAAAATTATGTCTTTTCAGTTCCTGGCTACAAATTTCTTAAGGATCGTAAAAGAGGTCTCTAAAATTACTTTATACAAATAATCACTCTTGATGCTAATGGGCTTGTTTTTCTCTGTAATGTGGAGATGTCAGTGTTGGCCTCAGTCTGTTTCATTTCTGATTAAAAAATCCTCACAGGAGCTTTAACTTTGTCAACATCAATCAAGTCCAAAATTAGATCGATATTTTCACTGCAGCTGAAGTTAAACACACATCTGTCAATGTGTGACAACAAACATTTGTATCTGGGGCAGCAGTCGGCCTGGCTGATGAGCGAGCGCCCTGTGCTCTGATTTAACTCTCAGCCAAGATATTTTACTGTGTGTCTCACCCCACCCGTGACTTCAGAGTCACAGAACAAACTGTAGAGGAGCAGAGGTCTCAGGGATCTGCAGTCTGTCTTAAGGAGCTAAAGCTCTGTGGGCCTTTAATTATCCGACACTAAACGTGACCATTAGACTCACCTTTGAAAGCCCTCCTAAATCCAGGTAGAGACAGCTCACAAAGACATTCCAGCCGACCCACAACATCATCCACAGCAGGTACTGCGGACACAAAAGCACAACCTCAGAGGGTAAACAAATTCAGCTTTATAACACAGTCAGAGTGTTGCCGAGGAACAAACGTCCTCTTCCTGAATGTTCCTGAGATAAATCTGAAGATGATTCAGAGATGAATAATGAAATAACAGCAGAGTGGGAGACTTTTCAGACTTTATCGAAACGTTGCTTTTCTGCTTCCTGATAAAACACCCCGCTCTGCAGCCCAGTTTCAGTATCGCTGTAATCAGAGTTGTGATAGCTGTTGGTAATACTCTCATATTATCATTGCAGCACACATGCCTTCATGCACACACACACACAAACACACACACACGCACGCATCTCAAATAACCAATCAATAGTAACCCAGTTTACTCTGCGTGTCACAGCAGCTGTTTTCTCAAGAGAAATTGATGTTTTGGTGTTAATCTCATCATCACTGCTGGCATGCCCTTCTTTAATGTCACACTCAACATTTTAATAAAGTTTAAGACAATCACATTAGTTGATTTGCATTTCAGAAAAGGGTCAAAAATACACCAAATATCTGTAGTATTGTTTGATTATTATTTTGTTTGAATGTTTGTAAGTGTGTAGGTATGGATGGCACATATGTTGGTCTCTATATGGGCCATATGTAGGTATGCAGAGTTAATTTTGGACAACCACTGTCTTTACTGCTTGAACCTATTGTACCCTATCCCATTATTACTTTCTGTTAAGATGGGAAGAGGGAGGGAGGTAAACTGCCTTTTTTTTCAGTACCAGGTTCCAAAGATGAATTTTTGTATAAACCCCTCTTCATGTACGGTGTTTCTATTGCAGTTGTTATATTCATGTATTATGTTCAAAATCCCAAAAATAAATCACATTTTTAAAAAATACATCATACAAAGCTTTGCAGATTTCTAAGCCCATCTCTTCCCTTCCAAGAAAGCAAATAAGTGATTCCCCAAGCCATAGAAAGCTGCTGAACTAAAACTCATTTTTCGACAGCGCTCTCACCATGACAACGTAGCGTGCTCTGTACTGGATGACGCCAAACAGGCCAAGGATGACCATGATGACGTGGAAGAAGTTGATCATGATGGGAGCCCACTGGTAGCCGAGGAAGTCAAACACCTGCCTCTCCAGAGCTGTGATCTGAAGGTCAAACCAGGAGGAAACGGGGTTAGAGACCTGAGCAGAGGTGGTGAATTATTAAAGACCTACACTGATGTGTTGTTGAGGTATGATAGATGACTATTTCTTCTTTCTGCCTTCTCCAAGGTTGTATATTGCATTATTACGGGGTTGTCAAGACAACACTGCCATGGGGGACACAGCATGCAGGGTAAAGACAGACCTGGGCTCATAATGTTGTGTCCTCTGAGGTCAAAGCCCTGATCTGTGATGGAGGGGGGCAGGGTGGGAAACAGAGGAGGACAAAGTGGCTGCAGGCCGTCATTGTGGTTGTGGGCGGTCACTGCATTTTATAAGCACCTCCAACTACAATGAAATTACTTTAAACACAATACAGTATTTTAACTTTTTAAAAGGCTGCAAATATTTTTCCTACTGCTTTACACCCCAAGATTTTTAATCAATTATTAATTTTTAGCAACGCCAAACCAAAACAGATTCAGTTAACTACAACGAAAGATAAGAAATCCTCTGAATATTCAACAATGAGGAATTGAAATCAAATGAATGAGGCTTTTTAATTTAAGGATTAACAAAAGAAATAATTTTAATTGTAAACATTAACTTTTTAAAGTTAAATGGTTAAGAACCTTAATAGTTTTCCTATTTTTTAATGTGGTTTTGATTGATATTTAAACAGAAACTTGATCAATATATAACATTTTGAATTGTTTGGATTAAAACAATACATTGATGCAAACAAGCACTAAAAATACAAACTTTCTTTCAAACAAACAAGTCTTTGCTGGTGTGTGGTTGAGTTTTAAGAATAACTTAAAGTGTTTTTAATGTTTAAAGTTGCTTTAAGTGTCAGCAGAGGTTGAAATCAAAGCATCATGAGTGAATGAGTGAGAGAGAAAAACATCTTACCAACTGCACACAGCACAGCAGGATCAGCATGCACCGTGCCGAGCAGCAGCCCATCTTCTCCTCTCTGTTGAACCTGATGATGATGAAGAGGAGGAGGATGAAGTTGACGGTGGAAGAGGTTCAGTCTCAAAAATCTGCTCAAAGACAAGGGGAAAGCCTGCGGAGCTTTGGGTCCATCGCCAGACGTGATAGTAGACGGACTGTGCACTTCACCTCATGAGGAAAACACGCAGGCTGTCCCTGCTGTGGAGAAACTACGGAGAAGGGGGAAGGGAGGCGGTATGAGGGGCGATTAATGCCACGTAGAGCTGAAGAGGGGAAATCCCAAGAGACAGCGTCAGCCTGGGGATCTTTTTAGGGAGTTTTATGAAGGGTGTGATACTCTGTGAAACTTCAGGAGCTACATTAGATTAGTCACTTTATACCACTGTACTGGGTTATCAGCCAGGTAAAGAGCTGACTCTCACTGCTACCTACTTTATTCCAAATATAAACTAAAAACTATTAACTAATTAATTAAAACACAAGCAAACACTTGGTTGTTTCTTACATAAAAAGATGGAGAAATGCTTCAGTAGTGCCTTCTTATTCATAACATTAGTAGCAAACATTTAGTCCACCATATACATGCAAAATGAATAAAATAAAATAAAATCACCCTGAAAAAAAAGCTGCAGTCTGATGTTAAGGAACTGTACAGACCCTTGTAGAGTAGACCCATAGACTTTATATACCATGAACAGCTTTATTCCGCCTTCCGCCAGTATATGGATTTGAAGCCAAAAAGCTCTCAGTAATTCCACGTTTTCTCTCCGTTTCCTGAAACCAACATTGCGCAGTAGCATTGTGCACATTCGGCAGGAGTCACCAAGAGTCGCTATGATGATGCTCGGCCCCTGGGTGAGCTACACAATCTTTGAAGGCCCATAGGCTGTATCAGGTGTCAATGATAGAAAACATGAACCCCCTAATAACTTTTGAGGACTTGAGCACAAAATAGTCTTACAATACCACATGTCAACAGCGCAAGCAGGGGGGGGGAAATGTAGGTTCTGTGTAATAAATTTCTAAAGTTTGTCCACATCCCCATAAGGAGGCAGGATTTATGACCTATACTGCAGCCCGTCACCAGAGGATGCTGTTCTCGGAGTGGCTTTTCCCAGCGAGGAGGCAGAGGGCGCCCATTCTATATACGGTCTGTGGTGAGACCTCACAGACACATCAGGGTTTCAGCTAGAGGCATCAAAAATGTCAACGTTTTACTAACTTAAAATGAGTTGATTTGCTCAATAGATACATGACAGACAGCTCACATTATCCACTAGTCAGTCAAAACAACCACTTCTACAATTCACAGCTGTTAGCTTTGTACAATATACAGTTTGGGGAGTGTAAAGATGGTATTTTTAGACTTTGATACAATTATGGCTGGGGGGGAAGGGACATCAGTTTGAAATAAACCTGGGTCACAAACTCTGAAGACTTAAGTCGCTGTAGAAGACAACTAACTTACTCAAACAAAGAGGTGGAGTTAAGGTCACAGCCTTGCCACACGGCAAACAGCTGAAACACATCCACCAAGTTAAATAAGTCAAATTTACCTTTAAACCAGGCTGTAAACATGTTTCATTTTATTATAAAACTAGGTAACTCTATCATAAACTTATTTTTAAGCTTTTTGCCTTTAATCAGGGAGAGGAGATGGAATTGAACCTGGAGCAACCATTGAATAACTACAGTCTCTGTAATCACTGGTACAAACCTGCCCCCAAATAAAACACTTTCAGGAACTTTCACCATTTGTCAATTTTGGCTGCCCAAGTAGACAAAGTAATCTTTTCTCTATGCGCACGACAAGGTAAAATTTGAGCAAAAATCTCATCATGCAAACTTTTTGTGAGATTGTAAAAACAGAGCTATTTCTTAGGCTGTTTGGCTGATACATTCACCATCCCAGCAGTTTGAGGCATTAAATACTACAGTATACAATTTCTCAATCTTGTCTCTAATGGTCTTGATTGTTTTTGTATATTGTAAAAAAGCGCCAATATAATTTTTAGCCTTTTTATTTGAGTGATGGAACTTTAATGATGTGATGATGCTCGGAGAAAAAGGATATGGTTGAATCAAGGGGTGTACGCTGTTGATCAAAGGATGGTGATAAGAAACAAGCATTCACTCTTCTTAAACATGAGAGAAACGCAGCAGTATCTGTTTCTAGAGTCGGACAACTCTGCAAATATGCACATCAAAACACAAGAGCCTGAATTACCAGTCTGTAACTCAAAAGTCTGATTCTGACATCCATTCATCCACAATGCCTTTTAACCTCTTAAAAGACTAATCTCATACAATATTATTGTTTCTCCCTCAGTGTGGCACAAATCGACCCTCATACAGCAACACCGTCGTCTGCTCTCTGATAGGCGGTTCCGTCTCTGCGATGCTCAGAAGCGGCCGGTAGGTGGGGGTAGAGAGATGTGTGTACAGGTGTGTGAGTGGCAAGGTTAAAAGCAGCTCCAGTGAGCAACAACTGGCCCAGTTTTGTGATTTTACACTATTGACCATTTCAAATAACTAAAGCTAGTATTAATATGTCTGAATCCACATTTGTAAAAGCAGAAATGTAAACATGCAGGGGTCACACTGGGTGAGGGTCATATTTGGGTCAATATTAAGAAGATTTCACCACAAAAACAGACTCAGTTGGACTGGTTGTGGTTTTGTTGATGTGTTTGACTCTTGATATCTTTGTTCAGTTAAAGTTAGTGTTCGAGGATTACAAAATGGTCAATGCTTGAGCCACGTGTTGCAGAAAATAGAGCAAACACCAAACATCTCAACTATCCATAGCCAGATTATTATTTTAAGGGTTAAATGGTGCAGTTGGAATGAATTTGAGGGTCCAGATTTGGATACGAAGACCCTGAATCGTCTTCAAATCTATCGCTTAGATTAATCACATCCTCATGCACCTTCAGTGAGGTATTAGAGATCCTCTCAGACCGGATTCAGCCCATTTATCACCCGCACTTCCTCGTCCCACCGAGCGATGACGCTAGAATCAAAAGACGGAGCGCAAAAATTGGGGGGTCTCCAGCTCTGCCTGTGTCACATGGAAGCACAGTAGCGGAGCCGAGGGGATGCGAGTACAGATGGAGGGGGCTTGAGGGACTGTGGTGGAGGAAAAACTGGCTCTTGGAGATCAAACTGGAGATACGGCAGCGGCACCAGAGGCGGACAGGCACTTTCCCAGCCTCCCTTCTGGCTGGGGGAGCAGAGGAGCGGAGGACAGGGGCGCATGAGAGGGTCAACGGGCTGCTCGAAGGGATGTCACACGCGAAATATGCTGCATTCGTGTTTTGTGGAGCCCGCGGACGCCAACTTATCGCTTTTGATTGATTATGCTGCGCCTGGTCCGAGTGGAAGCAGAAGGAAGCGACCAGGGTTGACGCTGCGCCTCCCCAAATCCCTGATCTGAGTGAGTACAGGGGGATGCTATAGCGCAATGCTCTGTGCCCGTGGCTATGTGACAGGCTGGAGGGAGGAGGGGGGGAAGGAAGAGGGGAGGATGGAGGGGGGATCATTCATATGTGCCTATAGATTCAGGTCGATAAGCTGTACGCGCGTTTAGCACGCAAAACCCTCCATCCAAAGAGGAGACATGTCTGCTGTGCGTCTTTTTCTTTGTGCTTATCCTCTCTGGTCATACATCTAACACAGACACGTGTGCACCCACCTTTAGCTCTTACTGCATTGCCTTTTTTTTTAACGATTTAAGCCCCCCATATGAAGGCATTCATCAGAGAAAGTCTGAGTGATTTGCAGAGAGGAAGGCGCAGGAAAGCTCCAATCATTGTTTTCCTGCATGTGCAACATCCCTGCTGACTGTGGAGCATGAAGATAATTAACGTTAGACCTTCCGTTAACATTTGCAGCCCCTCCACCCTCCCCTCCTCCATCCCTTACTCATAAATAGGGGGGTGTGGGGATCTGGCTTTGTCGTGTAAGTTGCCAGCTGACCTCAGGGACACAACATCCTCCACCAGGCTCACTTTGATCTGGAAATGAATCGGAAACGCTTTGATGATTAGAGAAAGGAAAAAGAGAGGGGTTAAAGGAGAAAATAGAGTTGCTACAGGCGGAATGAAACAAAACCCTGATGAAAAAAAAAGGATGCATCAGGCTGAAATCCCTCATTTTCTCTCCCCCCACCTTTATGGATATTTTATTTTCTAAACCAGAGTTCACACCCTGTCTCAGCCGGCTTCATCTGTAACCTGTTGTCATGAGCATCCCCGCAGTTTGAGGTGTCAGCAGCGCCCAGAGAAACCGTCACCCAGCTGTGATTGATGCCTCCTGAGTGGGTGCCATCATGAGCTACACATCCACACAACCTCCCCTGACACACAGCACCACATGGAGGATTTCTGAAAACACGTTTAAAGCCATGATTCCCCCTCCAACTTTCAGCTCTCCTTCTTGTTGTTTTTCAGCATGTTTCGAGGTCCCCCCCTCTGCTAGAGAGAATATGAATAATGTGGTCACAAGAAATTATAATTATGCACTAATTTGCTGTGAATAATGTCAGGCGGTGTTTGTATCAGAGGCGGCGTGGCTCGGATAAAGACAGAGCCTCCTCTTCCACACTGGCTTCAGCTTTCTTCCTCACAGGGGCATGGTTAATCGTTGTTGCAAGCAAACATTTGACCTAATTCACATTCTCACACAATAGCAGCCTCCTCTCTCTCTCTCCCCCCACCTCACACACACACACTCTGTCACACACACACACACACACACACACACACACACATAGCTGTTATTTGTGTCACACAGAGGGTGAGGTTTTCGCTCCACATGAACTCCCAGGTGGCTTATCAAAACCTGAGCAGATTCGGCACACAGGCCGCTGCTGGCTGGCTGGTTAAAAAAAAACAAAGAGGTCCAGTTCATTAATAATGAGCTCTCGTGTAAATTCACAGTCTGTTCCTGGAAAATTAAAAGCCCACTGGTGTTTGTTTTGACACCGTGGGGCTAAATGTGTTTCTCAAATAATAACAATTTTTTTGAGGATTACAACTTAAGTCCTTGTTTGACGTTATGGCCTCCAAACATGAACATTTCCCTCATTCTCCGTTGGTTTTGGTTTTTAAAAATAGAAATGCCCTCTGAATTTTTGAACTACAACCTGATCTGATTGGCTCCAAGTGTCCCCCAGCATGTTTCACACTTCATTATCAGGCGTGTATCACTGAGATTAGGTCCAAGTCAACAGGTGACATATTCTCATTCATTCGGTCATGTTGAACAGTAACAGATGATTTCCAAACAGAGAGCTTTATGTTGTATTATCGAAGGAAGGAAAGAGGAAATGAACTAAAATCTCACATCTTGTAAGCTGAATTTGTCAGATTGAGGCAAAAACTGATTGGCGTCTATTTTATGATCTTTGTTGGATCGTTACCAAAATAAAGGTTTTTGTTTATCTATTGAGCGAGAGTTTTTGAGTCCATTTTGAGAGATAGTGGTCAGATTCCTCATTAAAGGACTCCCTTGCTCACCCCCTCCTGTTGCAACATGACATGTTGCCGTGGAGAACAGGTAGGTCCTATGATGCTCCTTCATTTGCCAACTTTCTACCATGAAAAACATCAGTCTATATACATTATTTTGCACACAACAACATCTCAACGCCTATATTTTAGGCGGCCACTTATTAAATACAAAGTATCGCGAAATAACAGCACATTTAACCGCTGAGCTACTCTTGCTCACCATGTCTTTGTTTCTAATATAAAAATGTCGGACGTTTCTGGATGGATAAGTCTGGTTTTAGAAAGAACTGGACAAAATGATTTCATAATCTTTCCCATTGAGTAATAGACAACTATTAGACGTCTCCTTTTATTAGACCTAGTTTTAACCATCTAGATTCTGTATATTTTTAGAAGTTGCACTTTAACCCATTATTCGATAATTATTTATTTCAAAAAGCAAATGTGAGTTGCATAACTGATCTCCAAGTACTTAACCAAAATAACTATGATAGCTGTTGAACAATATACAGTCAGACCTCTGTTAGCCGGCTGGTCTAAACTTGGTCTAAATTTAGACGTCTAAAAACTTTAATTTTTAGACCTGTGGTAGTCTGATTTTAGACCAGTCGTCTAGGCTACATGTAGACGTTGATTAGACCTCTTTTAGACCAAAAAATGCTCAGTGGGTTTAGATGATTTTCTTTTCTTTTATAGTCTACGCAAATTGACAGATTAAACAATAAACTAGCCGATCATTGGTTCAAACTTGTAGACTGTTTAATGACTGAAATAAATAACAATTTCTGAGGTTTTATGTTGCGTTTGTTTCCCTCACGAGCTGGGTCGTAACAGGTCGCCATGTTGGAAATGCTGCCTCAACCTAACCAGAGATGGACGTTTAGCCTCCTTGAAAATGGTATCAGTGTACCCGCCTTTCAGTCAAGTCAGCCTTGCTTCTGATTCGCCAATCTTGTAACCATAACAACTCTGGCCCTGGGTGCCATAAGCCAAGCTCGTCATACTATAGCTGTTTTTTAAAAGTGTTTATTTTTGCTCCATAAATGGTTTTGTCTGTCTGTGGTTTGTGGTGCTTCTGCAGCCAGCCTAAGTGGAGCCTCAAGTGGGCGTTCATGAAACTGCAGGTTTTAACAGTTCTGAGCTTTTACGAAATCAATGAGACGATCAATAAAGAAAATGTACTTTCACTCATTATTTTAGCCTTATATTAAATCACGCTATGTAATCACGTAATCAATAAAATACTTGTTTACCATATTAGCTCTGTTTTAAGCCATCATAAAGAACTTTATTAGCGTTAGTTCTGCCATGTTTAATATTTAGATAGTTTTGTACTTGTAGCGCCCATCAGTGACTTAAAGTTTGCGTTGGATTTGGCGCCCCCTGTGGCAAAAGCAGCACCCCTCACCTTTTTCTTGTCTTGTCAGAGGTGTTTCCCATCCTGCTTTGCTCTAAAGTCACCACACAGGAACTGCTGATCTCAGCCCTGGAGCTCCTGTTTGTTTTTATAGGTTTTCAGGTGTGGTTCCTTTCTTGAAACTCTTTGGCCTTGTCGCTGTAAAAGACAGTCATGAAGACGTAATTACCATTAATGACCAGTTTAAAGCAACCAGACAACAGTGTCGTTAATTTAAAGCACCATTATTCTAAACATTTACTAATGTTGCTCAAATAAATGAGCCAATCTGATCACATGGCCTCGGGTTTGGGTGTTTTATCGGACAAACGATTTATCAAAAGTAACAATTGGCAGACTGATCAATACAGGAAATAAGCTAGCAGTCCTAGCTCCCTGTGTGTTCGCTGACTCAATAAGAAGGAAAATAAAGGGTAATCTGTCCATTATAAGATTTTTTTAAGCTTTTAGTTTCAGATGTTTTGATATTTTCTTTGTTCCCAAAGTTAAACAGATTTTTGTTTTAGACTAGATTTTATTCGTCTTTCATAATTTTGCTCCGTTTTTATTAACTACAAGCTCCTTTTGGTCAGTGATACACAGTCAGGGCAACACCTGGCAAACTGCCCCCCAGGTATTCACTGGTAGTTAGTGAGGAGTCCACTGAGCTCCACAGGCAGGTGGAGAGAGGGAGGATGGGGGGTGGGGGGCTTTGTTTAGCAGGGGAAATCTGCCGGGGGATGGTCGATTCCTCCTCCTGCTCTGAGCGCCACGTCCAATCGGCTGGCTGTGACGAGGCAGCTCGAGGGCCAGAGATTACACCGCAGTGCTGAGGCGTCACTCTCGCTGCACACCGCAGGCGGAGGCAGGGAGGGGGGGAGGGAGGGAGAGAGGAGGGAAGGGTGGGGAGGCGCGTGGACACACTCATTGAGACAGGGGAAGGGAAAAGGAAAAGGAGAGAACCTTGTTAGGAAATGTGACAGCTTGGTCTCATCATCTGCGTTCAGCGTCTTCAAACACCTGCCACAGGACTCCCACGCTCATCATCCTCCCATCCTCGCTCTGCTTTCTTTTCCTCCACACCTACACCTTTCCCCTTTCTTCTCTCTCATCACCCTCTCCATCTCTACTTGTCCTCGCTCTGTTGTCGAATCAGCACAGAGATAATTACACTGACGCTGTCGAAACGATGATTTAAATGATCATCTCGTCATAGGTGCGTTTTGTTCTTTAAATCTAACACGCAGGAGTGTTTCTGCTCTCCTCTGGTAGATGAAGTAGTGGCATGAAAGCAGGTCACAGTGTGTGAAATCTCTGACATGTTTGCCGCCTGCTGTTAAAATTCACCAAAACAGTTTTGAAAGGCATGCTGGGAAAACATGTTCACTGCTGCAGTCTCTTTTCTCCAGATATGCTCAAAGACCTCGGCAATTATATTTCATAGCCGCTGCTGCAAATTTGACTTATTGATCACAGACTGCATAAATAGTTATGAACTTGTGATTTATTGGGATGAGGAAACAAAGGTTTTCTTCTCGTTTTGAACTTGAGGGGGAAAACTAAAAGCAGCGTGGAAAGAACCACAGAGATGTCCATGTGTGAAATTTGGAGCAAATTGGATTTCATGCTGAGAACAGTTGGGTTCACGGCTGGATCAGCTGAAAGAGACGCAAATAGCCAAAAGTCTGCAAATTTTCTACCATGCAGAGTGTAATAAACTCCAGTCCTGTATCTGTTCTGTCGGTTTTATTAGAAAAGCAGATCTCTAGTTTAGCTGTAAACATATTGCAGTGAAATATGAGGCTGTTTTAAAGGTTGATGATTCAATTACATCGATACAAAGAGAAACCAATGATCCATATTTAAACAAAAAGCCCAAATATATTACAAATTATTAATAAATGTATTTGTGTTATCATCTAAAAGGGATAGTCGTGGGGTTGTGCATTTGCTGGTCAGCTCGGCTCCTTCATTGAGAAACCTGCAGGTGAACATGAATGGACAGAGTCAAGTCTACCCACAAGGTCGCAGCAGAGTTTCGAGGCCATTGGGAGCGCTCGCCATGTTAGAAATGCTGACGCGATTGAACTTTCAGTCAAACTTCCAAGAGGCAAAGACGGGGGAGTTGAGTCAGGCCTGCAGTCCCCTCACAAACAGCTACAGTGTGCTTTACTGTCAGTCAAGTCAGCTGTGCCTCCTCTACCTCAAAAATTGTAATCTTCAAACTTCATGCATCATAAAAAATGATATTAGTCTGATTTTAGTCAGACTAACCCTGAATTTCCACTGCATCTGGAACGGCAGCGATTTTAGCCGTCCGACAATTCCTACCGTTTGTGAGGCGAATTTTGTGGCGGATTACGGACCGCGGGAATCGCAGGAACTTACAAGAACCCACGGAATCACGTGCAATCGCGCGATAATGAGTTGTCTCTATAAAGACATCCACATAGGCTAACTGTATAAGCAGTAGATTGTGTCCTTCCAGAGGAGGAAATCTACTTCTAGACTTTTAGAATCAGCATCTCCTCATCCATGGTGTCATCGGGGTGAAAAGCTGTCTATAAACCTTTCACTTGTTCGATCCGCCTGAAACACGGAGTGTTTTATATTGAAAAGAAGCCAGATGTTTTATTTTGTGTCTGTGCCCTCCAGCACGGGTTAATCTGCGCTGAATTTGTCCACCATGCTCCGGTGTCTGGGAAAAATAGAACTCTTGCGATCAGCTGCGGAGTCCTGTGATCTGCAGCGGAACGGAAAGAAGCCGGTGGAAATTGACACGTTAACTTGAATGGTTACGCTTAGCTACGATCGGCGGATACAGCCTTTACGTAGCCGTTCCGGATGCAGTGGAATATGGGGGTAAGGCGCTGACTGTCACTAGTGGGATGTGGTATCTCAGGATCTTTCTGAATCAGAAGATACCAGCGGATCACAAATTGCTGCAGTCTACATAACTAGTTTCCTTCTCTACAGTTTATCTATGAACTTTCTTCAATTTAAGGAGTTAAATCAGAAAACCAGGAGTTACGAGTGAGTTTTTGGAAGTAAGCCAAACTGAGATGCAAAAATATCACAATCATAAACCTGCAAAGCTGACCAGTGAGCTACAGGTGCGATTAAAAACAAAGAGGTTTTCTGGTCGTAATAGAAAGCTGCTGACAAATGTCCCTGAGAGTGTCTGCAGCGTTTGACAGGCTGTAGCTTCTGTCCTGGTTCTCTGGTCGGTTTTTCAATAAAGGGGCAGAGCTGATTGGCATCCCCTGTGGCTAATACTATTGACAAGGACCTCATACAACCCCACTTAAAAAAAACTGTCTCTTTACATCAACCCCAGGCTACTTAGACACTCAATAAAACCCTTTAAATGCAGACTTTGTATCACCAGGTAACACAACACTGTCAGAAATCATTGAAATAACGTCATATTATCATAAAACGTGTGATTTTTCACTCCTGTAGTAAAGCCAAAAATATCTATTCACACAACAGCAGAGGAGAATAAAAGATGTTGAACATGATGAACATTTACAGCGTGGATTTGACAGAGCTGACCACTGATTTTAGGCCAAAACAGACCCCACCCTCTATCGAGCTGTTTTTAAGTCCGGCGATAATCGATCGCCTCTGGGATTCATTTGTCCTGTTTTGTGTTCTGAGAAAAAAAAATCTGAATCCGTTCCAGTCTGCATAGATGGAAACCTCATTTTGATGGAGCCAATCAATTCCTGCATAAAGACAGAAGCTCACAGCACAAAACAGGAGCAACACGTTTTAGACGACAACAGCAACAACAAACAACGTTAGCTTTTCTGTAAAGTCTCAAACATGGAGACACATCTGTGCTGAGAACATAATCAAACACTCACAGTGTTAACATACCTGCAGAGTCCATCTCCACACTTGCTACTGTTGGAACCAGAGACCCCTTAGCTTCATTTCACACTGAAGACTGAATCCACTTCAAGTTTGGTTTCCTGAATCCATCTGAGCGGTGGCTTCTACAAAAACAAAAAAGCAATGAATAAAGTAAGGATGTTAAATTAATTATCTACTCTAGTATTTAAAAACGTCTGTTCTGTTCAAGATACACCCTACTTATTCTCATAAAAGGGTATCACAAGGGAAATTAGATTGTATATAATGAGAGAAGATCAAGTATTATCTGATACGATCTGATATTTGGCCTCATCCTCCTGTTTTAGAGATGGCTGATAAAATGTATTAATTAAAAAGGAGGCTACTTTTGGCCGTGTGCATATCTTATCCTCTGAGACTGTTTTCTTGCACCATTGGCCAAAGTTTTCTTTCTTTGACACCTGGATCCTGCTCGTCTTTCATCAGGTCGTGTGTTTTCTTTTATTGACCGTGTTGACCGGGGGGTTAATCTACCAGTCAGACTCCGATAAACCCTCTCATGATATGTACCCCAAGACCCTTTTACTTAAAAAAGGATGATTTTCAAACATGTTGACATTATTTCTGAACCAAAACGACCCTTTTAAATAGAAATACTGTACCAACCCCTACGGCTAATCACTTTCATATTTTTTGGGCCTGTCCAAAAATCATTTTGGAGGGAGGTGTCAACCTAGATAAATAAAATATTGAGGGTGGATTTAGGCTTTTCTTTTGTTGTTTTATGTCTCGGTAAAATCCCGGAAACAGTCCTACGTAAGGACAGGTACCTGTTGAAGATTCTTTTGGCAAGTGGTAGGAAAGCCATAACAAGAAGGTGGTTGCAACCAGATTCCCCAACATTAAACCAGTGGCACGGGACTGTCCAAGAAATTCACTGTATGGAGAGACTTACTTTTGTTTTAAGACTTCAGTCGGAGAAATGTTTGAAACACTGGGAAAAATGGACTGAGTATGCACCTTGTGACATTAGCTATGATTTATGTGTGCGTGTATATATGTATTTATGTGTAAAAGAATATTTACATTCAACTGTATCACCCATGATGTCCTCATGTTCTGTAAATAAATAAAAAGTATTAAAAAAAAGAAATAACTGTACCACAGTGCTAACATAAAACTAAATGACCAAAGCTGATTGTGATCCTTAAGCCACACAGGTTTGCCACTCACAGCTGTCAGACATCAGGTTCGGTCGATACATTAATCCTGTCAGGTATCAATCAACCACTTTGGCATCCAGGAAGGTTTCTGGAGCCGTGCAGCTCCTGAACATTCAGTTTTCTTTTTATGCACTTTAAAAAGTCTCCAAACCTTCTCCACATAACGGAGAGTTGTATTTATGATTCTGCATGAAAAATAAAATGCATTGAAACGATTTATTTGTGCAGACAGTATTTTAGCTGAACATTTTGACTGTCAACGCTGAGTGAAAACTGGTTAAAATTCAGTCTTTGACATTCAAAAGTGATTCCTCTGTTTGCAGCTGAACTGTCCCTGTAATGGGATGTTTATTCAGGGCGTTTGCTTTTACTTTTCTGAAGGAGTAACACTTGGTTAAACTACAACAAAGTGCAAATAACACACAGAATTAAAACTTTCCAAATACAGACCATAAAGGAACGAAATAGGACCACAATTTGCTCAACCTAAAAATGCTTAGTCATACTGCTAGCTTACAGCTCTGTTGGTTTAAAGCTCTACGAACTTCCAACTGACTGACTTTAAAGTTTCAAACCAAAAAACTTTCGCAAATTTGCCTTAAAACCATAAAAATGTAAATAAATGAACTCCTTATCTTCCAGTGCTGCTAAATGTTGAATGTCAAAGCGGTAGAACTGGTTGGAGAAGTTGAAACCATTGAATAAAAACTGATGAATAGAAAGATGGAGCTGAATTTGGTCAGAGATGTGCCGGATTTATCTTGGCGAACGTGCCGGGCAAGTCGCCACTCTTGGCGAGATTTGGAGAAAACACTGGCAACGCTCTGAGAAGGATTTCACTACTATAAAAGACGGTGGGCAAAACATAGACCTGAGCGCCTAAAAATAGACTCTTGCATCTTTTTTTCAACAATCAGACTCCAAAGTGTCTTTTATGATCACATGTGGTGTCAGAAAATGGACTCAACAGAAAAAAAACGCAAGCTCTAGCATGACGGGCAAAATTGAAGAGGATTCATGCAGGAGGAAATGAGGAATTAACCACATTATAGGGTCATGAACTGACGGTTTCTATGAAGAAGAGCAGAGCAGAAACTCATGCTTGGGTTTCTTAAATCCTTATTAGGCCTCTAACTTTACAGATCTCTGCTGCAGTACTTAAGCTAGATTACTGAAGCTGCTTTAGATTGACATGTTGGCTTCAGATTCGCTCTCTAATGTGCCGGTTCTCCTAAAGCAGCAGCAGCAGCAGTCTCAGGGCGTCCGAGGCTTTGGCAAACTTTCAGGGAACACACACATTGTTCAGCAGACTACAGACAGATTGTTAAAGTCATTTGGACTTTGAAGATTAAATTCTGTCTGGAAGGAAAGGATCTTTGTGGAATCAGCATGTTGTTGAAAGTGTCAGATTTGATCTCGGGCGAGGACGATTGAGGAAAAGTGCGTCTAAAAAGAGCACGCATGGAGCGTTTTGTTTGGATGGAGATCTGACGCTTCAAACTGAATAAATACATGAGGAACGTTTGGATCAGACACATGCAGATGGTTAAGTAACAGCCTCTAACTTCACATTTTTGGACAAAGCGGGCGGTATGTTTTCTGCAGCCTGTCATTCAGCATTGTGTTTGCTGACGGACATGTGACAATCACACATAAACACACATGAAACCGCACAGTCACAGCAGACAGATGGCGTGATTTGACAGAGATTAGAACCGGCTAGTTGTTTAGTCTTTTTGTTATCGCTTGTTCTTTTGTTTTTTTTACTGTTTATTTGAAACATATTACACTGCCAAATGTGAATTTGTCTGGCAAGCAGAGAGGAGAAGACGGAGCAAAAAAAAAAAAAAGATGTTTTCTGTCTGCTCGCTCCGCTTTCATACTCGTCTCCTTCAGTGTTTCTGGCTTCTCTGCCTGCTGGCGTGTTCGGCTTCTCTGTGACTCATTGTGCCTTCTCAATATGTATGTTTGTTTTTGTTTGAATGGTTAAACAAGAGGAAATTTGTATTTCCCCATATGTGCCGTAGAAGCTACCTGACAAACAGAGGAATCTCATGAAACTGTGCTCAAATATGGAGGATTTTCTGCTTCCTTTAGTTACAGGAGCAGCTGATAAATGTGTAACTTCTGTATTAGCTGGAGTTATAAGCTCACTTTTAGACCCCGGCACCTGAAAATCTTTGTTGGTGAGCAGGTATGCTGTTGATGTCCATGTAAGTGTGACACATAAAGCTCAGTAATCCCTCAAACAAGGTAAAGCAGAACACATGCCTGAGGCGTAATGTCTGTTCACTTCACTGCCTCAGAGCTGGATGGGAATTCTCCTTTCTCCTCTTATCAAACTGCTGCTTCCCTCCTGCTCTCTGCTGCGTGAATATTTTACTTCTGCTTCTGCTGCTTTGTTAACCTACTTAATGTTTCGTAAAGGTTAGATCATTTTGTAATTAAGCCTCACTCTCTGCCTTTTCCCCGCAGATCCCCGAGCGAGCGTGGCACCTCCCTGCGTGCATGAGTTGTAAGGGTGTGTGTGAGTGTGTGTGTGTGTGAGAGCAAGTGAGCGTCAGCGCTCCCACATGGCCTCCATGCAGGACGGGCTGAACTTCACGGCTCCTCCCTACGGCAAGGTCCTGCTGCTGGGCGCTATCGCTGCTGCCTCAGCCTTCGTCGTCACCATCCTCATCGTGGTGCTCTGCGTGGGCTGCCAGAGGTAAGCGTGGGGAACGTGCACACGTGACACACACACACACACACACACACACACACACACACACACACACACACACACACACATGAATACACAGAATCGTCTCGTTAACACATGCATGCAAAAGCAGTATTAATTTCAGTCTATTTAACAAATGTCAAAAAAATCCTTACAGGAGCTTTAAGTTTGGGTAATAATAAAAAAAAAAATAGATGCCTTTTTTTTATATTGGCGCCCCCTGTGGACAAAGCAGTCCTTCATATTTACTGATCTTGTCGTACATGCCTTAAAGGTGGGGTAGGCGGGATCTGAGGGAGAAATCTTGAATGTTAACACTTCCCCTCCCAACCAGTTTTCCCCCCTGCTCGCTCGTATTGTTTCAATTAAATTCAGATATAATGCAGATAAGTACTTCAGATCATTACAAATGGGGCCCAGTCTACGTGAAAGTAAAAAGCATTGGTGCTACTGTAGATGCCAACAGACTACCAGCAAACACAATGTTTGCAGGACTTCAACAACTAGGATAAAGTGACATAGTCCAGGACCCGAGGTCAACAGTTTAGCGGCGCTACAACACGAAGCAGGTCCTGTTTTACAAGAAACACTTCTGTTACACTTTGCTTACTTTGTTAAAGCGGTTTACCTGTCCAGCAAAAAGGTTAGGGGTCTGTAGGATCCGGAAGCATACCCAAAATGCTACACTGACGTTGACTCGGCTTTTTAGCTCTTGTCCGGTCTACCTCCTTTTTAAGCGCCATTATTCCGCCAGAGTCTCCGGTATTTACATCGTTTTCTTGTTTGTGTTGGCAGTCGTGACCAAAGGAGGATTCAGAAAAATTTCCATACTTTCTGGTTGGTTTCTACTGTCCAATATTGTGTCTCACAACACGTGGGAGCAGTGTCTGCCTCACAACCAATAAGGATGGGGGAGGTGGAGAATGGCTTTGTTTACAGTCAGAAAGAGCAGGCCGCTAAAACAGACATGACAGAACACAGTGATATTGTTATATTACCAAATGTCATCAATAACTAACAGCTATTGACTGATACTAAAAGCTTTTTTTAAACACCATAAAAAAGATGCTTCTTTAACAGATTCCTGCCTAGCCCACCTTTAAAAAGTCCTCCCATCTGTTGACAGTCACATGCATATTTCACTGTGAATACTTGCAGTGGAAAATATAACAAAGCTGTTCCTTTAATGTGCTGTAAATTATTCGTCTGACACCTGACCCCTGGCAGTGGTTACAGATATTATACATATCTTAAAAGAAATAGTCACTCTTGTTGTTGTAGTTCATCAAAAGGCACCAGTGTTAAACTCAGCCTGTTTCATAAGCGGTAAAAAAAAAAATACTGACTGTGGCTTTAAACAGTTAATGATGTTTGTCAAAGTTTGAACAACATTGAACTGAAACAGAAACCAGCCTTTACGCTGAATAAAACCAGATTGTTGGGCAAAAACCTTGCTGTGTATATCCAATTTCTAATAATCTGATAACAGCCTTTATCTGATAGAGAAAACTCAATTCTGCTGTTTGCATGACTACTTACATTTTCAGCTGTAACAAGGTAACTCCGCAAATCAAATGATAAGTTCATTGCTGACATCTGATTAATATACAACCAAAAAAAGTTGAAAATGAACAACTGAGCTCCCAGCATCACTGAGGAGAGGAGAGAGAGAGAGAGAGAGCCAGAGAGGAAGCAAGAGTGCTGCAGGCAGAAGCTTGTGAAGGCAAGTTTGTGAACAGTAGCTCTGATTGGCTAGTTGGGTGCAAGCTAACCTGATTGGTTATTTGATTCAGACCAGGTAAATCTTTTACAAAACACTGAATACATCACAAACGCGGTTTTTAAGGCGAATTTCGTAGCGGATTACAGACAGCAGGAATCACGAGAACTCACAAGAACCCGCGGATTCACGTGTAATCACGAGATAACAAGTTGTCTCTAGCCACATAAGCTAACCATATAAGAAGTAGATTGTGTCCTTCCAGAGGAGGAAATCTACTTCTAGACTTTTAGAATCAGCATCTCCTCCAGGTGAAATGCTGTCTAGGTAAACTTGTTCAACCCGCACGTTTGCGTGGCGTGAACGTAGTGTTTTATTTTGAAAAGAAGCCGGATGTTTTATTTTGTGTCTGTGCCCGACTTCCTTTCCAGCACGGGATAATCTGTGCTGAATTTTTCCGGCATGCTCCATTCGAAAAAATAGAACTCTTGTGATCAGCTGCGGAGTCCAGCGAACTGCAGAGGAACGGAAAGAAGTCGGTGGAAATTGACACATTAACTTGAATGGTTACGATCAGCTGCGATCGGCAGATACGGCCATTTTGTAGCCGTTCCAGATGCGGTGGAAATTGGGGGTTAGAAGTCAAAAAACTCCTTACTGAAGCTTTAATAGTATTAATTATCAACATGTTTTTTAAAATCATAATTCTGCTTAAATAATGTCTCCTACTGACACTACTTTGAGGTAAAGGTACTTAGTTGCAGCCCAGGCATGCCAACATACAAATACCCTCACACAGATGCACACACAGTCATAATCTGACTCAGACACACATGGACAGTGAGTCAAACTCCCCTAAAAAAACACACACGCAAGCACACACACACACACAGTTGCATCAGTGTATTAAGTGTCAACCTGTGTGACAGAGTGTTTGTGTTTACCACAGGAAGGGGAAGACACACAATGTTCCTGGCGAGGGTGGAAAACACCGTCTCATGGACATGGTAGGTATCTGAAAAAACACACAAATTTAACCAGCGAGGAGTGAAATCATTCAGGGTTACTGTTTAACCGGCCTTGTGTGTGTGTGTGTGTGTGTGTGTGTGTGTGTGTGTGTGTTGTCAGGGTATACTCAGACAGTCGAAGCTGCGCTCCATCAGTAAATCAGACACGGAGATGAACAAGATGAACTGCAACGGCAAAAGTGAGTCCATCTTTCACATATACATCCCCACCTGTGTGCTCCGATATGTCGGCGTCTTTGGGACCGGACAGCCTGGAACTTTTTCAGGCTGCATGACAAAGCACTTTTGTTTTCACCAACGAAAAAAAAATGGGATTTTTGGGGGAATTTTTTGAGCCCCAGGAGAACAATAAATTAAGTATATATCTCCAACACATTAGCATGTGTTTGTTCAGCTTATCTGAAGCATAAAACCCCCAAACATCGGAGGAGCAGCGTTTCCGGCCGACAGAATCAGCCATGAAATGGCAGAAATAGAAAATCAATCAGAAAATTTAGCTGCAGATTAAAAGCATGAGGAGTTAACACATGAATGAAACAACTATATATATAAGTAAATAAACTGTAACATGGTCTGATATCATTCAGCTATGAGACAAAACCCCCCGTATAATTCAAAGTGGTCAGTTTGATGTGAGATGCTGTCATGGATAATTTCCTCCATGTGCCCAGCTCCCTAAAGTTAAGTAGATCTTTCTGCACCCGAATCAAAGAACTATTTAGAGGAGAGATTCATCCACATAACACTTACTGCTCAGTCTTATTTCACTGAGCCTCTCAGGCTTCATTTGAGAACATGTATCGCGCTCTCTCTCTTTCGCTCAAAGACAGAAATGAGAGAGCCAAGACGAGTCCTGGAGCTCCGTCACTGACAGTCAGCAGGGAGCTGTGTTTGTGGGCACCGTGACAGTAGCCTGAGAGGGTTTGAAGAAATAGAAGCATATGTCCTGCTTCGTTCTTGTCCTGCTTCCATTTCAGTGGAATGAAGTCAAATTGGAGGCTTTTCCTCAAATATCTACGTCAGCTTCCAGTTTACTGTCAGCTCCAGACTTTCTTAAAACCAGGGAGAGACCACCGGCTCTCACGCTGAGGAATGAGATGTAAATGTATGTGAGTTCTGTTTTTTCTGGTGGCCCCCAGCTGTACAGAGAGTAGGATCAGGGTGTATCCGCCCTGCAGAGGTCTCTCTAAAGAAACCTCCAGCCAGCTTGGAGCTTCTACTGCTGCTCAGCTGCCGGTCTAACTCTGAGCTTCGTCTTCAAGGCAGGCAGCTTCCCCAGATCCCATCTGGGACTGGAGAGGACGGGGAGCACACTTACTCTGAGGTGGGCCGACGCTCTTCCACCTCACGTACTGATGATGCCCTCTACGCCATGGTAGGCAGGGCCGGACAGACGGACACTCCGGCCCCTCCAGCTGTCCCCGCCAACACCCCGGCACCCCCGGACCCGGACGGTGATGTGGAAGGAGGGCTGCCTGAACCAGAGGCCCAGGTCATGACTCCCCCTCACCCTCCAGAGACGGCCGAGTACGCCTGCGTCAGGAAGCTGAGGAAGGCCGACAAGGCGCCGCAAAAGAGGGACAGTGGGACGGATATGGGGGAGCCGCCGGCGCCGCCTCCGAGACACGCCCCGCCATCGCATCCAGCCCCTCCTCCACCTCATCCTCACAGCACGAAGCTGCCTCGAAGAAACATGGAGGCCTTCAATGTCCCATCGTTCCCAAAGGTTAGTGAAGACGCTCAAACCTCATCAGATAGTTTCAAAAACAGCTCAGGAGCTTCACAACTCAAACTCTGAATTCGGTCCAAAAGTTTGACAGAAACATTTATCAAGTTCCTCTAACTTTTCTGAAAGTTTTGGCTACATTTCCTCAGGGGCATGGCATCTGGGGAAATTCCCCTATACAGCCAAGACCATGAGATCCAGTTAAAGAAGCTCTTGTCCTGGATGAATTAGGTTTGCTCTGCTATACTTTGCCTCTAAGTTATGTGGAATTCAGACAGAATTGACACATGAAAAATCATATCTGACCATTTTTAGTTGGACAAAAGTCTAAATTTAGTCTAAGATTTATTTTATGGGAGGAGATTTAACAAAGAGCAGAAAGACTTCACCAGACTTTGACCAGATTCTCACATAAATAACCTGTTAAAATAGTTTGGTTCGCTTTTTCAGACTTATTTTAACCATTTAAATGTTGATAACCTTATATTTATTTTGTAGATTGAAACAAAAAAGATCAGACCTCTTTCACTCACAGTCTGAATAATGTGTCAGTGTGAGGAGGAGGCGGAGGAGGAGGTGGGGAGGATTCAGTTTTATGGGACAGTTTTAAAGGAAGTGATGGCTGCAAGGGGAGAGGAAATAAAGTCAGGTCACATGTGAACCTCCAGAGATTCGACTGGAGCAGCTGATGAGATCATCAGAGACAGATTAAGAGTGTACGGCTGCTTTGTGCAGTGATTTTTTGCCTACTAGTCCTAAAAATGATAATTTATTATCCAAGGCTTTCATTAAGTCTCGCTCCTTTTTTAAATGTCTCCAATTTTAGTGCAGATATTCATGATCCCCAGAAGACAAGTCTTAATGATTTTGGTGATTTCTTGACTTTTCTTCTAGTCTTCTGAGGCTGAAACTTGTGTATTATCATCTAACATCTTCACAGCCACGGGATCAATTTCCATGAAATCTATGTGGGATTTTTATGTTCCCCTTGGGATGAACTGAAACAACTACTGAGATACTCCCATTACCATCAATGGTACCATTACTGTTGTACCAGCAAAACAAACAAAATTCAGCTCTGACTCATATTATTAGAAAATGTCAGCAGCTGAACTGAAGATTATGTAACTGATAAAAACTGCAGTTCCCCCAGTGTCCACTTGAGGCTGGCTCCAGAAGTGCTGAAAGGCACATATACACCCACTCAAAAGAGCCCATTTTCTACAGCAAATATAAACATGTTTTCTGACGGGTACAATGCTGCGTTCGAGTTATCTCGGAAGTCAGAAGTCCGAGCTGAAAATGACGTCACACCTGAGTTACCAGTGTTTCAGTTACCAAGTCGGAAAAAAGCAGAATCAGAAGCAGAAACAAGATGGCTACATCTACGAAAGTTATGTAGATTTAGCTTTTTCTGACTCGATAACTGAAACGCTGGGAACTCGGTTGTGACGTCATTTTCAGCTCCGACATCTGACTTCCAAGGTAACTCGAACGCAGCACAACAACAGTTTTGGTCGAGATAGAGGACTTGACATTGAGTTAATTTTTTTCAAACATGTTTGTTTTTTAAGATATTAATGTTATGAGTTTGAGGCAAAACTGACTCGACTGACAGATGTGAAAACTCAATAAGTTTACTTTCAAAAATGACTTATTGCAATAATCAAACTGAAACTGGACTTTAAAAATGCATGTAAACACGTTGGTTTGACTAAAATTAAACTTCTCATAGTCAGATTAACATACCTGGATAATGCGATGGAAGATGAATTTGCTGTCTTGTGTAGCCAGTGGTTGGACAGCATGGATGCGTTGCTAGGAAATTGAGTAATAAACAAAACCTCGACAGACAAAGACAGGAAGTAAAAAAGACAAAACTTGTCACCTACATGATTGTGCACTTGATCCAATAATTGATTATACATTTTGAATCTTGCCAATCAACGCAAAGATAACAAGCCATTTAAGAATATACTTGTATCACTGTAGGCTCAAATGTCAGTCACATGTTGTGTCTAAGCTGCAGCACAGTCACCCACCTCTCTGGTTCATGGCTCCAGCTCTGCATCAATAATGCTCTCCTACCTGAATCTTAACAAGCACAGATTATAGATGACATATCACAGCGCCTCTCTGGTCGTAATCGATCCAGAAAATGGAGGTAAAGTTATATATGTGGACTGTGTTGGATTAGAATCGGTTTAGAAACATTTCTTGGACCATCCCTGGGTTTTATGTCTTTGGGTTTTATGTTCTCAGCCTTTATTTCAAGGTGAAATGTTGAAAGTATGTTCCCCTGGGTCAATAAGTTAAAATCATCCATCCAGTTTATAGCCGGCTGATATTTTACTCCCTGGCACCGACACCCTCAAACTGAAAGACACCAACCTTCCCTCTTTTACGGGTTTAACTGCAAAGATATTAGTCACCCTATTTCAAAAACTGAGAGGATGAACTCGGAAACCCGTGAATGACCCAGGTGAACATTACCTGCTCACTATCGGCGCATTAGCATTGTAACTGTGAGCATGCGTTCATTAGCATTCAGTTCAAAGCAGCACAGTCTCACAGAGCTGGTAGTGCGGCTGTAGCAGCTTTCAGACTGAAAATAGATCAGTGTTTAAAAAAAACACAAAGCTGCGTTTGGTGTGTTGCTACAGGTACAAGTGGGACATGAAATACAATCCATGAAGTCATCTTTGAGTTACAGATCAGTGAGTATAGAGGCTCATCAGATGCCACAACACTGCACGGCTATTTATAATTTTACAACTATTGTCTGGACGGTTATCATATCACCTGTTTTACTTCATCTGCAGTCAAAGTGGCGTCCTGGTAAGCAGTAAAAATAAACTCTTCGGCTCAAATTATCCGAGAATAAAACAGGAATGACATGTGACTGCACCTCCTTTCCAGATTGTGTCACTCGTAGTCGAGTTGAGCCAGGTTCAGTTTTTAAAGGTGGTGTTTTTTCCATGGAGGGTCAGACTTATTCTGCAGTTTGCCTCAGGCTGGTCTCAGACTGCGGATGTTTTGGGGCTGCTCATCTGAAGCAACAATCGAAGGAGAAATCTGGTCAGTGTTTATGTCCAGCTCAGATTAGTCGGGAAGATGAAGGATTTCACAGACTCGCTCTTTATCCTCTTGATTGCCTGACTGGCTGGCTGGCTGGTGGTTGTGTTGGGCCCCCCTGGTAAAATAAAACCTGTGATATTTGGTATCAAGACCCTGGATGATTATATTAGTATATCTGAGTGCAACCAGAACACAATAGCCAATTAGAGTGAGGTCTACAAAGAGACGGAGCTGCTGATGGTGTTTCGAAACATCCAAGCCCCTGAGGCTAACACTAACTAGCTTAATATTGCTGCATGAAAGAGCAAATATCACCTCTAGTACTTTATAGAGAATAGACAAGCCTCGATGAATGTTTAACCTCTTCTATTTTCTCATTCAGACTCTTAGAGCTCCTATGAGGAGTCTGTAGCTGGTTATGAAGCAGACTGAAATCAATACTGAGGCCTCTTTAGGAGTTACAGAAGCAGCGTGTTTCTATAAAGTTACATTCAAGGCCAGAAACCGCAACTACAGGGTAGGGTAGGTGCCAGATAAAGTGATTAAGGGCCTGTGTCCACTAGTGTGTGTAGTGTTTAGTGTATACAACACCAATGCAGTTCAGTATTATCAGAGCTCAGTATCCTAGGCTCAAAACCCTCAATGACTCACAGTAGGCGGTAAATTGGAGCATTTTCTATTACTGACCAATAAAATAAAAAAGGGGCGGGACTTCTGATTAATATGTCAGTAACAATTGTCCATACGGAGTCTGCCTAAGTCCACACAAAAGAGAAACTAAACGTCCTTTTTAGGGGACTCTTTTAGGTGTAGAGCTGCTGCTAATGCCTCAATATGAGTTTTATTCATTGTTATTTTGTCTTCTTCATAAAATCTAATGAAAGTTTTCCTTTCATTGAGCAAATATGAGGCAAACTTAGCGTCTCGAAACAAACTTCCCTCTGAGCATTTTTTGGTCTAACAGACGTCTAAATGTAGCCTAGACAGCTGGTCTAAAATCAGGCTACCACAGGTCTAAAAATGAAAGTTTTTTTAGACGTCTAAATTTAGACCAAGTTTGGACCAAGTCTAAATCTGGGCTATATCTATACTACACTGTATTTTGCTCAACGACTATCATAATTATTTTAGTTAAGTACTTGGAGATCAGTTATGCAACTCACAGTTGCTTTTTGAGATAAATAGTTATCAAATTATGGGTTAAAGTGCAACGTCTGAATTCCGTCTAAAATATACAGAATCTAGACGGTTGAAATCAAGTCTAAAAAAAACTAGACGTCTAATAGCCGTCTGTTGCTCAGTGGGTTAACACAGACTGAACCATGGGAGGCAGAAGTACAGCAGGAAACGTTTATAACTCAGGAGATGTTGGTAAGAATTGCTCTAAAATTGAGGTTAGCAGTGGACACAGGCCCTAATTGACGGCCAAAGCGTACTGTTATGACTGTTAAAAGACAGCAGGATGAGAATTTGCGTTAATATTACTACTTGGACATGCATCAGCAAAGGAGGAAATCTGTGAACTTTTTCCTGTTGTGAGTAACGTTTGGCTTGTCTAACTCCTGTAGTCTCAGCCTGACCTCAGTGTTATTAAAGTTTATTGCAGTGCATCATTTTTGGCTTCATGATCTTCGTTGTCAGGCTCGAGATTTTACAGCTAGCAGCATTGATAGGTTAGAAAAAGGTCTGGTAAATAAATATTCTAGTCAGTGTTCCTCTGTCGGAGTCACTTTAACATATTTAACAGCATTTGCATCCAAGGGAAAGCAATCAGGGTGTGGATGGTGAGTCTGTCAGGTTGCCTGTTGCTGCTGCAGAGGATCTGCTGACTTGTTTGTGTGCATGCGCTCGTCTACATCATGCATGATGTTGTGATGTGTTGGCGCTTCAGCATGAATATCTTTCCAGTCTGGACTCAGCGCTGTGTTTATTTATTGAATGGTTCTCGGGTATATCAGTGTGTTTCCCCTCTCAGCAGTGTCACCTCTTCCATATGTTTGCAGCGGCAGGAGTGTAGGCAGACGGCCTGATTTCACTGTGGATATAAAGCTTTGTGCTCCCCTCAGGGTGACAGTGGGAGACCATTTGCTGCCCTGCGTGAGGTCAGCGAGGTCGCGCTCTCGGCTGTGACCTGAGTTCAGAAACACGAGCGTCTGCAGGCTTACATGTGTACGCAGGCTGCTCACGGGGCTGTTCGGCACTCATTTTCTTGTGGATGACGCAACATGTTGAAATTGAGTCATCCAGAATATAAGCACATGGTTCCTCTTGCTGCAAGCCCCACCTTCCAGGGGAAAATCTCTCCAATACTGTTTGACATCCATCCGATATATTTCTTATGCTCTGTGCTACTACTCTCTGCATGGTTAAAGAGGTTAATTTGTCTTTTATGAGCTCCAGTGGGTGTATTTTTAAAGAGCTGTTTTCATGTTCAAAAATACTCTAAAAAGGCGTGCGTGAACACATGACCGGCTCTGCCCTAAATGTAATTTCTCATTGCCCTGACAGGAAGTGATGTTTATGGGAAACGGGGAGCAGTACATCTGGAAGCCTCCGGAGGATGAAGAGATGCTCATGCACCAAAATAAAACCCTGGGACCGCTGGGTGCTCACACAATGGAGAATATACAACCATCTGCTGCAGTGGTGAGAGAGCACTCCTCAGGTTTACTTGTTAAATTTTCATCTACTATTGTACGGTTTTAGTAGCATTGAAACACAGTGATGAGCTGGTGTTGTGATTAAAAAATTACCTGGTTATCTTAAAAAGCCTGTGAGCCTGTTCAAAAGAAAATATTATTCCGTGTTAACACTCTAATTTATTATTTTATATTTAGACGTAGATTTAAAATTGTCACACAAAATTAAAAAGATGTAAAAGATATTTTTTCATATAATTTCAACTTTTTGAACCTTTGCCTTTATTAGGAGAAGAGTGGGGTCAAGTGGCCAATGAAAAACAGTATTAAGGCAGCAAACTGGTGTCCCCTTTATATATATTTTTAATTATATCAACTTTTCAGGCCTGTGCTTGTAGGTTGAAGAGTGATATAATCTCTGAACTTAACTGATGCCATTAAAAGACATTTTAAACATCAAACAGTGAATGTTTTCAGCAGAATCATGCAGCTTTTAACGAGGACTTTAAAGGTACAGTATGTAATTTTTGGCAGTATTTAGCCAGGCACTTGGTAGGAATGGAATGTGATATTTATAAATATGTTTAAATTAGTGTATAATCACCCTGAGTACAAAAATAAGCCATTTATATTTACACAAGGAGTAGGTTCTCTTGCGCCACCAGGTTTCTACAGTAGCTCAGAATGGACAAACTAGTATCATATGTATTTAGCGAGCAGCTGTCTGAAATGGACCGTTTGTAATATGAAGAAGAAGAGGAGAGTGGATTTGAGTTTTTGTTTTGATAAACATGTTTGACAGTTAAAATTTGACAGACAAAGGGTCATACTCACAGGAGCTTCTTGTCCTTAAAGGCCACCGTCACTTCTTGAATGTCACACGCTGTAGGGGTGAGCAAGGGAGCGCTTCAATCTAGACATAAAACTATATGATACTGTTAACATTCCCATTTTCACACTCTGTACCTTTGATGGAATATTTACTCGTAATAAAGCAGATCGGCGCCTTTTTCATCTTCACGCTGACCCGAAAGTTGCCCTTAAGGCGAAGCTTCTTGTTTCTGGTCTTAGCTTGATAGTCTCATTATGGATGAAGAAACTGCAGAGGAAGACGATAGAGAAAAAAGAAAGTGAGTGAGCGAGAGGCTGAAGAAACTTGTTTTTTTACTTGTTGCCAAGAGAGAGAGGGCAAACTGCCAAACTACGGAGAACATAAAAAACCATAAAACAGTTCTTGTTTGATACATCTTCTAAGAGAATATAAAGAAGAAGATTAAGTTTTGGAAAATATGTCGGCTCGTTTGGTGGAAAGAAAATAAAAAGAAAAGTCAGTTAAATATTAAAGAACAATAGCAGGCGGGTTATTTTTGCCCGGTGTGTCTTTTCTGTAACGTTTGACACATTTGGCCAACAATGGTGGAGTCGTTTGGCCCCTGATCTGCCATCAGAGGTAGTAATATTAATAAGAGTTTTCTGGCATGTGCGCTCATTCACCTCGTCTCTTTGTTTCAGAGTCTAAACTCAGTTTGTTTAAATTTTACTCCAGGTGGCTGAGATGTACTCAAAGGTTTGTAAACCTGGAAAGAAGAAGAGAGCTGTGCCAGGCTCTCCCCCGTCCAATCCTGGCTTCCGGACCTTGGGTCGTGGTGACCGAGATCGAGACCGGGATGGGGGTTTTAGTGTAGTGGTCAAACCGCAGACGTGGGCCCTTCAGGAGGGCAAAGCAATGGGAGGACCCCTCGATGACCACTGCTATGAGTCCATCGGGACAGAGGAGTGCGATCCGGGGTACGAGAACATGGAGGGCGGAGGCGCCTGGAAACGGGAGAGGCCCCCCAACACATGTGCCACCCTCCGACCCAGGAGGAAGAAAGCCCAGCAGCCTTTGCAGCAGCAGCAGCCCCCTCCACCGCCGCCCACGCAGCAGACCCCTAAGTTACAGCACCTGCCTGCCAAAGCCCTGCTGCTGCCGGGGGAGAACCTGTACGAGAGCATCGGCGACTTGAAGCAGGGCTCTGCCACCTCCAGCACCACCACCATCTTTACTTTCAACGACGGCATGGAGATGTACGTAACAGGGCTCTGAGGCGGTGGCTGCACTGTGACCCCTGACCCCTCAACACAAGGAGCTGAGCTAACACCCGAGGAGTGACGGCTGAGCCCCTGTCATGCTCCCCCATACATACTGTTTACATTCAAGTCATAACATCAGGCCTTTCACAGGATGGGCAGAAATGTTGATCTGTTATGACCTGGGCTGAGTTAAAGTCCGCTCTATCAACCTTAAAAGGAATCCAAAGGTAGTGAATATTAAATGAGCACAAGACCGTTGCAGAGCAATCTGTAGGTAACAGTAGCACTTCTATTTTACTGAAACATGTGCAAAGCACAATAAAGTAAAAGCCTAAATTCTTCCTCAACTTTAGCGGGTAAAATAGTTGTTTTCCTGGTCCGAGCAGGAATCTTATTTGAGGAAAAGGCACAGGATCTGTGTGAAATCTTTTGGTAGCACTTAGTCTGTCACGAACAGGCCTTCCCTGTAGTCTGTCAAGATGTGATTCAGGATGGAATTTAAATGATAGGAAAGGAATGAATTACTAATCAAAATACTTGAAAGCTCAGGGACCAAGAGAATCAATTATGAGAGTATTATAAAGAAAAATTGCACACATTTTGCATTCCTCCTAAAAGCTTTGACTAATTTAGACCATAATCATGTTTAAAACCGACCGGATACTTCCCTCTGTCACGTTTTGTTTCATCTGACATGGACTGAACACTGTCTCCACTGCCGTCTGTAAATGAAGTGTTTTACTTTGTTGATCCTGTTTCTGCACTTTGCCTGCTACAAGTTGCATGCTTAAAAAAGTGGATAAAAAAAGACAAAAAATCAAGCACTGTCATGTGGTACCTCTATATGAATGTTTTTCTTTTATTGTCGTTGGTTGTTTTCTTTTTCTTTTAGTGTGTTGCTTTATTTCTCTGTAGAGCACAAAGCCAGTTAGATTAAGGAAGTCTTTGGCTCGGCGGGAGTCTGTGCAGCAGAGAGGAGAGGTAGTTTTCTCTCCCGCGGTTTGCCTGAGCAAACGAAACAAGACTAAAGAGAACTGCTCGAGTCCTAAAGGTGGAGACAGACCACTCAACCCCACATGCATAAACACACACACACACACACACACACATACACACACCTCTGCTCAGTCCTCTCTCATGTCTGTGGACCGTTCATTTTCATCGTCCCTACCTTGTGCTCATATGAATCTGCTTTGGGTTTCTCACCATAGTGCGGCTTGGAAAGCTACAGTAGAACTGATGTGTATTAGCAAAACGTCATGTCTCATCATCACTCCATCGATGAACTCTCTCTCTCCTCTTTCTCTCTCTCTCTGTTATCTGTGTTTAAAATATCGCAGAAATGACAAAAATGTGAAGCAAAACGGTTTCGCTAAGCAGCAGAGGATAAAGCGCTCAAATTTACATCTTAAATCCTGGACGATAACGATGTTTTTTCATTTGACCAAATATCCCCAGCAAACAATGTGATTATACTGTATGTTGATGCAATGTGTATGTACATTACAAAAGAGAAAGAATAATAAATATATCATCAGTGTCAAGAAATCTATCTTTTTCTATTATGTTTAATTGTGTTTTGGAATGACTTATCTTGTGACACAAACTGCAAAACAGCTGCAATGTAAAAAATATTTCCGTGTATTCTGTTTGTTGTTTTTTGAAGCCATGAAGCTACGGTGTGTTCTTGGAAAGCCCGGCTAAGTTAAATGTGGCAGCTAATGTTGTGTGTTTGCTATTCAGACTACAGGGTCTTGTACTCAGAAGCGTGTAATTAAGTGCTAAGTGCAAAAGATTGTAATGTTTTATATCAAGATTACTATTCATGAAATGTCAGTCAAGTTTATACTTTTGTAATAAAGTGGCACTTTAAAAAAATTTGCTTTATCTCATAGTGTCAGTTATTAAAACTGAAGGGAGGAAATATCGCCCAGAGTTCACTCTGCCAGATCACAGAGTCTTTATCGAGCCTTTTCTCTGATCTTAAACGCTGCCTGTAGATTCATGTCTTCAGTCCTATCAAAGAGAAATCTTAACATACCTTTGCACTTTTATTTCTGAGCGCTGTTTCCAAAGGTGTGCAGTTTTTCACATGTCTTACACGTAAAGCTTGCTCCTTTTGTCCCCCCCTCCTGCCTCTTTTGTGCCTATCTCATTGAGAGTGTGAGTAGCCTTCCCATGTTTTTTTTATCTGTGTGAATGTGAATGTGGATGCGCACGTGCGCCCGAGTAGTGGGGTCTACGTCTGAGTAGCAGCGGTGGGGAAAGAGGAAGAGGAGGAGGAGGAGGAGGAAGAGGGGGGAGAAAGGGAAAAAAAAATAGGTCACCCCTTAAAACAAAAAGCTTGCAGTCAACATCGCAACTGTCTGCTGAATTTTCATTGGTGGGCTTGTCTCCATGGTAACAGGTTAACCTTGAGGCAGTAGTCACATGGGCGAAGCGAGTCTTCTGCTGTCTTGGAGGATACGGCGTGCGTCGTGTGACATCCGTGATCGCAGTGTCAGCCGCTCGGCGAGGAGGAAAACAAAACAAACAGGAGCGGGAGAAGCTGTAGGTGTGAGGATGATACAACATTCACAGCTTATGTGATGTATTAATCTCAGTGTGAGGGGCATGAATGAGTGAATAAACACATGAATGAGAGTGCCAGATTCATTGAGGATACATGACAGTGATGAGAGACATAAATCACACGCAGACAGCAGAGAAAATGAGCATATGCTCGTAAAACTGGCGGTGGAAATCTTGATATTTTTACCATCCAGGAGGGTGGGATGTTTGGAGTCAACACCACAAACACAACCAGGAGGGAAAACCAGGAGGCTCGAGGTCTTTTTATTGCTCATTTTGTCAACCTGAAATCACATAAATATCATTAAATGAACATGTTTGTACCAAAGCTTCATCAGACTGCATTCATCACCAGATTCATCAGCAAAATAATAAACCAGGAGGATGTTTTCTTCGTGTTTACGACACCAAATCCAAGTGTTTCAACTCACCGTGAAGTGATTCAGGTGAGTCTAAATGCATTTTTTCCTGTGCTGTGTTCCTCAGAGGGACACACTATAAATCAAACTGAAAGAGCAGCTAATTATGAGCTCTACTGACACCTTCAGGCCTTAAAGTGCATCACAGGGAGAGTCTGTCGGCCTGTATATGAACCCTGAGAGTCACAGGAGCGTGGAAAAGAACCTCAGAGGTGAGCGTGTGACCGGCTGTGACCTTACGCAGTCAATCCACTCCGCCCACTGTTGATCAGCATGGACACAAACACAAAAAAATATGTTTTTTTTTTTAAGTAGAAGCTGTATGAAGGCAGTGAGAAGACGAAACAGAATCAGAGTAAAGCTCAAAGATGTTCTCTTTTACCCTGACTTTCAGATTTGTTTCACATTCACAGACATTTCATCTATTCTGAGCAAATAAACCTACAAGATTTAGATTCCCTGTTGTTGTCTTGTGTAGTATTTGACATTTTTCTATGACTACTCCACTAATGTGCATGTTGGGGATTTTTTTACATCACTTAAAAACGTCTCTGTAAAGCAGCTTAGAGTATGGAAAGTAAAATAGCAGACTCACATAGGAACATATTCCAGCGCCGGTTGCACCAGCTGTTCAAAAAGCTGTTCAAAGTTTGCTATAATAAGCAGCAGTCTCTATGCCTTTCATGTGTTAACATTACATCGGAGTCATGGAGCTGTGAGTCCGATTTTTCCCACTTCAGACTAAACTTTATACTCTCCTCTGACCATCTGGTTCTAAAAAATAAAATAAAATACTCCAAAAGAACAACAGATCATTATCCTCAAAAATCCTCAAAATAGAGAGAAAAACTATTCTCACAAGAGTGTCTAAAATTAGGAAATGTAATTATCCTTCATTTGTAAAGTTTTCTTTTCTGCTATTTTATATTTTTATGACCTTGTTTTGCTTTTTGCTGCCGTTCAAGTTGAAATGAACTCCAGCTGTTTCTCTTTTAAAAGGTTTCTATTTATACCTCAATAACAGATTTGAACTTGTCTTAAATCTGCTGCTTCGCTCTCACTCAAAAGTCCTCCTGTGCACTAAATATCTGAAAGAGTCATGTTGATGTCTGTGAGGCTTTGGCAGATTAGTTTCATGTTCGTATAGACACAATGTTTTTATTCATGTGAGCTGTAAGCCTGGAGTACAGGAGATATCAGCTGATCCTTCAGTCTGCTGCTTCTGTCCTCATTACATGTAAAAACAAAGACAGTGTGTTAAAATGGCTTCAGAGGATCCTCTCACTTTTCCTCTAGTGTTATTATCAGGTAAACATCTTTTAAGTTTAACATGAATTTTGGGATGGGTTGGAGTAAAGATGCAGTAAACCCCTCTCTTTACAGTCCACTAATTACTTGGTATTTACATGGTAGTAACATGCTCACTAAAAACACATTACTCTGTAAGTGCCAATGTAATTAATAAGTAATCATCAGCTTAGGTACCAAGAAAATTTAAGTTCAGTTCAGTTCAGCTAAATGATGAGACGTAATGTCTGGTAATGGAATGAGGTCATAATAATTTAATGTAACCATGGCAGCGGACTGTGAAAGGAAGTGATACCAAAGATACTATTTATTTCAGTGAACCTATCCTTTTTATTTTGCATGATCATCTAATCAAACTTTAATTCACGAGGGTTTAAAGCTCCTGTGAGCTGACACCTACCCTCCTCACTGGTGTGAGTCATAGACTGTATAAACTTTGGACAACTTGGTTCCACCTTCCGCTAAGTTCTCGGTAATTCAGCGTTTTTTTCTCCATTTCCTGAAACCAACATTGTGCAGTTGCATTGTACACATTCGGCAGGAGAGTTGCAGAGAGTCGCTGTGATGACGCTCGGCTCAAACAGCGTATCCCCCAGGTGAGCTACACAATCTTTGTATGCCCATAGGCTGTATCAAGTGTCAATCATAGAAAACATGAACCCCCTAATAACTTTTAAAAACGGAGCTTCACAGAAAAAAAGAGAGCACAAACCAGTCTCACAATAACTACATGTCAACATCCCAACCAGGGGGGAGAAAAATTTATGTTCTGTGTAATAAATGTCTAAAGTTTGTCCATAGCCCCATAAGCTTTGCTGGAGGAGGCGGGATTTATGACCTATACTGCAGCCCGTCACCAGAGGGTGCTGTTCTCAGGGTGGCTTCACCCAGCGAGGAGGCAGACTGCGTCTATTCTATATACAGTCTATGGTGTGAGTACAACATGCGATTCAATTTAATTTTGCATCGGATAGTCTTTTTCTTGCATTTGGATATCCTTAAAAGGCATCAACATTAATTTTAGTCTATTTCTCAAACATAAAAAACTCCTCATAGCAGCATTAATTTTAACCTGATACCTGCAAGAATTCAGATTAACATCAGCTGTACTCTGAAATCACTTCCCATCAACTTATGCAAACTTACTTGCACGCTCAGCTCTGAGTGAACATAGAAAACGTCATGTCACTTGTTTGATGCTTGTTTCACTGACTCCATGCTAACAGTGTAAAATTGATGAAACAAATGTCACTTCATATAAATAAACTTTACTGGCGGTGGTAACGGTTTATCTAAAAAAAGCTGTGACCCAGTTCATCTCGTCTACTTTGAACAGAAACCCTGAACAGCTGGTGCGACCCTGTATAACCTCTTCAGATCAGATTCACTTTGTCTGACTGGACCTCAAAGGTAACAGCTTCACCTCTGTGGCCCTTCTGTGTAAAACAGTAATAATAAATACTCAGCTGTAAATGTGGCAGAGGATCCTTCATGCATACACCTCCACGTAGACTCACATGTTGTATAAGAGTAAAAAAATTCATGTACAGTATTTAGAAAAGTTTTTGCTGGTCTAAGGAGAGGGGACATGTTAACAAACGGAGAGTTTTCAAGTAGTGTCGGTACGTCTTTTTCACCAAGGCTCACAGATGTGTGTGTGTCAGTACGACGGCTGATCCGGATCATCGTCGCTCCAGCCGTCTGTGCCAAAGTAGCGGTCTCCAAAGTCGCCTGAAAACACACAACAATGAGCTCAGATCTAAAGTGTGTGAGCGGGTCAAAGTCTACACAGTAAAAGTAAATACTCGGATATTACGCTCAGAGATGGTTCAGTTATATTTCACTGAAAAGGTTATTTTGAGGACAGATTAGGAGAACAGACTGATTCCTGCATGTTCAGGACAAAAGGTACATCGTGTAAGAACAGATCTGATTCTGTACACCGGAGACGCTGATGAAGCATCTTGTTTTCAGTCCGTTTTTATAAAAAGAAGAAGAACAATGAGCTAGAGATGATATCATGTCACACAATGTAAAGAAAAAATGATTAAAAGAAAGTCAGTGATAGTTTTTGTTTACATGTGATATTCAATCATGTAGTTATTCACAGACGACAGACCGATTCAGCTGATGTTCATGCTGTGTTCTTTGGGTACAGCTGTGATCAAGAGGAGTGTTTGCTCCAAATTTGTGTGACATGAACATAAAATTAGATTCTTCTGGGACATGAAATAAACCTGTCAGCTTGAAACGAAAATATTTTTATCTTTTCTCTTTCACAGGGACTCGAGCTTTCAACTTAAATCACGTGCGCTAAACCCTGAAGATAGAGTCATATCTGATGACAAAAACCTCTCAGAGTTACATAAAGTTCTGAGTAAGTTTGCAGGAAGAGTGTGTGTGCGATGACTTACCGATTCCTGGAATTACATGAAGCAAATCATCCAAACTCTTGTCCACGGCGGTGGTGATGATTTTGACCTTTGGGAAGGCGTAGGCCACAGAGTGAACGCCGAGCTCCGCCATCAACAGCGACACCAACACGATCCTATCTTCCTGCACCTCGTGATCCTGATCAGCCACACACATCACAAACAACAATCAGCGCCTGAGTCATCATGAGGAGGAGAATTAGTTAGAAGAAAGGGGAGAAGATCTTTCTAGAAATAAAAGCTGATCTAGACTCAAAAATCTCCCACAGTAACCACCACACAGAGTAGTTGTAAAAGGGCAGAGGCGTCACTGAAGATTAATAATCAAACAATAATCAATAAGACTGATGATGTTGATCTGAACCCACCAACAGGACCCTCACTGCCATCATGGCTGCAGCTCCGGTGGAGACAGTACTGTCCATTAGGATGACATGATCTTCACTGATGTCTTTGGGCAGACGCAGGTAATGCAGCTGGCAAGGCCGGAGAGGAGGAGACAGGTTACCATGGTTACAAAAGCAGGAAGGGTAGTTACCACGGAGACACACATCACGTGGAAGAAAGAAAAAAAAAAAGTCAAACAATTTTATTATCTTTGATGCGATTTTTAAGACACTGACCAATAGTTAAAAAGAAAAGAGCCAACACACACAGACACACACACACAAATATACACACAGACACACACACACATGGTATCTTCATTATTTGTACCTCTGGTTCTCCTGAGTCGAGGTTGGTCTGGATGAGGATCTTCCCGATGCGGACGTCTTTGCACACGGCCCTCAGAGCGGGCTCCATGGTCTCTCCGGCCCGCAGGACCGACACACCTGTGATCTGCGGAGACGAGGCAGAGCCGAGAGTGTGACGACAATAACCACAAATACACAAATTAACAAGAGTTTTGAGAGAGAAGCAACACTGACCCCTTTCCCGTTATAACTGCGGCCCTCGTACTCATAACCCTGTGGAGTCTGAACCACACACGTCTGTAAGAACAAACAAGAATAAAGAGTTTGTTTACATCTTATTAAACGATTAAACCTCTCTAAAAGCAGTAAATACAAGAAAACATTGGTACATTAGTTCTTTACATCTTTTTTGTAGGAGGATATTCAGAAAAATATTTATGTTTTTGAAACTTGAGCTCAAAAATCTGCCTTTTTTATTATTTATATATTCACCACTAACAGTGTTTACTCAACTTTATTACACACCATTTATATTCTGAGTATGCAGCAGATTTGTGTGACGTTACTGTGGTATGAAATCAACTTGCACAGACTTGACCTCAGCTTTGAGACACCGCAGTTCTCTGTGCATTAAGACACATTTATTTACTGTCTGGTCTTTTGCTGAGAGCTGTAGCTGTTATATATATGAAAGAAAAAAAACCCTTTTCCTTAGTAACACATAAAAACTTTGACAACGGATATTTTAGAGGTTGCTGCTTAAAAGCTTTTTCTTTAGATGCACTGAGAAAACTCCGCTGTATGGGATGAAAAGAGAGTTTTAAAGCTGTTTGGCACTTGAATGCACCGAGAGTGACATTTCCAAAACAGTCCTTGTTTCTTTAGCTTTGTTACCACGCGACAATAACTATGACACAGACATAATTGTGATAATAGTCGACGTGTGATTGGCGTAATTATATCTAAGGGGTAATTATGTCTGTGAGTTGTTTTACATGCTACATAAGAAGAAAATGGAGCTGATGGCTGACTGGAAAACGGAATATAAGCTTCAAAATACTCATTTAATGCTAGTAACTCAGGTAGTGAGTATTTAACAGGTCAAACATGAAGTGTCAGTGCTGTGTTCGTCAAAAGTTACTCATAATACGATTGATTTGGCTTAAGAAGGTTTGGAAAGCTGTAATTATGAATGCTAAACAATAGCTTTGTTATCATAGCGCCTTTAAAAGCAGATATTAACAGAGAGTGAAGCAGAGTGAGCGAGGAGGAGGAGAGTTAAAGTACAGCGAGCCGTAAAGACAAAAATATAAGGTGTTAAATCCACAGACCTCAGGGGAGTAACAATGTAAGGTGGGTTTGCTTTTACGAGTGACCCTCTTTTACACAGAGTGATCCATATTTCATATAAAGATATTAAATATAGCCACATGAATATTCACCAAGTCGTTAAAATTCACCCACCTGAGATGGTAGAAATGTTAGTGCGTGTTCAATGAGAAGCCGCATTAATCTCTTTGAGTAGAAGATAAATTCATCTCGGCTGGTTTCTTTATTCCTGCAGAACACAGACAGTAAGAACATTTGGTGTATTTCACCCTGTGTGCATCATGAGGAGGACTAACAGCTGCATTACAGATCAGTACCTGATAATGGTGTGCAGGCCTTTGACCTGCGGCGTGCTCTCCAACACACTGAGCGTCTGAGGCAGCGGGTGAGTCTGCTGAGCCGAGGCTAAGAGCGCCCTGAGACCAAGAAAAGGTTCAGATGAAAGTTTTACAGTTTCACTCTGCAGCACTGAGGCCGTCTGGCTTTAAAGAGGCAGAGTTTTACCGCTAAGACAAAGTAACACCAAACGTACAATATTAGAAAAAAGGGCTTCAGGCTGAGAATGGAAAGTGCACATCAGCGTACCTGACACTGAGCTCACGCTGCACAAAGGTGAGAGAAAGAAAATATACATGAGGTGAAAATTAAGTCAGTGAGGAGCTTCTGCTGAAGGTGCAAATATATACTTTAAATAAAATAACACATTATACTTGTGACCTTATTAACAGGAAAAAAGGTAGCACATTACAAAGCTGGAGCAGTCGTGTTTTTATCATCTTGGAAATATTTCCAATATTTATCCATCTCTTACTTTCAAAGACACAGGGACGATTTTGTTTGCTTCAACCTCCTCACCCCTTCATTATTGTAACAGTCTGTTTAAAATCCTGAACCAAAAACCAACTGATGAACCCCAGAGAGTCCAGAACTCAGCTGTCAACCAGAACCAGAAAACATGACCATCTCACCCCTGTTTTGTTGTCTTCACACTGACAACACTTGATTCAAGAATTAATTTATAACTTTTATAGATACATCTTACACCGAGATCCTCCATCAGAGGCCTTCTGTGCATTTCAGATACCAGATTGAAACCTACAGGGTACAGAGCATTTGCAGTGAGGGCTCCAAAACTTCAGATTGATCCACTCGAGGAGCTCAGGTGATCAATCTTAAATCCCCTCTGAAAACATACTTTAATTATTGCGCCTTTTCTAATCCTGCAGGAATTTATATTGGACTTGAATTTATTTCAGAATTTTATTCCTGTAGAGTTCATTTAAATTTCTTGTAAAGCACTTTTTAATCCATAAATAAAGTTTATCATCATTATTGTAAGTGCGCAGTGACGTAACCCCTCATCCCAATGACACCTTTTTATATTTAATATATATTGTTTTTTTTAACACATCCACAAACCCTCATTGAAAGTTTGTTTCTTTCTGACTGAAGGCATCTGCATACATCTTGAAAAATTTGTGATGTATGGCCTATTGTTAACCACACCGTTTCATAAGGACACTGAAACTAATGAAAGGAAAAGAGCAGAAATAAGAAAAGGAGTTTGAAACGATCCAAACTCAAAATAAAGCACTTTTGAAACCCATCTTTATCCTGCTCATACGTCAAAGTTCTGGACAACAGTGGAGCTGTCGGGTTCAGAGAAATAATTTAAATGGATTTGCTCAATAATGAAGAGCACAAAAGAACACCAGACTGTCTTTTATTTGAGAGTTTGAGAGTTTGAGAAAAGAAACTTTTGATTAAATTTCAGCTTGAAGCTGCTTATTGTTCCAGCAGTTCAGTTCAGGGCTTTACACTTTCTCTGTATGCTTCAGCTTTACACCACATGGTGGCGCCACCCTCCTGTGTATGATCAGTGTTTTACCTCCTCCAGCTGGCTGTGAACATGCTGAACAATCAGATCAATGGCCACCATATTTCCACCTCCTTGAAAGGAGCAAAAGAAGAAGAGAGCATTTTTAGGAGATGTTAAGAGTTTATAAGCTGCATGTTGATTAAAAAAGGATGTTTCAGATTTGGATGTTTAGCAGTGAGTATGTTGGACCGGCTCACCTCTTGGCACCACAATATCAGCCAGCCTCATGGTGGGCTCGATGTACTGCTCAAAGGCCGGCTTCACAAACTTGTTATACTGCTTGATGACGCCCTCGATGTCCCGTCCTCGCTCGGTGATGTCCCTGCGGAGCCGGCGGACGAGCCGAATGTCTGAATCTGTGTCCACAAAGATTTTCATATCCAGGAGCTGCAGGTGGGAAGAGCAAACACACCTCAGGACGGTTTAAAAGTATTCACTTCAGATGAGCAGCTGCTCAAACAACAACTCCTGGAGGTGATTGCTTTCCCTCTCTGGAGAATTTTTCACAGAGAAAAAAGGGAAAAGCAGACATATGGGCCTACCTTAAGAAGCTCTTTGTCTGCAAAACTCATAATTCCTTCAAATATGATCACGCTGGCACCATAGACATTTTTCTGCATGAAAAGGAAGGAAACCCAAGAGCCTTCAAAAGCAGAAGATCTTCAACGAACACTCAGTTCAGCTTTATAAGATTAGAGCTGCAGACAGAAATATTTTATTCATGTATGGAATATATTTGTGTTTTCTGAAAATAAACCCACATAAACTGAACCCTTCACATCTACTGTCTTCTTTTTAAACTTACAGGACATACATTTAATCTTAAAACGGTTTAAGTCTTTGAGAAAATCATCACTTCTGCAGAAACAAGACACATCTGCAAAGAAACACAGCTCACCCAGTCTTTCTGTCTCCTGTGTGTGGTGAAATCGTACACAGGGATCTTCACACTCTTGCCCTGTTTCAGTTTCCTGAGTGTGGCGACCAGCAGCTCATAGTCAAAAGCCCCTGGGTGATCAAAGTTGTAGTCGTTGCTTGCTGCCAAAATCTGGTCTTCAGGAGATAAGTCCTGCAAAACACAACAGATTAACATTTACATACACGGGTACAAAACAATTTTACTGCTTTACCACGGATGAAGATTTGCGAGGTAGAGCGTGCTTTTTGAATTTGTTGTAGGGTTGCATGAGGATGTCTGAGCTGTAGGAGCTGGAAATGGGGAAACAGCTACTCACACATGCACATCATTCTCTCAAGTCTTGGCTATCAGGAGAAGAAATACTGGGATTCTAACAAACACACAACAGAAACTATTTACATATTTACAATAATTCTTCCAGGACTTTTTTTTTTTTTACTATTTACAGTTGTTTATGCCACTGCTTGAAGCAGTTCCTTTCTGAGATGAGACAGAGGGCCACATCATACTGCTCAGAATCTCTTCTTTGCTTGTTTCCAAACATTGAGGACCATTATTTCTTATTTTACAGACAAGCAGGGAACTTTCTTGTCTCTTGTTGATCTTTGGTTGCCTCTTATTGGACACTACCATCAAGGGAACAATAGAAGAAGAATATGAGACCATGTAATTGGACAAAAGTTTAACAGAAAAAAAACCTACCCCAAAGACATTAGCGGCATTTAGCGATAGCGATCTTTTTTTTAATCACAACAATATGATAAATAATCATGTTTTCACCGGTATATCACCGCGGATTCACCATCACACATCTTTGATCAGACACCTATTTTTGTGGCTGGATTGTAAACCTTGTGGCAGGTGTAGAGATGCCTGTAAACCCTTGATAGATCACCAAAAGGGTAAGCTTTTGAACACTTTTCATCTTTTTAGTTCCCAAGAAACTGTAAACAATATTAATGGTGTCACGTGGGATCGCAGGTGATCCAGCGGAGTTCTAAATGTTAAGTTACACAATGACATAAATAAATGATAAAATGACTAACTTAGTTAAACAAGTAGTTTGCTGTAGAGGGAGAAATGTTGAACTGGTCCTTTAAGGAATAATATTGCAAACTCTAAATAACAACTAAATCCTCAGGTAGGCAATAGGAGGTTTGGAATACAGTCTGTTTCCAAATGTGCTGATGTGCTTATAATTTGGCTTCACTCTAGTCCAGCGAGAGGAGGTGGAAACACATCAGCCATCTTTATATACAGTCAATGAACGGTTCTTTGGTCATTGACTGTAAAGATTTAGATTTAATTTAAACTCTGACAGCAGTAAAATGATGGAGGTGAAGTGTTGAAGGTGTTAACAGTAGAAGAAAACATAATCCTGTGATAAACACGATAATTGAAAGAGTAAAATAAGGAGAAGAAGCGCTCAGACTCACGGCTCTCTCACCTTATAGAAAGAATCCATCGACAACAGCACCACCCACGGCACATCCAGAGCCTCAATGATCTTATTGGCCACGGTGGTCTTCCCTGAGGCGCTGCCCCCACACAGCCCTGCAGATCCACACAGCATTCAAAGGCCCATTATGTGTGTGTTTCAGAGTGTGTCTAATGTTGTCTGGCGGTATGCATGTGCAATTGCATTATAGGAGTTTATGGGTATGGTAAGACAGAGTGGGACAAAAAGACAGGTTTTTACTGCTTTGAGCTACAATTTAACGTGAAGGAGCTGGAAGAGGAAACAGTCATGAGGAGGGAAATATTGTGAGCGAGTGTGATACCGATGACGAAGGCCTCTTTTGACTGCGCTCCGTGCTCGTCGTACCAGGGAGGGCGGCCCGCGGTGTAGATGGTGCGTGTGCCCGTGCGGAGCAGAGGAGGCTCTGTTTTGCTCAGTGAGGTAGTGCTCTTTCTGCGAGGGGCCCCGGTGGGGGGCAGGAGCCGGTCCAACGAGTCCTCTCCGCTCCCACTGCAACAAACAGAGGGGCAGGTTACAGCATGAACACACAGCCAGACGCACCATCAGGTGCACTATGTCACCTCTACAGTCTGTAAGCATCGATGAACTCAAGCTGCAAGAATCCCACATGTGTAAGAAAGGCAATTTAAGGCAATTTTGACCTTCCTGCTCTCCTCGTTCCTCTGCATTACTTACACACACCTGACACTTGACTCTCAGACAGCTTTGGTATGAGTGTTTTTCTGCACTTCTAGTTTTGAACACACAGCATAATAAAAATGTCAGTTATCTTCATTTATTGTGAATCTTAGATGACAGAAAGGCCAAAATCTAAACCACAGTTAAAATTTGAATGTGCAGCTCTACTAAAGACTGCAACTCAAAGCCAACTCAAATCTACTCATGAAAACCATATGATGTTGTTTCAGCACCTGGTCTCTAATTAAACAGACTCTTTAGACTCTTCTTTAAATGTCCTCTGATCTTAACTGAATACACTAGCACAGAAAAAATCTGAAAATTAAGAAAAATAAAGAATTAATCAGATATTTAACATTGTATATTCTGGGTTGATTAAATGCAAACATTTTTAAGCATTTTCTTTTTTTTGTTTTTGATGATTATAGTTTAAAGCTTGATAAAAAAAAACTATTAGAATATTTCACATACTGATTTGGAGTTATAATGAAAAAAGGACTTATTCTAATTGATTGAGATGCACTGATATATGATGAGTGAGTGGTACAAACAGCTGAAATTATCACTTGGTTTGTTAATAAAAAAATAATAACATAAAAATAACTAGAAATTATCTAGATATCTATCAATGAATAATAAAAAAAATAATAAAAACTATCAAAAAAATTTAATTTCCAGCTTCATAAGTGAGTTTCTTTGTTGCTTTTTTCATTTTCAAAGGGTGCTTCACTTTAGTTTGCTTAGTTTTAACAAAAAACATGATTTTTTTCAAACTTTAACATGTAAAGCACAAAAAAACAAACACGATCTGCTAAAATAATCGTACAGATATTTTTTGGCCCCTGACTCGACTCTTTATAAGAACAGATCACATCAACAGCATGTTGATGTCAAAATAAATACCAAAGACGTGTTTTTCTTTAAATTTGATAAATCTAAAGATCTGCCCTTTACAAATAAATTCAGCTCAGGATAAAAGAGTTCAGACCTTTCCTCTCGTCACAGTGAGCTCTGCGTGTCAAAGAGCACTTCAGTAAAGAAAGAAACAATCTTCAAGGTGCAATTTAAAAAATACCAAAAACCTGATCTGCAAGAAGAAACATTCAGAGTTACACAAACATGATGCTGAGAGTGTTGATGAGCAAGACTGTGTCAGAAGGGTCAAATCCACCGGCTGTGTACTTCAATACAAATCTGAGGCCCCGTCACTGAGGTATTACCAACACAGGATTCTTCATTTCATCAACAACCATCCTACTTTTTCAATGCGCCATATTATCTTTCAGCTGTATGTAATGTGGAGCTGCTGCATTATTAGAAACATGTTCAAATCATCCAGAGAAGCTTCCTCTTTCTCATGTTTTGTTTTTGTTTTGGTGCAGTTTTGGTACTTTTACTCCATCATAGTCCTGCTGGTAATTTTTCCACAACTTCCCTTTTTGCCTTAAAGCTACATTCGGATGAAAGGCACAGCCCAGTTTACATCACTTCAATTAAGATTCGGCTCTTACACCACAGTTTACTACACACCAAATAAAAGTCAGCTTAGCTTTTGCGTCACACTCAGTGATGATGCATTCAGGCACTCTTGCATTCCCACTGGCGGTAATTAGAAATCAAATGAGGAGCTCTGCTGGTTTCTTACATAATGCACAACTTTGCCTCTCTAATTCAAAGACTCAAAGTCTAATTCAAAGCCGGGCTTAATGAATGTTTTGCATATTTCAGCAATGCACTTTCCAGCTCCTGTTCGGTACTGACACACTTCACACAACCTACTGTGAGCGAACACAAATAAATCCAAACTAACCTACATCCCTCACTTCCTCTAGCCTCAAAACAACCCCTCTTTGGAGTTATTAATAGATCCTACACACACGTTAATGATGTTTGAGAGCTTTGTGGAAGAGGGGAAAATCTAACATCCCATCTGCACTGAAAGAAAACAATACCCACAGCCAGATCTTACCTGCAGTCAGACCTCAGGGACCAGCAGCCTGAGATTCTGGCTCCTGCACAGTCCAGCAGAGTCATATCTGCTTCACTTGACAATCTCCTACCTTCCAGCTTGCCTGTCTCAACTGAACCCTGACTCAAGTCTTGTGAGAATTTACAAGTTTCTTTCTTTAACCAATCTAAGAAATCTGACCGCCTCTTATCTCTGCATGCTGCTGTCCATGTGCGCTCCTGTCTCTGCCTACCTCTGTGTGTGTGTATGTGGCAGACACTAAGAGGATCACTGCAACATTGGCAGCACAGAGCTGCTTGGCTGGTATTAATAGAGGCACCTGCATGCAAACCAGGACAAGACGGATGTCTTCTGCTGATCCTTCCTCTCAGTTCGCTGATCTGATCTACAGACAGTTACAGAAACACAAGGACACTGAAAACTCCAGAGACACTCTCTCACCGAAACATATAAGGTAAAACAGTGTAACAGGGCAGGAAATGAATGAATGAATCCAGAATATAAACAAAGCCAAATGGAGGTTCAACCCCACTAAACTTTGAGCAGTGGTTGAAGTAGGTTTACTCAAGTAAAGCAAAACTTTAGGAAGTCACACTCCAAATAAAGCATCAAATTAACATGGCAGTTTTGTTTTCCTGTACCACACTTTTGAATTACATACTTAAAATCCTCTGTGAGGGAGTTTTGTGTCAATTTTGGTGCCCCCTGTGGATAAACAGTCTTTGCTTTCCTTGTCCTTTAAATGCTTAAGTAGAGTCTTCCCAAAAAAAGTCTAGTGCGCTCTTTTGACAGACCAATCTGTCATTTTTTTGAATGTTTTATGCCGACATGAAAATTGTAAAAGTGTGGCTGTTTTTTCAGCTTCTCAGCTGGCACCGGTTTGAAGCATTAACATTTAAAAATCTTGTCACTGATGATCTTGTTTGGTTTTGTGCACCATAAATATCTACCAGTATGAATTTCAGTTTGTTTCATACACATAAAAAACACCAAATCTCCACCACACTAATCTTAGTTTGTCATCTGCAATATACATTACCGTAAATCAACTCATCCCCTTTTTACTTCCTTAATTTTTTTGAAATTCAAAGACCTGGTAGATTACATCACAATACAAATCATGTACAAAGCCAAAAACCTAGCCCTACCGCAACATGTCCAGAACCTGTTTGAACTAAGGGACTCTGATTACAAAGCCAAGAGGCTGCGTCTTATTTGAGAAACTGAAAGCGCAAACAAACGTCAAAAATTTTTGTGTGTCTGTAAAAGGGGTGAAAATATGGAACGACTGTCTGGTAGAAATTAGAGCATGTAGTACTCTGGTAAGTTTTTAGAGACTTTACAAGAATAATGTTATTTCTCAATATTGTGTTGAAAATGATGTATGATTATTACTGTAAAGTGTAAAGCTTGTTCATTACTCTGCAACCCAATTTGCCCATTTTGAAACATAATAAAGTTGATATGAAGTGATATTTTATGCACAATTTGTCATAATCAATCAAAAAAAAGATAATATTTATACATATTTAGTTTGCACCAATGATACTTTTTAATATAAGGCTCTTCTTGTTATGTTATTCTAAAAATAGACATGAAGTAGATGATTAAAATGAAAACTTTTATCTATATAGATCTTAGTTATAATTCGTTATTTCATAAAAAAAAGAGTTGACCTGAGGTAGCCTATCTATTTATAGAGATTTGACATAGAGCTCAACAGAGAACTTCAATACTATAGACAAAGACATAGATCTCAATCACAGTGAACACATTATTAAGTCTTATAGGCTTCTGATTAAATGTGCTTCATGCTTCTAGTGCAAAGGTGGATAATTCAGGTATGATATAATTCAGGTATCATATCTAGGCTATATGGTTCGTCGTTACGCAGCCGGTGACGCATTAACTGTGCCAACATGCAGCTCAGCCACCCACTAAAGATCTCTGTTTTTCTACCACGTTACAATAACCCACAATCATTATTTTATCACCATTAATAATAAGCCTTTTACATTAACACGTACAGATGGGAGCTCCTTAGATAGAAGGGTCACTATATGTTACGAAACATGCCGGGAATTGTTGCTGTTGTTTGGGGAGAAGTGAAGTCGGAGTGGTTGGATTAAAATAAAGCGAAATTCATAATTCTAAAAACATAAATCGTTAAAACGCTGGTGGAAAATTACACGTATCATCATGTACCTGTCCGAGCGGGACGACATTATTTTCCCACTCTCCGTTTCCATGGGGATCCTGCGACCTCGAAGCCGGCATCGGCTGGATAGAGCCATGAATGGATTTCTTCTAAGCTGGGCGGTGGGATTGTGGGTAATGTAGTCTTTCATCACGTGCCTCTTCGCAGACGCTCTAGTGAGGATACTGCACGCCAACTTGACCTTAAAATCACCCAGTTACAAGAAAAAAAGCACTATAATCTAAGTTTTTTTTTTTTATTATTTGTTCTGTTTTCTGACATTAAAAAAGTTTCACAGAAAGAAACAGAGGTAGAGACAAAAAAGAAAGAAACAGTTCATGATAATTTAATACAGAATGGAGATAAAAACAAAAACAAAAAACAGATTGTCATGGAGCTTCTTCATCACAGTTCATGTTCAGTCCTTAATGATTGTTTCTGTTCACCGTGCAGATGAGGAATGAAAAGCTGCCATCCTCCACATCACAACATCAGTCTGGATATCGCTGCTCGCAGGACGTTTCATCCCAGGCATCTGTGTCGCATTTTGACGTAGACTGGAGTAAATATCCACAAATATCCACCATAACATCCACTTCTTCCAGCAACCTTGCTACGATATCTTTCCAAATGAGCCTGTAGAAGATAAAATGATTATACTTCTATTAGAAGTTTGTCATTTAGGTGTTCATATTTATCATGTACAATATAGCAATTTTCATACCTCACAGACTTATCCTCCATTTCATACACTCAGCACCTACTGCATCGCTTGTACACTTTGTAAATATTTCATCTTTGATATGTTTTGTATCCTTATTTTATTGTATTTCTCTCTGTGCTTATTGTGTGTTTTATCTGTGCTCCTTTGAGTCGAGCGGTCCTCTCATCCAGGGCACTTCATCGCATTGTTGACCTTGTTTAACACGCACATGATAGATAAACGAACCTTGAATCTTAAATGTTTTCAGGGTGAGGGGAAATAAAAGACCAATACCACTGTTGTCCTCCTATGTGATATTCAGCCAACTAAGACAGTAGAAAAAGATGGACAATATGTAAAATGATTCTCATAAGTGAGGCCAACATACAGGCCAAACTATAAATTTAAAAATACACTTCAAATAAGTTTTTCACAAGCACAGTTTGACATTAAAATAATTTTTGATCATTCTGTTTTATGTTCAAGCACACATTTAGCTTGAATAAATAATTAGTAGTCTTCCATAAATAGGACTAGAACATTATGATTGACAGCTCTGTTATAAGTGCAGCTCCTGTGGTGCTGTGTGCACAAGATTACCTAAGTTAATAAGAATAAAAAGAAACATAATGGAAACTAACACAGGAGTCATTAAATTTTCCATTACTGTGAGCATCTGCTTCAAATCAACCCAAAAAATCTGTTAGACTGTGCAAAGCAAAAGGGTATTTGCTGTTTTATCAGAAAATTAAGTGTTTTGGTTTGTGAAAGGGCTGGAATAATAATGCTGTAGCCTTTCACTACAGTGCAGACTCTGGCTCCACCATGACATATCAGTCAGGCTAAAAGTTGTCTTGATGCTTTTTTACTCCAGGCTGAAGCTTTACATGTAATAAAAATATGAAAGAGTGACTGTCTTTGTATCCAACTCTGCCAAAAGGAAAGAAGCCTTTATTTCCAAAGTTTGAGATTTAAGTATTAAAAAAAATCACACCCTCTCCTCTGCTGAGAAGCTGCAGGTTGCGTCCCTCCTCCTGCACCTGCAGCTGTAGCACCTGTTGCAGCAGCTCCTGCCTAAGTGTCTCTTGCACAAGTCCCATCCTCTGCAGCTTCTCTCCGTTCAGACGCAACAATGCGCGGCCTGCAGAGTCAAAGCAAAAGTCTCAAAAATCTGATACGTTTTAATCGTGTTACCATATTTATGTCTTGTGATGACATAAGAAGACTGACCTGTGATGGCGTGGTGGGAAAACGCCTCCACGTAGGTTAAGTAGTTGTGCGGACAGTGTTTCTTCAGCCATTTACAAACATCTTGTTGTGACCAGAGCACGACAGGTCGTATCAGGCTGGGCTGAGTCGGGCTTGTGTGATAAATTCCATAATTGTCAGTGGAACGGTACTGCAGACACACAAACACAAAAAAGTACAGATTAATAGAGAGGACATGACTCAAATGTACTGTCTTACATTTTGTGAAAAGGAATGAAAAGACTGAAAACTCCCACAGTGACAAATGTGAAGAGGCAGCTGTCTGTCAGTCAGTTCAGCACAAAGACTCTAGAAAGAAAGACTTGACTGTCCAAAGTTAACATAATTAGCCTATGATCACCAGTAAAACTAATTGCTTCATTATCTTTTTTTAATCTATATCTAAAAAATGTTTTTTGTGTGGGAGTACACATAAGGCCGATTGTAGCTGGGCACACTGGTGTCCTGCTGTTTGATTGGCAGATGTCAGGACCTTTGTTCTGCGACCCCTCGATTTTGTGTTATTAGTTGTGTAATGCTGTGATGAGTGCAAGGATGATAGAGTCTGTGCTTTTCCTGTTTGATAGACACACACTGTCTGTAACATTACATCAAGCTGCCTCTTGCAATAGTTGACTCAGACATGGCAGAATAAAGAGGTCTTTTTTTTACCTTTTTTTCCTGAGATTAATTTTGGACTTTTATATCTTTACTCAAACGAAAGGGCAACAAGTAAGATAACAATATGAATGACCTGTAAAATTCACTTATTATGCAAAGCAAATAGACATTTTTCCCCCACAAAACTATACGACTATTTCTTTCAAGGTGTTTCATAACCTCCTAGTACTCCTCAATCTTTTTCCTTACTGTTGAACTTAAATTTAAAAGCCACCGTGGCATCAACACACATCTATTTGTTACTGCCTATCATGCTGCCTCTTAGTCACATAGCAACCATAAATCCCATAAAGTGACCTTTTTGGACCACCATGAGGCAGAGATGCACACTGATGGATCTATACACGGAGAGCTCTCTCTATAGGAGCGAGAGCAGGTTTTGAACTTCCTGAACTACACCTGTGATCAGAGTGACCGTTTTTACATGTAGATTGAACACTCAGCACTGATGCGATGCTGAGTGTAAAATCAGCACAGTCAGAGGAGCATGAGAGCCAGTGTGATCATGCAATCCGGCTCTTTAATCTTACAGGATGTAAAATTATGGGAGACCAACCCAGCCAGGTCTTTGATCTGTCGTACGGTTTTAAAAATTCAGCAGGTTCAGCGTTTCCAAGATTTTCTCAGATCTAGGAGAGTTTCTGCGAATAAGTAAAAAAGCTGGACGACATCCAAAACTTAGTGAGGCGAAATCTGTGCTGGCTGAAAACAACATGTAACTTTAATAAATGTAGAGTATTTGAGAGTTTGAATAGAGTTCCTGTTGAAATGGGCCGCAATATTTATGTTAAATACATGACATTTTTTGAGCTTTATATCTAAATATTAATACCAGTCATGAGATGTGATGAAATATTTAGTGCAGTGATGTTTGGAAGCAATAATTCCCTTGTTGTTTAAAGGAAAATTTATATTCCTATAAACTGACAAGTCTAAATATAAGCAAACACAGTAAACAGTGAAAATTTAACAGCTTTTGGTACCTCTTATAGGTCACCCACCATGTGCCTGTGCTGGTTACAAGAGGTTAATACCAGTTTATCAAGACAGTCTGCATACAACTTAATCACCATTTTCAAGATCAAAAATCTGTCTTTAAATAACCTTATTGTGACCCAAAGTGATGTTTTTAAGAGTATACTTCTGTAAAATAGATTCCAGCTGAAAACACTGACAAAGTTCTGGATTATTTAAATCAGAACTTGTATAAAATTAGTGAAATTCTGTTGTTTCCATCTTTTAATAACTGACCTCACTCAAAAATATTAAAAATATTCATAGTTACTTTGTTAGTTAGTTCAACAGGCTAGTTATCCTGGTGTCAGCTGGCCACAGTACTGTACATTTAGTGAACTTAAAGTCAGAGACTTAAACAAAAATTTTTCCTCTAGTGCAAAAATCAACAAAGAGTAAGTTGAACATGAGTCCAGATGGCGTGACTTCCTTTAAAAAGCTGAAGTGCAGCAGTTTAACCTCACAGTTAGTATCAAAGCCCTCGTATAATATTGTATAATGAGGTCTAACAGAGAATAAAGACAATGAAAGGGGTTACATATATCAGAGAGTAAAGCAGCTCTTCTAGTACTTGACTTACGATTCTTCCACATTCAGAGTAAAAAGTTTAAAACATGTTTCTGCCCTCAGACTGACTCCTAATTCACAATCATCTATTTTTCTTTTTACTTTTATCTAAATTCTTCCTACTCTCCCACTCAACCCTTGAAGTGCACCAGTTTCCTGTTTTATTCTACTTGCACTTTTCACCTCGGTACAGGAGTGTTATCTCGTCTAGTGATTTGTGCTGCCAAAACCTCTCATTACAGCCAGTGGGTCAGTGTGTGAATATTTTAACTTCTGGAGCTGGCTCATTTATCAATGCATGAACTCTCATCTGCAGAAACTCACAAAGGACCAGTTCTTCTCAAAATGTGCAGAAGTAAAGTTTATTTCATTATAATGCTTTGATTGCATTAATAATGTGCAAACTTCTTTAAAAAAATTCGCATAACTGTGTTGTGCAGCTTTTCTTTTTTTCCGAAAACCCATCGTACAATTTTTTAATAAGCTGCGAGTAACAAGTTCTGAAATGAGCAATTACAGTACCCTCGCTATTTTGTCCAGAAAGTGACTTTCGGCCATTAAATGACAAAAAATAATGAAAAAATCAGAAAGTGCTGCAATCTTGCTTGAAATGGGCACAAATGATCAATATGTTTAGTTGACAATTATTGGCTTTTAACAGTTTTTAAATAAATTGTGCTGCTTTGTGTCTACCCTGATAATTATAATTGATTATACAGACACTACAATGACTGTCAACCTTTTTTTCCTGCTTTCCACAAGAATCAGCACGGGAGAAACAAAGAGGTATACGGGATTATGGTGTTCAAGAGTAAAGAGGAAATCAAAAGACAATAATGCGGGTGTGTGAAAGAAGTAAAAACACAGTTCACAAGTCCCTTTGCCTTAAAACTTCCAAAAGTACAACACTGATTCATGTTCCTAAGGACAAAAATAAACCAACCACTACATTATGTTCATCTAAGAGGATTGAAGCAAGCAAACAACACACTGTATACAACTCTGTTATCAGCCCGGCCCAGTTCTATGTTTGCAGCTTTAGCTTCAGCTCATTACCGACTTTTAGAAGAGACTTCCACGGGGTGAAGACAAAGGGACGGGCTTTCTGACTAGTTACCAAGAGCTTTAAATGAGGCCAGTTTACAGCACACACGGATTGTCTCTATTGGCTGTGCAAGCAGACAAAGCTGTATCAGATCACAAAATGAGCATCAAAAAACATAAACAGATCTTAAAAAACAGCTTTGCACACTGTTACTGCATAAAAATGACCAAAGACTGCGTTTGTATCAAACATTTAGTATCAAACTACATTCTGTCTTTTCATGTTCTGAATCAACAGACATTGTGGTGCTGCAGCACGGCGGCAGTATTGGAGGACCTGTGCTATTTAAAGCCTAGCTAAAAGGCTGTTAGAGCCCACAGACCCGCTGGGGAGAGAGCAACTTCTTTTCTCCACTAACAAAGTGCCCATTTCCAACAATGGACAGAGACCGGCCACATTTGCCAGAGTACGATTTCTTCCTTTCAGACTTTTCAGAACAGAAATATGACTGTTACTGAAAACCAGAGGAATGCACAGAATACACTGTATGTATAGTCAGGTTGGTAAGGAAACATACATACATCTAAGTGACACATTTCTAATTATATCACATTGGTTTTATGTGTGCAAAGGAAAAATAATATAACTTTCTCACAAAAGTCACCGTGCTGTAATGAGCTCTTCCTCTATATGATGCAACCCTTTACATTTTATACGAATCACAACAATGGTTTTTAAATAGATACTGTGAATTATTTTCATCACTTTGAGACAGGATCCATAGCTTTGAAACTCTCTGGCATTGATACTGACGTGTATTTATGATCTATAAAAGCGACCAGGAGCATCAATGACAAAATTCATCCTTTCTATATAGTCATCTATATTATCAATACCCACTAGTGGGGGGAAAGTGTCATTTGAACTGATTCACATCCTAACAAAGATATCTGAGGAGAATAACAATAAAGTGGGGGAAAAATCTTTACCAAAAAGAGTACTACCAGCATAAATGCAACGTTCCTCTCAGTTCTTTTATTACAGATTTTGCCATTTAAAGTGGAGTGACTCTCTGAATTGTTAGGAAATATACTTTCTTTTCTGACAAAAATATTGTAGCTGTTGTGCATTATTCTCCTCTTTGAAGAATGAACCTTTGCTTTCATACTTATGGAGACAGAGCCCTGGGTGCCACTGTACTAAAGCCCTGTACATTATACAAATGTTGATAGAGAACAGCCTTCCCCACAGAGAGCACTGAGTCCCTTTAGAGACCATACCTCTGTTCTGTTCTTCACTTTTTCAGCCCTCTGGAAGTTAGCCTCCCTGAAGAAAAACTCTGTTCCTGCAATAATTAAACCCGGTAAGTCAGTGAGAGTCAGACCCCTGCTTTTGTTAGCTGACTCCTTAAATGAAACCAGTTGTGCTGATGGCTCCTGCCCAGATGAGTTAAACTCACAGTGACTTTGTTTATTCCACTGAAAAACAGCACCAGGACATTAACATCATGTTTTTTTTTTCTTATGGCTTTTAAATTATGGAGATGTTTGATTTAGTGAAGAAGACAGAAACACAAAGATGAACTGGTGCATTAGAATGCAATGTGCATTATCATATAATTTAAAGTGGTTATATAACAACAACATGACGTGGCTGTGATTATCATCTGCACTCAGCTTTAAACTTCACACCTATGACTGAATCACAGTTATGCTAAAACTGAGTGCAACCAAATAATGAAATAATGTAGGGAGTACCTCGATAATCGGTAACATTGAACACAGACGACAATGTAAAGGTTGCAGCCTTTTACATGCCGGAGTTACTGTTGGATTTTTAGTTCAAGGTCTCCAGAAATTGATATTCAGCTCACCCACTTTGACATTTCACTAAAAATAGACCAGTACCAATATCGTCAGAGTTTAAAGACCAAATAAATATGCAAATCTGAATGAACGCCAAAGACACCCCGTAACTGTTTTTAGTTTTATTCTAAACAACATGATGCTGAAATAAACATGTCTCCTTGACCTCAGAGAAAAAGCAGACCCTGGTGTCAAACAAAATCAGTTCATGGCTCAGGTGTGCAATTTGACTCGTTGAGGTCATGTAGGTGTTTTGTACCTGCAGGGCTTCCGTCCCCGGCTGCTGCAGCAGCTTCACCCTCCTGCCTCCTGCTGTTTTCTGCCTGCGCCCGTCATGCCAGGTTAGATTCCCACCTGTTCGTCGACTCAGCTGGTGCTTGAAGTCCTCAGGCAGGGCTCTGTACTCCACAGCCGGCCTGCAGAAACTAAAACTGGATGCCGCTGGAAAGATCAAAGCGGGAAGGGTAATGATCAGACAGCCGGATCTGCATGTAAGCACTGATGATGTAAAGCAGCAAGAGACACAATCAGCAAATAACCACCCTCACTCTGCGTGACATGGAAACAAAAGACAGAGATGAACCCACCTGGACACCATGTCATTCAAGGGGGATCTAATTTCTCAGTGCGTGCTTGTACCTGCTCTGCTGTTACTCAGGAAACAAGTTATCTGAGTCTGGACAAGCTCCCTGTAATTTCGGTTTGTCACAGTTCAGGTGCAACGATTACTTTGTGCAGAGCTTGTAGGGAAATGTCAAAGCTGTGAGACGATCCACTTTCTCATCATTACAAGGCGGCCTGTGGGCAGACATCCAAACCCACTCAACAGCAGGTGGCTGCCCAACATCCAGTAATTAAAGAAAGTGTGGAACTACAGTAAACACGCTGTTTTTGGCTCTGAGATCCTGGCAGAGAGCCACAGGTCATTACTGATTCATGTGCCAGATTGGACAACTTCTCTTACTGTGTTTGAAGCTACGCGTACAGCTGTGTCTGTTTGTGTGTACGTGCGCCTGTGCTCCTTTTCAGTCTCTTAAATTGACTAAGAGAATTTGAAAAGAGGACAGAACGAAAGACACCGTCAAGGGAGACGAGGAGTTTGAGGAGATGAAAGGGTGTCTTTTGGTTTTCTAGCTTTGTGCCTCCCTTTTCTGTCATTCAACGTCTCCCCCTGCTGAGATTGCAGCAGAGCCGAGTCCTGCAATCATCAAGGAAAAACCAGCCGCTTCAGAATATTATGAATAAAACTCTGGATGCGAATTTTAGGTTTCTTTGAGGTGTAACTCGGAGAATTTATATGTATGAACTCCCCTTCATAGTGGAACTGCTCCCTTAGGCTGCAGCTGTAAACACAAATATGGCCCCTTCCCAGATTAAATACAGATAATTAAGACCACTTGTCAGGCTTGAGGTTTTTTCCCCTCCTCTAGCTTTGCCTATTTATGAGAGGAAAAAAGTGCTCATTAACTAACACTCTTATAAACTGCCAACACTGGATGGGAGAAGTCTTTCATGGACACAAATCTTACTAAACATGCTGTGAAGTGTCTCGTCTGCTTGCCATATGTTTGATTTGGTATTTTGCCTTAAGACTATACAGCAGTCTTAAGCTTTCTGGGGGCTTCGACTAAAGCTTCTCTGTCTCTTTTAATATAGCTTGATGAATTCAGGATGCAAATCACGTGAATTCAAAGGGCTTCAAAATGGAGCTGTCACATGAAGGGGAAATTAAGGCTTTGCAGACACTGATCACCACAGCAGAGAAATCCTCAGACTGGTCTCTTCTGGAGCGCTGTCCATTTCAGCACCAGGTCACTGCCCCTTAGAAGACCACCTTAAAACCTTCTTATGCCAATGAAATCTCAAGAATAACCTTTTAAGCGTTTAAACACACTTCTTCTAAAGTGGTCCTTTACAAGATGTATATTTCAGGCATTTTTTGGGTTCGTGAAAAGGTGCAAAGTTAATGTTTGACATTATGTTTTGCAGAGAATAGAGTAAATGTTTGGTTACTAGACCACCAACATACCTGGAAAACCGGTTACACGAGTATTGGTTTAAACAAATGACCCAATGCCTGGTTCAAGTTTCCATTCGCCTTTTTGAGAAAACATTTCGACGAATTTTCAAACAGTATGTAACAAAAAAGCGTCTCACCGTCCACAGCCATGGTGTCTCCGTCTTGGGGTGAATCTAGTAAAAGTCTCCCATCGTCTCCGGTGACCGAAACACGGGGCTCCGGGTCCTCCGCCTGCCTCTCCGCTGTTTTGGTGTTGACCGTGAAAAGTTTCAGCGAGGTCTGGGAGGAGGAATGGCGCTCCACATCCTTTCAAGTCTAACCGGGTAAATTCCTCTCAAAATGGACCCAGCTCACGTCCTCCGACTGAGTCAGTCCCTGCCGGTGTCTGTCTGCGGGCTGAAGTTGCAGAAGACAAGACAGGAATGTCCCCCGAGCAGCAGCTGGCTGACTGGTTCCGCTGGTTCAGGCGGGCGCGAGCCTATGCACGGCGTGTGCGCGTACACGTGGTGCGTATTTGAGTGTGTGTGCGTGTGTTTTTTTCATGTGTCGTGAGAATCAGGCGCGCGGCTTTTTCTCAAGAGCTTGCATGAGCGCAGTGAGCTCAAAGTGCAGCCCCGGGCCCTGTAATTAACGCAGCCAGTGGAGGCTCTGAAAAACAGCCGGATGAAAAGGCTTCTCATCACTGCAGCATCCAACTTAAGGAATTCCCCCGTTGCCTTTTCTTTAAGAAAGGGAGCTCTGTGCGCGCCTGTGGGCAGTGGGCCCTGACTGTGATGGACCCTCTATGTGAGGTTTTGTCCAGAAGAGCTGCAGGATCACCGAGGCAGACGTAACAGAGCCCCGATCCTGCTTCCACAAGCCCACTGTCACAAATCTCATACAAGAGAGGAGTGGATCAGTTGACCTCCCCAGCACTAAGCATTAGGGCCCGACCAATTTATCAGCGAGCTGATTAAATCAGCCAATTTTAGCCCGTTCAAGACTAATCGGTAATCGGCCAGAACTTGCCGATTTTCGCCGATATTTTCAGAAAAAAAAAGCGGAGAATACATTCGGTTTTCAAAAATGTTCCCCGACTTATCCTGTAGATGGCGCAGCGACCTCATGACAATCTTTATCCACTAATGCGGAGTTAACGGTGAAGCATCATGTGATATGCAAGTTAAGTTAGAGTTAGCCATATGCTATTAGCCTTGCTACACTGCTAGCCGTGCCAGTACACATTACGCGATCGAGCTACTTCTCTTACTGAGGCAGCTGCGAGTTTGATCAGTCGGTCTTCCTGTCGGCGTAAAGAGCAGTAGCCTACAGTATTATCTACAGTACATGTATATTTTTTATAATTTCATTTAAAAAATTTAAAAATCGGCCAATTAATTGGTATTGGCCCCCAAAAAAATCCATATCGGTCGGGCCCTACTAAGCATACCCTCAAAAAAAATCACAAATATTCAAAACTGCATCATGATACTTGCTGTACCTTGAAATGAGAAACTGTTTTGTGCAATTAATTTCTCGCTGTGATCTCCTATTGTGCAGTATTCTTGCATGACTATGGTACTAATACAGTTAAACTCTATTAAATTTCAGTGCAACAAGCAGCCATATATGCAGAAGTAAAATGTATACATAGAGAATACTTAATTCGTATTGTTTATACTCTAATGTTGGTATTCATCACTTGAATAGCCCCCATAGGGCATAGGGCAAAATTATATGTAGTTTCACTGCTATATATTGATAAATATGTAATCTTTCGATTATAGTATAACAATAATGGCCTCCATCTATCTAACAAATCTTTAAATGCTCCTATTTGACTAACCTAAGGCAACACTAGGGTAAAAATAGTGTTTCTCTATGAGGTCATATGCTACTTCTAGGTCATCGTCAAGTGTCTGAATCAACCCTGCATCAGCAGTAGCATATGTCCAAGTAGGATGGGATCTCCCGGTACAAATGAGGCACACATAAATATGTAAAGAGACCTAAAAAAAAAGGAGGGCGAACTGAATTTTGTTTATCCACTGCTACAAAACCGTACTAGGGCTTCAGGGAGAAGCTGAGGCATTGTCCCAAAAGGCTTTGGACTGAAATGAAAGTTGTAGATCTCATCATATATTCATAAGAATGTCATACTTACACACTTGGCCACTTTAAATGTAAAACAGTTGATATCTGGTACAAGTGCAGCAAATGGCAGTACAAGAAATCTGACTCTGCAGCAGTTCAGATGCTCCAACTCCGGCGAGCTCAAGAAAAAATGATCTCTTTCTGCAGAGTCTGAAACACAGTCACCGTCCTCCTGAGACAGATTCAGGCAGGTGAATATGAGGATGAAAGTGTGATGATGAAAGCTGGGTGAGGAGATCAAGGAACAAGACATGTCAAACAGAGTAGTGCATGATTCCCGATCAGTTGTAGAAATGACTGCATGCAATTGTTGCACTGACACTTGAGAGACATTTTTCTACGGTATATGCATGACTTCAGAGCTACAGGAGAACTGCATTGATCAGGATGGAAAATCACTGATTTTCATGCGAGTATTCTTCTGATGTTACCCAGCTTTGTAACGTATAACAAAGCTGTACTGAATACTTGATTCTGATTGGTCGAAAGCCAATAACAGCAGAAATTAACTATCCTTTTGCCTGTTGACACTGAGGCACAAATGTTTTGTTAGTTGCTGATGTGGCGCCAAGCACAAGTTCCGTCAGGAGACTATATTCACATTAACAGTTGCCTAACTCTCCTTTTCATTAATCATCCATCTGGTCCTAGCAAGTCATCAGCCACCACCACCACCAGTGTCAGGACTCCATGGGGGAGCTTCCTGCTGCTGTGCAGATCAGTCATCCTTCAGTCTCAAAAATATCCCCATGGAGTCCAATCGCCAAAGACTATCTATTAAAAGCCACGAGGAGAAAGGGATCTGAGTGAGGATAAAAATGCCAATGTAAATATTCTTGCAGACGTCCTGTAGAAATGTTCAGTTTGGTGTTTTTATTACAAATAAGTAGACTAACTTTTAAACTTGACTGTGAAATGAAATGTTCAGTTTAAAAGAATATTCCGGAGTAATATTAAGTTAGGATCAAACACACTGTAACACTGAGTTAGACACCCCATCAAGAGATGAATGTTGCCAACTGCTTGCTTCTCTAGTTTTACCAACTTTAGTAACCCTCACTATAGTAGAGTAGTAGAGTAGATATAGTAGATTATAGTAGATTATTGCGTCATGGAAATGCAATCAGACAGAGACACTAAGGCAGAAGAACTACTGCGTCTACAGTGCAAAATGATTAATATGATGTTTATTACTTCAAGGAAATGATAAAGAAATAATCATAAATGTTCTTCCTTGAGCTGCGTCCCCTCGCTGCAGTTGATGGACTCACCGGAGGTCTCGCTACACAAACAAGCGGCTGCTGGAAGAGAGTGGGTGAGTTGCGTTTAGTCTCTTTGCTAAAGAAACGACGGGGTGTCTAACTTGGTGTTATGGTATGTTTGACCCTAACTTAATTTTACGCCGGAATATCCCTTTAATGCCCTGCAAAAATGTTAATAGGAAACTGTTCTCTACCATAGAATCGGAGGCCTTTTTCATTTTTAAGATGTAAGGATAAATCCTCTGTTAATCAAACATCTTTTAAATCATTGTTCAAAGTCAGCTTGTTTAGTTCTTTGCTTGGATCAAGAATCTAATGAGCAGAATAATGTATAGTGACTGGGTGATTGTACAAATTAGAATCCCTCAAGGCTTCCTCTTCATATAGGGGTCACATGGGTCTTAATGCTAAGCAAATAAAAGAAACTTCAGCTGGCCAAAGCTTTATAGGACCCTTCAGAGAATTTATCCAGCTCTCAGAGAGAGAGTAATTAAGTTAATGTCCCCAAAACGTCAAACCATTCTTCTAATGCATTTTAACACACTACTGGCAAACACAGGCCATAAAGAAACAGCTACAGACCATTGAGACCTTTGTAGTTTTGGGGCCCTTGGTGCATTTAAAAGCTTTGAATCAAATTTAGACACACAACTAATGAGATCTTCATTTCCTAAGTGAAGCGCATAGATAGTTTATGAAAGTTGGAGGAAGCACAGAAAGCCTTCAGCTCAAAGGATCCACAATTCCTAGTTACAGTCCTGCTCACGACTTTAACAGTATCACAGTCTATGGTGATGCATCAGCCAGGCTTTGAATGTCCCAATTTAACTCTCTTTCTCTTTTATTTTTTAAGAACCGCAAGACGCCAAAAGAGGAACGGAGGAAGAGCTCCCCGCTGTTATTGATATGTGATTGATGTTTATTTAAAAGACACCACCAAATAACAACATCTGCCACACATTCTCCTTTATCCTCCCACAACTGATGCCTGAATTACCCGCAGTGATCCTCTCATTCATTACTGCCTCGACAGTAAAAGCAGTGGTCACAGATGCATTGTAGTACATCTCAGTTACACCACAAACCGCTCATGGGACTGTAAACCGCGCTTACTAGTTAGGCTGTAATTGGCAGGGTGTGGGTGTGAGTTTTTTTTTTTTTTTTTCTCCTGCAGATGTTTCTAAGGAAACGGAGACTGGAGCGCGAGGGCTCCTCTTAAACTTTAAGCGGGCACACGTTTGGCCTGCTTAGTGTGCCAAAAGATGAAAGGAAGCGCTTGAATTAATAGCTTCCACAGGAGAGTACTTCAAAGAGCCTGAAATATGAAAAGTATACATTGGAGGTTAATTCTGAGCAGACGGCTTTTGTTTTTAGAGTCAAACAAAGGATTTCTTTTCAGCAACTATTTTTACAGTTATTCCAGAGTCACAAACACAAACACAAAAACTACCACACATGTTATAATTTAAGTCCAAGCATATTATACACTGCAATACTATTAGTAAATGCTGTTAATTCAGGACTAATTTATCCATCTTTGGAGCTGCTGATAAAGTCGGATTACTAGAAGGCAGGGTAGGAGTGGTATTTTTATCTAAACATCTAAACCAGCAATCACCACAAGGGGGCAGTCACATTCTGTTCACAGTATGACTCTAAACTCTTAATGGTACAAAGCAATAATTGACTCCTTTAATGTGTGTATAAAAAAATGAAATAACTTCAACACATTCAACACTGGAATCATGAAGATGAGACAACTGTGGCGCCACAAATGATGTAAAAACATGCTCTTTTTTACTGCTTTTTGCTCCATGTGGTGAAACCATGTGTGTAAACAGTGATGGCACTTATCCAGTAAATATGATGTTTATCACTCTAGTATGATTTAAAGTTCTTACATTTTTCTTAAATACTTTCACTTAATGCCTCTGTACTTTTGCTTCGCCATCAGCTGTCCTGTAAAGGTCCAGTCAGAGGACAACAAAGTCTTCAGAACAAAGATAATACAATCCTAAATTTGTGTTGTTGACAGAGAAATCCTTATTCGACAAAGACAATCCAGAGGAATTCATAAAAGATAAA